GTTATAAAACGCCTATATCTAATACTCCTCACTCTAGTTATTACTATATCCGGAAATGCCTAATACCTCACATTAAACCAGTGATTAAAAAAGGTAAAGTAGTTTTACTTTTTTAACAACTTTTTCTTATAAGTATTTTCTACTTTAATATTGTAACGATGTTACAACTTCGCCATGTATCGGACCAATCCCAGAGCCGGATCGGAGGTAGTACTCGCCGCCCTCTTCATCAACCACTCGTTGTGAGGTCGGATCCGATTCGGATCCGACTAAGATAAGTATATAAGGAGACACTCCCTGTAGCTAGCTCTGTAGACTTTTGATATCCTTTCGTACAAGGCCTATAGGTGTCTATTCGAATTAAGGCTCGTTTGATGTCCCACGCACTCCCATATGCCTCTGAGTGACACTACCGCCGATACTGATCCGAGTAGTCTTGCCTGCGCCGTTACAAATATAATAACTAGCTTTATATATATATATATATTTACCTAACTAATTATTATATAGACTGGATTTTTTAACAAGATAACGCTACTATCCATACTACTAAAAACGTTGAAAGCTAGTTTAAACGAAACTATATTAAAGTTGCAGCCCATCCAGCCTATAGTCCGGATTTAAATTCTATCGAAAACGTATGGAGTTTACTTAAAAATAGGCTAAATAAAAGGCCTACTACCTCTTTAGGCGCTGGGATTAATAGTAAAAGTATTAATACTTTTATTACTGTAATAAAAGAAGAGTAGTAGGCTATTCCGCAAAAGAATATAGATAACTATATTTTATCTATGCTAAGACGTTATAGAGCTGTAGAAGAAGCTAAGAGGTGGTATACTAAGTACTAGCTTTAATATATTATCTTTTATCTTCTTTTATTACTTATAAATTACTTTTATTAATATCTCTTATTATACTATATATAGATATATTATATCTCTATATAATATAGATCGTACTCACAGTGATATATATATATAATAAAATCTTAAAAACCTTAAAAATTTAAGCGCGAAAAAATACAAATATCTATAGATTTCTAAAGCACGAGGTTTTTAGTTCATTTTAGCTAACAAAAAGGCTGACTTACAGTCACGTGACTACTCTATACTAAACTAGGACATCTTGGCTTTAAAATGCATTAACCCGTTTTAGGATAGGTTTTTTAGTTATTAAGTTATAAACGTTTGAAAATAATAACTTTTTGGATTTAGACTTTTTTTTGTCACCCCACTGTAAATATTGGAGGTCGTCCAACCACCACTATGGTAGGCAACGGAATGCTCTTGGGTTCTGCCATCTCCCTGGCCAAAAGCCTCGGCTTGCATAGAAATCCTGTACCCTGGAATATCACAGAACAGGAAAAGACTTTCCGTATCAATGTATGGTACTGCCTTGTCATTCATGATCGATGGACAAGTCTTACGCATGGGACGCCACCACACATTCGCCAAACCCATCATGACGTCCCCCTTCCCAAGAGGACGTCTCCCGACGAGCCGGGCAGAATCTTTGAGGTATTGGCTAGCCTCAGCACCGTCCTTGGTACTTATTTAGAAGGACTGTATGCTATTAGCGAAGGGGCAAATATCGCTGCCTTGGCGCGTAACCTCTTGTTTGATCTAAACACGTGGACTGATATGTTGCCCGGGGACATCAGGCGAATCCTTGTTAGAGGCTCCGACTTGAATACACCTGGTACGGCCAATCTCAGACTGTGTTACCTGGCGCTAAAGTTCTTCAATCTTCGTCTTGATCTGAGCGTCGAGGAAGCAGATATTCCACTGGGTCAGGCGTCTGGCGAGCGAATGGTAGAAGCACGTCGATCAGCAGAAGATATTGTGTTGTTTGTGCAGGAACTGTCCATGAAACAGCTAGGGGACTTTTGGCTACCTACAGCTGCATTTGTATTGTCATCTACAACCACGTTCTTTCTGCGCCTAGCTGTACAGGTGGACTTTCCTGTTTTCGAGTCACCTACACAGAGTCTTTCGCTCTCTCTCGCACGCGAGCTAATAAACTCTTTACGCTCGCATAAAGAACTACACGGATGGGAACTCGGCGATATTTGTCTGACTCAGTATGCGGACGTTGTTGATAGATTGTGGGACCAGCATGTTCCTACGGAGCTGGATGTGACTTGGCTTGATTCCGCACCGTTCATCTCTGACCCAGTTTTCTTCCATTCTATCGCTCCTGATCAGTGGGGTTCTTTAGTTTGGAATGAGATGTTTCGTGGAGAACAAATGGAGATGAATACACAGTAACATGATCTGCTGAACAAAACCAAAGCAAGCTGTCCTGCCTACGCTGATAGCTTCAGTCTATAGTCTAAGAAAACAAGCACGCCGCTGATATTTTGCACGTGTATTGTTCTAGTAATATCACTCCAACGAGTTTCAGCACAAACGCGAGTTCTAGAGCTTATCGAAGACAAGGTGACCCGAAATTCGAGCACTAAGTAATCGGGCTTGAATCGAAAAGACTTCCGTCGAGAAGCAAAGACTCACCTGCCCAAAAGGTGAGATGCGGTTCGGCACTGGCGGCCACTCAAGTAGCTATCAATGTAAAAATGGGGACGTGGGAAGAGAAGCAACATGAAATTCATTAATCAATATTGTGAGTGTTTCCCTGCACGGAACCTTGCCATTCTGCGAGCTGTCAGTGCTTCGGTCAGGGTGCTTGGAGACAACTTGAGACTATCAACGTTGGCAACCGAGGTTTAGGTTGCCCTTGTTTGCGCCGGATTTTCAGAATAAAAAGTGGAAGGAATTGCTTTACTGGCATTGATTTCTAGTTGTGCATTTCCGCGGCGTCCCTCCCGCGCGAGTGGGGCCGCGGGATAGACACCCACCGCAAGCCAATCATGTGATACTTTCCATCGACACCTACATGTTAGTATGGAGTCATCCGTATATGGTGATACATATATACAGTTGTTGTATACGAAATGAATAGTCCAAAATAAAGATAGAGGAATTTTGTTTACTCATTCATAAAAGCTCCTGCACACGTTCTCTTCTTGTATCATACGCGGTACACACCAGGTCCGTCACTTACAGAGTCCCTCTCCATTCGCCTGCCACGGTAATTCTCTAAACCATTCAATCACATTGTTGAGATGGATTGCCAATTAGTCAATGGCGAACAAGCAAAGTTCTGGGACGATGTCAACAAGTACTTGATGTACACTGGGGTTCCGTTCTCCCCAGCCATCATCACCAAGGCCCAGGGGGTACGGCTGTACGATTCCAACGGCCGATCCATTCTTGATTTCACGTCTGGTCAAATGAGCTCTCTCCTGGGACACTCTCACCCAGAGGTTGTAGAGGTGGTGCGGAAATATGTTGGCGATCTAGATCACTTACTGAGCAACATGGTTACCCCACCTGTTGTTGAGCTGGCGCGCCGGCTGTCCACCTTCTTGCCATCCCAGCTTTGCAAGACATTCCTTCTCAACACAGGTTCTGAAACCACTGAAGCTGCTCTCAAAATAGCGAAGTGCGCCACGGGAAAGTTTGAGGTCGTCGCTTTCTCAGCCAGCTATCACGGTCTGACTCAAGGCTCTAGATCAGCTACTTATTCTGCTGGGCGTAAAAATGGTGGACCTACAATGCCTGGCCAGCTCGCCTTCCCTGCTCCTTATCCGTACCGCTCTGTGTTTCGCAAGGCCGACGGGTCTTATGACTGGGAAACGGAGCTTGAATATGGATGGTCCATGATTGACCGACAAAGCGTGGGCTCCCTTGCTGCTTTTATTATGGAACCCATCCTCTCTACTGGAGGGATTCTGGTACCTCCCAAGGGATATCTTAAACGCATGGAAGAAGAGTGCAGGAAGCGTGGTATGCTCATCATTATGGATGAAGCACAAACCGGCGTTGGCCGTACCGGTAAAATGTTTGCCTACGAAGAGGAAAACATCGTCCCTGATATTTTGTGTCTTTCCAAGACTCTCGGTTGTGGTTTGCCCCTTGCTTCTGTCACTACTACCGCTGAGATCGAAGAGAAGTGCCGCAACTCAGGTTTTCTGTGGCTGACTACCCACTTGAATGACCCCCTTACCGCTGCAGTTGGCTGCAAGGTTCTCGAGATCGTGGAACGGGATAACATCCCTCAGAGAGCTGCTGAACGTGGAGAACAACTTCGACAAGGACTTCTTAGGCTGCAAAAGAAGTTTTGGTGTATCGGCGATGTTCGTGGACGCGGCCTCTTCCAGGCAATCGAGATCATATCTAATCTGGAAACCAAAGCACCTGGGCCTGAACTTGGCCAAGCGGTCTCAGATCGCGCTCTGGAGCTCGGTCTTTCGTGTAACGTGGTAAACTTGCCGGGTATGGGAGGTGTTTTCCGGCTCGCTCCCCCTGTTACCGTGACGGAGGCGGAAATTGAAGAAGGTTTGGGATTGTTGGAAGAAGCCTTTAAGCAGGTGCTTGTTGGAAAGGGCCACAGGTTAGCCAAATAGGACATAATAGCATGTTTCACATTTATCTTTAATTAGCCGTTGACTATAGAAATTAGTTATATTGAGAACGTTCTATATCAGTTAATCAGCAGTGAAGCAACGTTCAGAATAGTATGAATCCGGCCCTCACTCTTTCGGCGTGAATGGGTGTTTAGCACCCTTGTAAAATCTTTTCCGATACATGTTCGGTTCTTTCTTATAATTTCTCGCGATATTATGTATTTATATCTTACGCTTGGCTTTCAAATATGCTGACACTTCTTGAAGTTTCTGTAATAGATCACAAGGGTACTGTCTTTGGCGCCTTTTTGACTAGCTATTGTACCAGGAGCCCTTCTTGCAATACTCAATACCATAACACGCAGTAATTTAGACATGATGGAGCCAGTCAGGCGCTGACACAACCACTCCCTCCCAATATGCCCAGAAAATATGCTGTGCTATCAGAGAGAGACATTGTGCTTATCTCCGCATTGTGGCATCGCGAACATTGACGATGTTCGAACGAAGCCCTGGCTCAAGGCCAACAGTAAGTCACTGTGGACAGTACGTCACCGTAGCGGCACCATGCAACACTGTACTCAGGTATGCGGCATGAGGAAAGCAGAATAAAAGATTATTCTAGAAATATCCAATTGACTAGTAAAATCGATATACTTCTGCTGTGCGTTGCCGGTGCCCATGTCAGAATGACGATGAGATTCTGCCCGCCTCTGCAAAAAATGATGACGATTTTCAGTTCTCGCCGCAGATAACCGAACAAGCTAAACGCGAACGGGATATCATTACGTGGTTATAAGAGATAAACTTTCGCATATGCACATTTGAATCACTCTTGCATCCAGTTTGCCGATCAATTCCAACGAAGGGTGTAAAGCAAGATGAAGATAAGATGCCCTCCATCCTGTGTTACACAAAACCCTGCTCAGGAGGGTCACAAACATATTTTAGATAAACTACTGATCTCAGTATAATAATTTATGTTCACAGACTGAGTGTCAGCCAAAGTGATTGATGTGAGGATCAAGGTCGTGCTGAATTTATCACACGAGAAGTATGATATGACCCAGTTCGTTTCAGCTATTTGAGTCGCAGTAACTCAGCAACAAAACGGCTAAGCATCAGATAACGCTTCCCTTTCTGAGATTCTGCTTCATCTAAGAAACCCGTTAATACCTTGAAATCAAGATTGATAATTAATTCCGCAATCGAAGATTGTATCTGTTGCGTGTGACACATGAAGGAAAAGTTGATCTATCAGATCGACACTCTCACTATCACATGGCCAATGCATGACGTATTCCCGGTGCGCCATAGATCATACAGAATCGCTTTACATAAGCGTTGCTCCTATGCAGAACTCCGAGCCTATGAAATTAGGTTAGAGTTTGTCACCAGATGGTAACCTGATCTACACTAATATCTCTGCAGGGGGTAGATTACTGAGGTGCAATAGTCATCTGCTCCAGTGCGAATGACAAAAAATGTTTAAACTCTTCGCGAGCTGAGCTATGGTCACTATTCTTCTTTGGGGATAGCCTTGAATAATGAGGTATATGAATCAAATCCAAGAAGCTCACTTGTTCTACGATTACCACATGTAGGCTTGTGCTATTTGTACATTTTTTTTCGCAATATTTGCATTGACGGGTACTATGTGTCCTGAATCTTCACACGCATCATGGTACAGGGAGGAGCCGGAAACGATCAAACCCGCCATAAGAGAGGTCTTCGAGAAACACAGCAACATCCAACCCGAGCTCGTCGCAGAGCACATTAAGCAAGTGGTATGTGGATCATGAATTCAAGCTATGTCCGAGACTGATGATAGTGCAGCGAGATAAAGCGTACCAAATTGTAAATAGTACAAAAATCACACAGAGAAGCATTAACTCTTACGCAACGCTCAGACCCGCTATCCATGCGTTGGAGGATATTACTTCCTAGACTTGAAAGCACGAGAGGCACCATGCTACCCCGAAGTCAAGAAACGTGTTCTGAATGGAGAGAAACTTCTCGATATCGGTTGTTGCTTGGGGCAGGAAATTCGCAGAATGGCATGTGATACTTCCATGTGCTATAGCTACATCTATGAAATAGGCTTACTAATATGAATATAGGTCGTTGATGGTATGCCTGCGGAGAACTTGTATGGATGCGAGTTGAAAATGGAGCTTGTAAATCTTGGATACGAAATGTTTCGTGACAAAGAATATCTATCATCAAAGTTCGTCGTTGCAAACATCTTCGAAATCCCATCCAAGTTGGATCAGCTGGATGGACAAATCAGTATAGTCCATGCTCAATACTTCTTCCATCTCTTTACATGGGACGACCAGTTACGCCTTGCCAACCGGCTAGTCAGGTTATCTAGACCAGGCTGCGAGTTTCTGATATTTGGGGGACATATGGGAACGAATCAGGAGGCTGAAGGGTGCCATCCCGACATTGGGAAATTTTTCATGCATAGTGATGGAAGCTGGAAGCGACTGTGGGATCAGGTTGGAAGAGAAACAAAGACCTCGTGGGAGGTGGAGACAAAACGACAGCCTACAGACCCGAACCTACTCTGGTTATGTGGGCCAGAGGCTTATTTTATGACGTTTGTGGTGCGTAGAGTACAGGCATCCTGCGAATAGCCCGCGCATAGTAACGACAGATAGTGCAAATTTCACTCAAAAAGTACCATTACTACTAACCACCGCATCTCACTACCCAATCACTACCTACCAAGTCAAGCTGAAAACTTTCCTCAGCTAGCCATCAATAACTCTACCCCTCACATTGCAGACACTAAAGTCCCAATCCCGCTTACCACCCTAAGCAAGTTCTAATACACCTTCTCAAAAATATTCATTTTATGCGAACCCCCACAATTCAAGCTACCTCCCGCACACTTCATGCTGCAATGATTCTCAGGCACGTTTTCGGTCGCGATCCTGAACGCGTCGCCACAGAAGCATTCGATATAGAACTGGACACCGTAGTACTTGCGGCCCTTGCAGAATGCCGCGCACATGTCGCGCGTCATATTGTTGTCCTTTTTGTAGTCGTCTCGTAGCACTCTGAGGTCGGTGTCGGTGTAGCAACCGATGTATTTCCAGGGTGGGTTTCGTAGTGTCTTGAGCTCATCGGTTAGCTGCTGCTCTTTCTTGAGAAGCTCCTGCTCGCGGAGCAAGTGCTCTTGTTTGATCTTGTTGAGTTCAGCCGCTGCTTGTTGCTGGGCTTCGGTGAGTTGGGCGCTCAATTGCTGTTCACGCAAAAGGCAATCGGCGTTGGCTTTTTGGCAGACTTCGTCGGATGGGCAGATCGAGGAGTTGAGCGAGAGCGGCTGGTTGAAAGTAACGCCATTACTACAAGTACAGGCGCAAGTAGGTCTCTCCGACGGGTCAACACAGGTGGGAGTAGGTTTAGCACCTAATTGGATATGTTAATATCGACATGTTTTCAAAAGAGGTCGTGAGGCTATTTACCATTCTCGCATTTGTACGAGTTGCCGGATACATCGAGCAAGCCAAGTGCTTGCTGAGCAGAGCCTGATGGTTGGAAGCCTTAGGAGTAGGTGCTGGTGCACAGCGTAGAGGCGAATAGAATCCACGAAGCTCTCATTTTGGATCGGTAGTATATGGTGGAAGATGATACAAGATGATTGTGGTGAATGGATGATTGTATGAAGAAGAATAACAGAAAAGGCTTCCAAAAGCACAACTTTATAATACTCTCTTAGCCCGCACGTGTCTCTTCAATGGGCAGAGTCGAGACTCGGTCCATGGTACGTCAGAGTATTGACATATTTCTTATTTACCTAGGTGCAGCAACGCACAGTAAACGCGCGATATATGTAAATGTGCTATTCTCAATGAGCTAGCAGAGATCTACCGCCAAGTGACCATATACAGTAGGACAATTGAAGACTCTGGTACCATGAGCCGTTGCCAAGGCCCGTGCTATGATTGTCGCTCATTACGATGCTTTATTCCCAAAGTTCTAGCCGTGCTCTATACTTGATTTAGACAACGGGCAGTCTTTCCTTGTGCATTCTTTAGCTGCATAACGTAATGCATGGCTCCTCCCTAAGAGTGATACACTATCATGACTCGTGAGCATGTAGGCTAATGTACACGATCGTCAGCGAAAGTATATAAAAGTGTCCTACTATAAGCAACATATGACTTAATTCAACGCGTTACTTGCTAGTTGTAAAGTTTTGTACGGTCCATGGCACCAAAAAGGTATCGTCGAATGCACAGAAAGTCTGTGATTGATTCACCTATACGTAATCTTGTCCGGCAGATCCGCAGTAGGTATCGCCGTCCTCTGTGTATCCACTGCATCTGCCTCGACGGCCTGATGTATCTGCCCAAACTGCATGGGCTGTGGCTTCTTGTAATGCTCTCTAGTCTCCTGAGCAAAGCCAGTATTCAGATTTTCTGCTCCGTCGGCTCCACTGTCCTGTCTTTGGGCCGCTGTCATTGAACTTCGCTTCTTATGTTCGACCCTGTCGATGATCTTGCGGCACACATCGCGGTGCGCGAGCTCCATTTTGCCCCTGACAAATGGCATGAGATACCACGCACATGTAACCTCTACGTCTTCAACAAGGACCCACTTGGCGTCGCCGACACCCATACCTTCGCCCTCAACCTCGCTCCCCGCCTCGCCATTCTCCACCACCCGGAACTCAGCACGCACAGTTACACCGGCAGCGGCATCGGCCCTTGTCTTGAGTCCCTGCCGCGTGTCCTGAAAACAGGTTGGGAAGGTAATGTATTTTTTGCCTAGCTCGCCGATGCCGGGGAACCATGTTACGCATTCTGTGACGTTGTAGGTGGAGACGGGGTACTGGTCTGGCGGGTACCAGTAAGTGTCTTTGAGGGTTGAAGGCGAGGTCGAGGGTGCTTTTGTGTGGCCGCAGGTGAGTGCTTGCAGTGTGAGGGCTGTCTCGTGGTTGTGGAGGGTGGCGATGACTTCGGTTGGGTGCATGTGAGGAGGAATTTGGTGGGCAACGTGTAAGTGGTGTTTTGAGCCCATGGTCGCGGTGCAGAGTGGGAGGCGTCGAGATGGAGTACAAATGGGGGGTAGAATGTTTGTGGTTTTGGGGGCTGTGTCGCGCCTGCGCGCGTGGCCGTATGTGCGTATATGCGTATAAAAGTGCTGAGCCGGACTTGGGGTTAGGGTGTTGACGATTAGCGACTACGATTAACTACTGTATGTGCGTATGTTTGCGAGTAGATGGGTTACGAAGGAAGATAGGTTTGCAAGAGTGTGCAGGTGGAAAAAAAAAGAAGTAATTATGCCTTGGGCAGGGCTAGGGAGGCAGGCTGAGGCACATGGCGTTGCTGACTGAGGAGCTGCCATTAGTTACGAGTGAGGCTGAGACAAGGGGACATGGGTCCAACCTGCGACACGTAGTGGTTGGGCAGAAAACGTCATCGTGTCACGCTTAACCATGAAGAGAAAGGCGCAAAATCCATGCGGGGTGCAGCAGACATTACACAGTATACATACTATTATTACTCTGTACTACTACTCGCGGGCGGTATCGCAAAAGAGACGTTATCATACGCAACAAGACTCCTCTACGCCTTAGAGGGTGTACTTGAACCCCGCCTGTCCTTCCCTCTCAGCTAGGGGCTCCCCGTTCGCCATCTGCTTCTCAACCACCGCATTCTGCTTCCGGAAATACACTGTAAAGCATATTAGGACACCCAGAATGTAAAATTGCAGAGCAGCAGTAACCCAAAGTCCCGTAAGATACCTGGGCGCTTCCTTTTGTGTGAAGACTGTCGACGCAATGATGCCACCAATGGCTCCAAATCCAATCTGCAGCGCGCTACCAACCGATCTCTTACTCTGGCCGCGAATGTTGTTGCTTTGGTAGGCAAGGATAGCAGGGACGTTACCCTGGCATCCGCAAACGCCAAGGAATATGCCAAAATATCTGGCCCCGTTGTTTTCAGCGTAAGCAACAATCATGAGTCCGACGATAGTAATGATAGATTGCGCTGCGATGACCGGAGCCCGAACCCGGTACTTATCACCCAGCCATGCAAAGGCAAAGGCTCCGATCATGGCAACGAGACTGGGTGGGGCAGCGAGGGCGTTGGCTTGTCCCGCACTGTAACCCATGCCGAGCAGGATAACAGGGAGGAAATAGCTGAAAGCGTATGCAGGCATCGTAGTGCTCATGAAGAGCGTCGCGTATCCCCACAACTTGATATCTTTGACATGCAGCCAGAATTTTGCCAAGGTCAGTGGATCATCGACAGAGTCGCCGCGGTCGTCTTCAATGCGTTGCATGATCACGGCTGCTTCGGCAGAAGTAAGGAAACCCTTCTTCTCAGCCTTGTCGGGGAAATCCAGGATGATGAACCAGGCTGCGACGGCGACGATGACTGTAATGATTCCTTCAATTATGAAGATCCATTGCCAACTGTGCCACGTGTCAGTACACTGATTCTCAAGTAGCGGTTGGGGGTTGCGGTTGCGATCTGCTTACCCACGAACTCCGGAAAGGCCTTCCATCTGCATCAAGCCATAGGCCAGAATACTGGCCAGACCACCGATACCAACTGAGAAGAGGTAGAACAAGCCCAACCTGTGAGAACAGTAAGCTCTATATCCAATCTTGTCGTTGTCGAAGCGCTCGCTTTACCTTTTCTGTGTTTCATAGCGGCGGTACCAACAGGTAATGAGATAAACGCAACCGGGGAAGAAGCTAGAATATTTTGTCATTAGCTAGAGGGTTCAAGGCTAAGAGTTTGAAGACTAGGCTACCTACCCAGCCTCGAAAGCTCCCAGCAGCACACGGCATATAGTAAGTGAGATCCAGCTCTTCACGAAGGCTTGGCCAATCATCACAGCGCCCCAAGACACTGCGATAAAAGACAGCCAGTTCGCACTTCCCACTTTGCGCAGCACGATGTTCGAAGGTAGTTCGAGGAGGAAGTACGTGGGGAAGAACATTACTAGTACAATTGTGTATCGGTCCCCGATATCGAGACGAAGGTCCTGTCCCATGCCTGCGACTCGGGCATTGGAAATCTAGAACTTCTGTTAGGAATATTCCACAACAGCAATTAGTGCCTGACGAATTCCTTGACTTGCATTTGTACGATCGATTAGCGCGATGGAATATAGAGCCCCTAATATGGGTAGGAGCCTCCAGTCCACCTTGCGGACCAGCTTCTTCTCCTCAATCTCGTCAAAGATGTAGTCGCCGCTGTTGCTGCCGGCTGCAGGAGGAGTCAAGCTCTCCTTGAGGACTGCATCGACCTTTTCTTCTGTCTCGTTACTCATGGTGTGTAGAGTGGGTCGTCAGACTGAATCGATGACCAGAGGGTGAGATCAACCACGAAAGATCTGCAAGGGGGAAATTTTGGGGCATGCGCTCCCCTACACTTATACTACCATCAAGCTGGTTCCAACCGAGGTGATTTTCAGCTCTTGGCTAGAGCATTACTCCGCGAACCTTTCTTGATCCAATGAAAACAGTCGCTAGCTCCCGGGTTATCATCATGTACGATAGACACATGGATTGGAATTGCCAATTCGGTCCTGTAGGCCAATACCAAGACGAGCAAAGACATGGAAAACTGCGGGGAAAGCCTGGGTGAAGGACATTTGCCCAAGAATGGTAGTTAGTCCTAGAGTCACTAACCGCCACCGTGCTCAATACTGCCAGTCTGGTGCTGAGATGCCAGTCATGCCGAGCAAGCATGGTCCGCCGAGACGAAGAAACTCTCAGGAGGACATGAGATGGACAAAGGGTGGACCAATCCAATCACAGCAACTAAGCCTGATGTGCCCAGCCTGCTGGGCATGCCACGGCTGGCTGGCCAGATTGCGGGGTTGTTCTTGGGATATCCTGGGGTGAAAGTAATGCGTCAGATTTCCAACCGCCAGATCGGGGTAAGTAATATAGAGATACGGTTGGTGTAGCTATGGTCTTACATGGAATTGCTCGAGGCTAGTGCGGTAGTAGAAATGCAGCCATGCGTACTTACTAGATCCATTGATCAAAAGTGTTGATATGTTTGATTATAACGAACTGGACATTTTGAACTATCGCACCAGCAGGGTATGCGACGTGGCTGCTGTGCGATTCCATCGCGATGCTGACACGGGGTGTATGCGAAATGTTCGCGTAATGGGAATGGGTGAAATCGTGGAGGCGGAGCATAACTAGCGTCTCGGCATGGAAGCATCGGATGTGAAACTCTCGGGCCTATTGAATGGCGTACCCTGCATTCGCAGTAACACATCGCAAGTGCAATTTCAGATGTTAGAATTGGATTGAACAGTGATATTCCTCTGGCTATGTTGATTTCTGAGAACACGACGCTTTCCATCCGGGGACACGCCCAACATGGTCCAAATACAAACACATATATATAAGTCACGAGGGACGGTTGGCACTATACCGAAAGTCAACACCTGAGCGCCACCACCAAACGACGAGCGGTCATCGGGCACCCGGGTCACGGTCCGTTCCTACAAACACCACCTGAACAGCAGCAAAGCTACAAGCGTCAGCACAAGCCGGAAAGCATGTTTGTAAAGGATAAACTTACGCAGCAGTAATGGCAAATGCTTCTGACTTCTTCGCCTCTGTAAACGTCCTCAAACACACGCTCATCAAGATATTGAAGGCAGCAATGACCCAAAGCCTGCCCTTGAGTGATGGCACATTCAACAGAACCAAGATGGAAGCAATGGGCAGTAGCGATGCCAGGATACACATGATCCAAGATGTGATTTTCAGGACTTCTGAATCATAATACACTTTGCGTCCCAGGCTGGGAGTGCCTTTGGTGAGACGGTCGAGTCCACATGCAAACAGATTCACCGACTTCTCTGTAATCCAGCGAGAAAAGTTATCAGCCTTTGGGCGAGGGTGTACTCCAACCAGGTCCGGTGCATGGTCTTCAGGTTTGTCCCAAGAGCCCCAGGTAACTGAGTCGATGCCATCGAGCAAGTTTGACTGCATGGCCTTGCTGTGCAGGAAGTGGTGGATGTCGGTGAGGTCGAATTTCTGCGGTGCGGGGATCTGGGATAAGTTTGAAATTTGTAGAAGCGCTTCATCTACGATTGTAGCGTTTTAGTCATATTACCCTTGATTTGCATTGCTGCTGACATTATAACTCACTGTACTGGCTTAATTTCTCACCAATTCTTCCGAGAAGTTCTAAATGCGGTTTCCCCTCGCCATTCTCCTCTTCGAGCATGCGCTCGTAGTCGATTGCAAAGCCGTGAAACCTTCTTTCGTCTCTCTTATTTTCCTCGTCCTCTGTTTCCTCCATGCTCCGCAGACGGTTCTCCAGGATACAGAGCTCCGCTTGAAGGTACAGTATACGTCGGGAATTCAGAGCGTCGAATCTGCGATAGATAGCTGTCTGTGGCTTCAAAGCGATGCGTTCGGCCAGCATGGGATAGCCTCCGGGGTACCCTTTCCACGAACGTCCAAACGCGGAATCCTCCTCCTGTGTCTGACCTGTGGTGTCTGTTGTTTTCTCATGCTCCGGAGTGCGTGCGAGTCCTGCTTCCAACATGGTGGGCTTCGTCATAAAGAAAAAAAGAAGAAGTGATAGGGAATGGTCCACAAGGGCGGCACATCTTGGTACTTGAACGGAATTCTTCAGCGCGCACGAGCGCAAGGCTGTGCGTGTCTTGCAGAAGTCGTGCAACATGGTGGCACATCTTGATAGGGTCCGTTGAAGCAGGCGTTACGCTTTGGCGCGGGTACATGCATTCTTGTTACTATTTGCATATCATTCTCGCTCTCATACGAGTCCAATCGAATTCTAAAAAGACTCCGATGGCGCAGAAAGAAAGAAGGGCTAAGACACTACTCACGAATTCTACGAATAATGTAGCTGGTCGAACTTTATGGATAGAGTGAATGCAAGGTACATCTTCAATTCTATCTTGTGATAGAAAATAGCGTCAGTTTTGCCATTGTGGTAGTAAATTCGACGAATTTTGGAAGCACTTCTTTTACGATACACAGGGAACACAGATCTAGCCTAACTTACAGCAAGATGTTCATACCAGTGTGAGAAGCATTCCTGGCACAGCGATGGCTTACAAGTCCACCCTGTTAGCCACGTACTGGTGTCGTAAGTAATCAACATGATTGGTACTGCAAACTTTGCTCATATGATGAAGAAGTCAGTCGACAAGAAGGATGCAAGTTGGCCCCAGGGTTTTCCAGCGCAGTCATGAGTGATGAATGAAGCAATCAACCTGAATGAAGCAAGCACACACAAGAAGTAGATATTTAGTCCGTCCATGAACTTTTCCGTTGGCAAGTTGTTCTGCTCCAACGCAAGATCTTTCAAATGGGATGCTGCATGTCTTCTCCCAAAGAAGGATCACGAGAGCCTCACTCGGAACGTGCAGAATCCACACCGCTCGAAGCAAGCGGCAACGAACGGTCCCAAAAGGCACTGGCACGAAAATACCGGGAAGATGCACCGGCAGGGTGGGTATGTATTCCATGTCACCATTACAACGATGGTGAGCGTTCCAACAGCAGGAATTGCTCTCGCTGTCAGGTGGCCGTTGAATCTAGTTGGGATGTCAAGGTATTGGACAATAAAGAACAGGCAACTACGGTCAAGTCAGCGCAAATTTCTTCTCATCGCGGCTGGTATCATTCGGTTTGTGGCATGCACTACGAATTAACGGATGAAGAGCAAGAGGCGGAAAATCAAACTTGCTCCGCTCAATGTCCCATGAACATAGAGGAAGTGCGGTACACATTCTGGAAGTGATGGCATAGAACGGACGGAGGTAGGCATCGCGCGTGAACTAAGATAGGCCTGGCAGGTTGAGGTCCATAGAAAAGAGAATACACTGTTGTGTATAAATTACTCCTTCGAAAGAGACATGGTTCAGTTGCTCTTGTTCCCTGTTCAAGCCTCAGATTGTGTGATGTTTGATGAATGCCAAAGCCACCGTCGGAGGATATTATTGGGGACCTGTCATACTTGGGTGATTTGACGAGTTCAACGTATCAACCAACTTACAAAACGGCGAGGTGGTTGTGAAGTGCCATTCGTGTCTGGCAAGTACATGATGAGTCTGCAATATGGTGATGCATCTCGACAATAAGCGCAATGTGACTTGCACCTAGGCGTTCGGGGATGGTGTTTCGATTTTGCAACAGGGACCAGGTTGCAGGGGAAGGGGCTTGTTGAATGAGGCAGTCGAGGTTCTGAACCGAAATTTGGTTGAAGGAACCAGAGTCATCAGCGTTTAACGCATAGGTCGCTTCTGATTACCCATTTTTCGCCGTCTACGACTTGGCGCCCCTCGTGCAGCATACAATCTGGGCCATGGCGGTGCAAAAGGGCAAGACCGACTTGAAGGTCCACTTGCAGCGGCTCGGGTGGAGGGGCTCTGGTCTTGGTCTTGGTCTTGGGTGGGTCTGGGTAAAAGACAGTTTCTCCACCGATGCATCCGGTTGCAGGAGAGGTGAGATAAAGCAGCAAGGTCCAAGTGGTTCGTGCTTGGACTGGTGGTGAGCCAGGAATAGTGACATTGTTTGAATCATCATCTGGGCGAGTTAGTGGCATGCAGCAGCTGGCGTTGACTAGGTAGGGCTGGTTGATGAGCGAGGAAGTAGCAACGACGTACAATGCTGGTCAAAGAACTGGCCTTTGGTATAGCGGTAGATGCGGATGTTGGGATTGAGACCAACGACATCGCCGCCCCACAGACTGTGCTGCTGCTTCTCATCCAAGCCCAACGCACCTTCGTGTGCAGCTGCGCCCGTAACAAGATTCTTCAGTGCCGTCTGGCTCCACAACTTCTCAGCAAAGGCGGGGTCGTCAATTTGGAAGCGATCATTGACTCGCACTGCATCGCCTTTTTTGGGCTTCCCAGGAGTGGTAGTAAGCGGCAGTGAAGATAAAAAGGATACATAGGTCTTGCATAGCGCCGCTGGCCAGAAGTTGGGAATGGTGATGATCTGATTGGGTAGGACTTGTTGCAGCGCTAGGTCTGCTTCTGGGACAAGAGGGGTGAAGGCAGGCCAATTGGGCAGTGTGTGGGCGGGCTGGAGTGATGGGGCAGACTTGGTGGATGCAGCGGGCAGGGCTTTCTTTTTGGGAGCCATGAAGCGCTTTGCCGTGTGGTGTGGTAATAAGTAGTGTAGTGTAGTGTAGTGTAGTGTAGTGTAGTGCAGTGCAGTACTTTGATGCGATTGACGATGATGATGATGATTGTGGGTGGCCGGCTGGCCGGGGCGGGGACCGACTAGTATGGAAGGAGCAGTAGCCTTGCTATACTAAGAAAGAAAGTACGATGGTTCTGCGACCATGGCACGTGCAGCAAGATTAGGCCCGGCGCAAGCCTCTCTCTCCGACAACACCAGCTTGTTTGCGACAGCTCGACTCCGGCCTTTTGCCTGCTGTCTCTCTTGTATACGTGTTGCGCGATATCCGCCCACGGCCTGCTGGATCACGAGAAAAAACAAGCGCGCCGCTAAACCGTGTCCGTGTGCAGAGGGCGCCATCCACGACCCCCGGCCCAAAACCTCACCTCGCTCTCGCCTTCGCCCTCGCCCAGCACCACCACCCGATAGCCACGACGATAGCCACGACACCCAACCCTCGCCCAGCTCCCTCCGAACATGGCGGCAGCAGCATGGCCGTAGCCCCGTCTAGCGAGCAGCTCCACCATGTCGTCGCCCAAGATGACTCCCCCGCCCCCGGCCACCCATCCATCCACCACCAGCGCGCTCCCGAGATGGCTTCCACCACCACTACCACCACCGCCGATGCGCCGCCAGCCCTGCCTGCCGTCAGCGCAGAGGACGCGCCTGCCCACCCCGGCCCCATGGACACCATCGACAACATGAACACGGCCAACACCCTCAGCCATCCCCAAATCTCCCCTCTCGCCGACCCCATCAACCTCGCCCAGTCTGCCGACATGAATGGCGACATGAACGGCGACATGGCCGCAACGACTGCCGTCGCTGCCCCGCTGCCCATGGACGTCGCCACCGCCGCCTCTGCCTTCCCTGCTATGGACCCCTTCATGCCCCCAACCACAAATGAGCGCCTCACGGCTTTTGCGCGCCTGCGCTTTGACGACGGCTCCTACTACATGCACACCTATCAGATCACGCTCGGGCGCAATATCCACCTCGCCCACCGCGACATGAAGCGCCTCATCAAGGCCGAGGCGCTGCATGCCAAAGGCCACACCAAAGCCGCAGAGGAGTACCTCAACGGGAAAAAGGACCGCAAGAAGAAGAAGCGCGAACGTCGCGGCGCTCGCAGCGTCATCTCCGAAAAAGGTGGAATCGTCAACGTACCCATCGAATCTATGCCCATGGAGTTCCAACAGCGCCGCCAGAGCAATGCCTCCCACTCTCTCAGCTCAAACTCCCATCCGGCTGGCGAAGCTGCTGAAGAGAACCCTGCCGAGCGCGCGCCCCAGAACATGCTCATGCAGACTTTTCCCGAGGTGCCTGCCCAGTTCGATGGCCATGTGCCTGAAGATCCCAACGACTGTCCCTTCGTGCCCATACACCCCCAGCAAATCATGGCCAAGACCGGCTCTCTGGGGCCCAAGGGCATATCGCGCGAGCACGCCAAGATCTTCTTCGACTTTGATGCCGGCCACTTCTGCATACATGTCTTGGGCAACAACGGCCTGCACCATGAGGGCGACTTCTATCCAAAGGGCGAAACTGTTCCCCTGGATCACGGCGATCACCTGCTCATAGGCGCTGTTAACATCCACTTCTATCTACCTGACGTCGCACTTACTGAGCAGCAGCGACATCGCCAAGAATCCGGCTCGCGTCCTATGAGCTTTTCCTTCGAGAACGGCAATGGCCAGCTGGAAAGCGACGAACACATCAGTTCTGAGAGCGAAGACCAACAGAGCGTCAACCCGCGCCACGTCTATTACCACCACCCTGTGAGCGACAGCGACGATGACGATGGATTGGCCGATGAGGAAATGGACGATTACGAAGAGCCACTTCCAAAGCCTCGCCAGAAGACTAATCTCAAACTCAAGATTAAGAACCTACCGCCAGCATCCACTTCAAAAGACAGCAAAAAGGCACACAAGAGGAAACCCCAGCACCGTGAGCTCACTCCCGAAGAGCCTCCAGCAAAGAAGGTCAAGATCAAAGTCAAGGATTCGGGCAAGACTAAAGAATCTGCTCGTGAGTCTGCCAAGGAACCCAAAGCGCATAAAGAGCGCAAGGAATCAAGAGAGCAAAAGGATACAAAGGACAAAGAGTCGATTCCGTCCAAGGAGACTAAAGAGCCGAAGGAACCCAAGGAACCAAAGGAGAAGGGCAAAGCGCCGGCCAAGACCCCTGCAAAGACAACTGTCAAGGACGAGGCACCCGCCGAAGAGCCTGTCAAGGACATTCCCGTGGCCACCAAGAGTGAGCAGCCAAGCAAGCCTCCACCAAACGACAGCCCACCTCTGTTGCGCAAACCGCACGAAGGCGAACTCGAAGCTGGTGACATAGATGGTCTCATCACAGAAGAAATGGCCATACAGCACAACTTGCCCCGAAACCTTATTGGTCACGTGGTTGAAAAGCGCAAGGGTCCTGGCAGGCCACCCAAAGACGGCATCATGTCGAAGCGTCAGCGATCTCAGCTCATCAAGCAAGCCAAGGATATTGAGAGAGCGAGGGCAGCTGGAATTGATCCCGCCGATATTCCCATACCGACAATTAAGCCAAAGGCACCCAAGCGCAAAGAGTCAAATGCTGGTGACGGAGACGACGATGGTGTTGTGGAGTCTACCGAGCACGGTGATGGTACTTTGTCTGGTCTCCAGAAACAAGTCAAGCCGATGAGACCACCACGGACCCCTTCACCTGAGATGCGTATCGAAGATTACACAGAGGAGCAGCTACAACGTCCCACTGCAAACTACGTGGTTCTTATTCACGAAGCCATCTCATCGTCCCCTACCGGTCAGATGAATCTGCAGTCCATCTACACCTACATTGAGCGCAAGTATCCTTGGTACAAGTTCAAGACGACTACAAGCGGCTGGCAATCTAGCGTGCGCCACAACCTAGGCCAGCACGATGCCTTCATGAAGGGCGACAAAGAGGGCAAAGGATACCTCTGGCGAATCAATCCCGAGGTCTCGATCGAGAAGGAGCGCAGGAAGAGACAGGCTAGTCCTCCGCTCAATCACGCGCCTCGACCACAATACTATCAGCCACCTCCCAACGGGTATCAGCCCTATCCCCAGCCCGGATATCCATATCATCCCGGCATGCCCCATGCCATGCCGCAAGCCCCACCAAGACTACCCCCGAGCCTTGCGCAGCCTCGTCTTCCTCCTAGTATGGCTCGTGGCGAAGGCAATGCCGCTGCTTCCAATGGACCACAAAATGCGCCCCACCCTTCACCCTATGCATCCCCTTGGGCTGGTGGCAACACAGGCGCCAGCCCACCAGCTGCAAACCCTCCACGGCCCTACCCGTCACCCCATACACAGACGTCAACCGCCAATTCAGCAGCTGGGTCAAGTGGGCAGTATGGAGTCCTGTTTCCCACGGCCGCACCACAGCAATCACCATACAGTGGGCCCTCGGCACCAAGCCCTTATGGTGGGCCATACGCTACCGCTGGCGCCAGTCCATATGGTCCAGCGCCGCCTCGTCCGTATCCACCATACCCCGCAGCCGGACAGCAAGCCAATGCGCCTACTGCATCATCCGCTCAACGTAATGCCTCACCTTACGGTCCACCGCTGACCCAAGCTCCCGCGCATCAGAGTTCATCAAACGAGGGCTCAGCTCCACATCCTTCCGGTCGGTACCCCATTGGCGTACATCCAGACCTCATTCGCCAGCTCGAAGCGTATCGTCTCGTGTACTTGGAGAAGAGACCAGGGCCTGATGAGCAAAAGAAGGTTGACAATGCTATTCGGGCATGCGTAGACAGGACCGTGCCCGAAGCATCGTTGACAGAACCTGAGAGAAAGTTGCTCGAATCCATTTGCGGTGTGGAGAGTATCAACAAGCATGTCAAGAGAAACGTTGCTGTCAAACCGGAGGACACACCCGTCACTGTACCAGCTACTGCCGCTGGCACCGCAGCCGCAATCGCCGCAGATGCCGCAGCCAATACGTTGGCTCAACACCAGCAGCAGCAACAAAAGTTAGCTGAACAGCCTCCGTCGGAAACTAAGTCAGCGTCGCCAGCACTTCCGCACGAGAATAGCGAACCTCAAAAGTTTACGCCCAATATGACCGGCGCATCGCCAGCACCGCCCGCCACGGTGCCACCCTCGACTTCAACCCCGGCACCTCCCGCAGCTCCTTCACATCGCCCAAGTGTCGAGCCCATCACCCCTGTTCCCGGTTCACCAGCAGTTCCGAATGGCACCCCGTTGCGGCGTCCATTGGCTGAGTCGACTGCAGATAGCCTAGCCCGAGCAGAAGAGAGTACCAAGGCCGAGCCGAGCGAGGAACCTGAAAAAACGGAGTAGGAGTTTTGTTTCTTGTAATGTTTTAGCTATTGAGCGATGGCATGTATATTCTTTTCCCCCTTTCAGGACTCTACTCTTTTGCGCAACGGCGTCGTGTTTGGTTGTTCCTTTGAAAAGTTCGAAAAAAGAGGCCAATATGCGTTTTTTTGAAACTTATCGGACTACTACTATCGGCGTTTAGCATGTGATGGAGCGAAACTACTGTACTCAATACCCACCAACAAAGTAGCTTGGTTGGAGAATGGTTTAAGCAGGAGTTTCTCTTTGGTGATGGGCGTAGATAGGGTTTTTTGGCTTGCCCCCCCGTGGTAAGCCTTCAAAAGTGAAATTTGGAATGGAGAAAAAAAATGGGACCATGCACTATTATGGCTATTATTGCATGTATGAATGATCAAAAAAGCTTGTCTTTCATACTTGCTCCCTTCACAACTGCCTTGTGTACATGTGCAATCGATTATTACCTGCTTGTAGACCATCTTTTTTTCTCTGGGAATTGTCGAATCAGTAGGTCCTGCGCCGCTTATTTACGGCAAAAGACGAGTGAAGTGGTCATTGGCTACCCAAAAGGTCAAATGGGCCAAGGGACAAATCACCAAAGAATAACACGAACGCTGAATTGTGCATGAAATTGCAAGGTATTAATATTCTCCCTTCCCATTCTCCATTCCCTGTCATTCTTCGCTACGTGCAGCCTCCAAACACAAAGCCTGGGTGCATTCGATACGAAGATCCAAAGAAACAACTAGATGCCGCAAGTGACATAAAAGGAAAATAGTGAGGAATCAAAGGTGGTGAAAAAAAAGAAGTTGAAGCCTATAACCTGAGCTTCTGACCATATCGCCATACTCCTAAAGGACCATCACCGCCCACTGGCGATGTCCATGTCTGGTGGACCATGTCAGCTTACATGGCCATCTCCGCCTGCAGTTTCCGCAGCTCCTCTTCCTCGTCGTCTTCCTCGACTCGCTGCGGCGCCTTGGGATTCGTGTTGGGCGCCTGTGGCAGCTTTTGGCTCGAGGGCGCGTCGTGAATGGGTACGCTGCCAGTATTGAGCATTTGCTCGTCCAGCTTCTCTTGTTGTAGTTCGGCCAGTTCCTCGTCCAGCTCGTCCTCGTCGATACCATTGTTGGCGATGCTCGAGGTAATTGCTTCGCTGATTTCTTCGCCAATAGCATGTTGCTCGCGCAGGCCCTCCCTAAACATGCGGTTAGTGGTTGGTTCTGAAAATAAGCGATCTCGAGTATGACGTACATGACGTCGTCGACCTTGTCAATAGTTAGGCCAGCATGTATCTGCTTCATGGCGGCACCGGCATTCTTCATGGCATCTAGCGTCTCCTTGTTGATATTCGCCGACTCGATGGAGTAGATTTGCTGCTCGAGAGTCATGATCTGGGAGCTTGTCTGCTCGAGCGAATGCTCAAACTGCTTCTTTCGCCGTAATGCGGATTTGGCAGCTGTAATGACTGTCAGCGACGTTGTCCGAGAGAGCAATGGGAACGGAATGCACGTACCTTGCTTGTTGGTAGAGACGTATTTTCGCGCCAAGGCATCCTGCTCGTCCATTTGGTTTTGCAGATGTTTCTCTCTCTTGTTCAGCATCTCGAGCTGGCCGCGAAGCTGAAGGATGGCCTTCTTGGGGCCATCCTTCTTCGTCTGGCCGCCGCCGCCGAACCAGCCCAGACCCCAGCCGCTCATGTTGGCGTAGCTCTAGATGTATCGATCAGCTCTGGATTTATCGCACCCTGCTCTCGTGGGCTCAGATAGGCGCTTCTGGTGCCTATCGAAGAGTGGGATGGCGGGGCTGCGGGGCGAGGCGCGGCTTGGACGTACTATGTGGAAGATGAAGAAAGTATTGGAGGAGTCGCGGAGGAAAGGATATTCGTGCGTGTTTGTAGTGTCGGTGGTGCGGTGCTGAAGTGTTTGAGGGCTGCCTGGCTGGTCATGAATCGGGCCTGGATGCACGAGGGTATGATGTCGCTCGCACTAACCTTGGCACGTGCACAACAGACCCCGGCCTTGGTTTCCACCGCCTTCTGTGCCTTCAATCACCATGTCTTCTGCTCCGCCTGCCTCGAGCCTTGTGCTGCTCAGCGACCTCCCAAAATGCGCCCCGGGCACAAAAGTCCGCTTCTTGGGCTGGTACATTGCGCCCGTAGGACTAACACGCAGCGGCTGACACCGACGCAGTATCGACGAGTACACTGTGAAGACGGCAACCTTGCGCCTCAAACACAACTATCCCGTCCTTGCAGACCCTGTCATTGCCTACCTAGATATTGAACATGTGCTGGAACGCGCCAAAAATTCCGACGTGGACGTTGGTACCTGGCTCAACGTCATCGGCTATGTGCAGCAGACAAAGCATAAGGCAGTTTCGGTTCAAGCCGTCCTTATCTGGGATGCTGGCAATGTTGACCTGGAAGCCTACCAAAGCGCTATCCAGGCACGCAAGGCTGCTTCGTGAGATTCGCTATGACCATAACTGCTCTCCTGCAGTGGCGCTGCACCAACGTCGGTGTGGACGTTAACTTGGGATGCCGACCATCAAGTCCGCCAAAAGCAAGCACGGCATATTCATTTGATTTCGTATTGTAGGCGCACGCCTAGACCTGGTGTGCGCAGCTGAGGCAAGTCCAAAATCAGCATCGGTTTGGATGATGGATCCATGCGTGCTACCCTCAAGCCAAACATGATCATCTCGACCATGACTGTCCCAATCATCATGTGCTAGCAGTAGAGAACCATGTGGTTGAGACTGCACTCTGATTCTGCGCGCTTTGTAATATGATTCTTACTTTTCTTTTGAACAAATACTTAGGAAGAATAAGTTATAGAAAAACAAAATTGCGGTCATGGAAATAACGCCATAATTGCCATTTCACGACACATTGAGTTTGCAATATCTAATCACTATACTCTTACCCGGTCTCACCTACATACCCGCGCGCTTGAATTGAACACTGAGCGAAGTAACATAACTCCATCTTTCACTTGTTCACATGGCTCAGTACGACTTCTAAAGGTTTCTTCTCCTACTCAATCTTCAGCAATCATTTCCTCAAGACATCAAAATGGCACACTTACCCAAAGAATATAGGTACTCTGCTGGCCCCAGTCCCATACATCTTTCGGATCCTTCAACACCAAGTCAAAACTCCACAACAGCCTTGACAGTGTCAGCCGCAACTCCTGATAGGCAACTTTCATGCCTATGCACATGTGTCTACCCATCTGGAAGGGCTGGAATACTGTCATATCGTCATTTTTATTGGGAGTGAGAAAGCGCTCCGGGATGAATGAGTTGGGGTTGGAAAAATTGTACGATTGGCGAAATGCGGAGAATTGGTTGAAAACGACATAGGTCTAGAACATGCTGTGTTAGCTGTGAAACATCGGACATGACCAAAATGTAGCTCACTCCGCCAGGAACCCAGCGATCACACACTAAGTCCCCACCTTCTGGCACGACTCGGGGTAATCCGATGACAACAGGCGGGCCAAGACGCATGCCTTCGTTTATTACCGCGTTGAGGAACGGCAGGTCGCTTGTTGTTGCAACAGTAATGTCGCTTTCGTTTTGAAACTTTTCTCGAATCTCACGTGTCAAACGATGGAGAACACCTCGGTGTTGAACCAGCATCCTCGTAATTGCGGTCAGTGCACTGGCCGTGGTTTCGCTTCCAGCAAAAGCTATCACCAATAGGTTCATGCCCCATTCCCGGTCGGTAAACTGGTCTTTTTGGTCAGTGTACTTTTTGGTTGGTGTCACCCAATCTGGTCGTTCTACATCTCGTGCTATCCGCTTTTTGGCCTGGGCATAACTCATCAGGCGATGGTCTATACTACGCTGCAGAATCCGCTTTGGGATGATGTATCGCAAGATCTTGTCAACAGGGGGGTAAAGGTTGACTGCTGCTATCATGGAAAGTCCCTTGCCAAAATCCTGTGCGATTTCAACCCATGGATGGGCTTTCCCGTTGTCAACACATCCAAAAGATTCGCCATAAGAAAGATCGCCAGCCAGATCAAAAGTGAGAAAATTGAACCAGTCCGTGAGGTTTACAGTGTTACGTTTCTTTAGTTGTGCCATGAAGCCATCAACGTGCTGCTCTATAACTGGAGCCTGGCTCTTGAGACTCTTTTCTGAGAAAGCGTTGGCGAAAGCACGTCGATACCTTGCGTGATTATCTTCATGCCAATCCATGATTGTAGTTGCGTCCTCGGGCGACATCTTCTTGAAGAACTTTCGCGTCTTTTCAAAAGGCTGATGTCCGGCCCGGTTGACATAAATGTCTCTGAAGGCCCGACCATCGGCGTAAGACAGCTCGTTTGGTGCTATACGTACGATGGGCCCATACTTGGCATGAAACTCATTGTAACGTCTGTGGATTTGCCCGCGTTGAGTGGAGACAACATACGGGAAGCGGAAACAGCGCCAAAGCAGTGGACCGGGGTAACCTCGGAGGGGATGCAGGAACGCGTTATAGAAGGCGTATGCGAATATAGGCTTGATTGAAACATGAGCTTCGGCAGGGTATTGATGGAAACGTTCTTACCACGGTGATAAGCAATACACCTGCAACTATCGGATGCAAGCTAGTCAATGGCACCAGCGGTTGCCAAAAACCTGAAGTTTCGTGGTCACTTCCGCTTGCCATGATGACACCTCGGCTAGCTCCTCGTTCAGTTCTGGTTTGATGGTGCCTTGGTGTTGCAGTGTGCACGGTACTGCATAGCTGTCAAGCCAGGTGAAAGAGTGGTGGCGAGAAATAGCCCCACTTTTAACGATGCCTTGTCTGGAGCTAAAAAGTCACGGTTTTCCTGGAGATTGCCAGCCACATTCTCGCCCTATCTTGCCCACTCCTACAGCTATTCGAAATAAAAGGGTTAAGAATCACGGCGCCACGTAAGAGGTGTGAGAAATACGAAACTTAACAGCCGCGATAAGCGATCAAAGGAGATGGTACAACTGCCCGTGGTCGCCTGAATTGGATACGGCTTCAATATCGACCGTACCGGCTTCGGCTGGTCCAAGAAACAGCAGTACACGGCAGATTGCAGGCAACACTGGGCGCATCTGCTGTCACGATAAATGTCACAGTCTCAGATGTCACTGTACAGCTTACATAGAAACTGCCCGTCAAGCTGTTTGAGAAGCACGCCAAAATGCGGATCAAAACACAACGGCCCGTTACCAAGAGCGATGCCAACAATATCAAGGCGGCCTCCTGCAGGCGTTCGTTAGGTTAGGGAAGTGTCGCAGAGTAGTGTGGGATCGCTGAAACAGTTCGCTTCGTGTTCTGACACAGTTCACCATGCGAACTCCATGGATTTACAAACAGTCGTTCGAGTGCGCGGATCCTCCGCACAGCTTTTGCCTTGCACATCCTGACGAAACGTCGGGGTGATTTTGTTCATCGTCTCCCCGACGTTGTCCCATGATGTACTGCGGGCGCACCCGCTAGTTTGTTGTGCTCCACAAGTGCAAGTGCAAGCTGACTGCGCAGCGCAACGAAAAAGAAAGCAGGCTAATATCACTCCTTTGGCCACTATGCAGCACACTAACACGCCAACATTGCCCCTCTCCTATCGCCTGCCTACCAGGAATGGCTCCATCGGTTGTCAGACGACAGGAACACATTTTGCGGCTTGTGAATATTCGGATCTTGAAGTCCGGAGCACGACTTTGCGCAGCAGGCTTGGGCTTATACAGCTTCCCTATAGAGGTTTCACCAAGCATGTTTGCCGGTATCCATGACTAGGCAAAACAAACCCCCCTGCTGGTACAGATATAGAAAACTGGGCCAGAAACAAAAAACCTGGAGTCAGCTGGAGAGAACATGCTCAACCTCTTACACAGCGAGCGTCAGGATAGATGCGCCTAGCCGAAGCTGTGCAAAAAGAATGTGTTTTCATAGAGGCATCATCGATGAGACACCAACGCGACCCATGCCGTAATCCTCAAGCAACGAGGCAGCAATCTTCCACGGTTCCAACGGGCTGACATGGAGCTTATGACTGCCGTATCTTCCGTTGGTCTCTAATATAGACCTAATTAATTAGCCCACATTACGGCTCGAAGCGGGGCTTTCGATAGAGCGTGCATACCGCTATCGGGTCATTTGCTGTCATTGTTGGGCCATATCAGGCCTTTTTATCGGCCAGATGAATGCAAGGCGCCTGCAGCGCACGGACAGCTAGTGAAAGCCAAAGTGCTCGGACCTCGAGCCAGCCTCCCGTTCGGGCACACCAGCGCGAACCCAACCTCCAAGTTGTGGAATTACCGAATCTGTGCCGGCGTTTGGTCTTCGTCTGGAAGGTCCGACACTGAAACTGTAAATTCCTCTGAGAATTATCGAAAGAGTGAGACAGCCATGCCACCTCCCTACGCCAAATCCCCGCCATGTTGTTGGTTTCTGCCTTGACTATGAAGCTGCTGTCTAAGATGCCAACATCTATCCACGCCTACATGCGCAAATAGAGGGTCAGCACCAAAAAAGACAGCGCCACGGGAACGCGGCTCAGCAGAGATACAGATGCCCATCGTAGCGCTCTCCACATTCCTGGATTGGGGCTTGAGTTTGCACGTATCAGCGCTTATAGGAGGTACAAGCCTTTTACCCAGCTTGCCGGGAGCGGCAAAGTGCTATGCACAAGGACGGCCACCCTGATGCGCTAGAGCCACCTCCAGGTCTCACCAGCCTTTGGCGTGCATGTCGCTTCAAGGATTGATATTAAAGATCTGGTCAGGATGGTGGTCTGTGTTGACGTACATACACATGGCAGCGCATGCACACCCATGCAGGCCGCCTGGCGAACGGCCCAGGACAAAGTTCAGTGTAGAAGGTATAAGTGTATCCAACCGCCAGCGCCAGAAAGTCGTGATACAACAAGTACTTCCTCGAACACCTCGACATTGGCAAAGAATAAGGGACAGGCTCCTTTGGTTCTACTCAGACGTTACATTATCAACAACTCTCCCAACATCAACTTGTGTCAACATTCGTCAATATGCTCTTCTCTACAATCGCGGCGGCATTCTTCTATGCTACTTCTGCTTATGCAGCTGCTCTTCCCCCAGCTCCTGGAAAGCCGCACAATTACACTCCCGCGAAAAACCTCAATAATCTTGCCAAACTCTTCCCTAAAAGTGACCTTACAAGCCCGGATGGTATGGCACTCAAGTATGTTGTACTTGGAATCGGTACACAGAACTACACCTGTGTGAACGCAAGCGCAGTTCCTGGTACTACCGGCGCTTTTGGTAAGCTTTCTTTCCAATTGAATACAGAAACAGTCCTAACATTCGCCTTCACCAGCTACTTTGTATGATATCGGTACGAAACTCAACAACGACCGAGATGCAAAGTGGAAGATCGCAACCATCTCCCCCCTTGCCCTCTCCATGGCCGAATGGGCCCCCCAACTAGTCGACATGAGTCTTCAGGCTCAAGGCTTTCAGAACGTTGCTGGACACCATTTCTTCGCTGATGTTGCTGGAACAAACACCCCAACATTCGCCTTCGATCAGCTCAGTGCCCCATACCCCCTGTGCCAGGTCGCAAAACTCGGCGCCGTCGATGCACCGAAGACTGCATGCTCAGGAAAGAACGGCCTTCCCGCTGTCCAGTGGCTCTATCTGCAGCACAAGGCGGGTATTGCTCAAGGAGGCATCACCACTGTCTATCGTGTGGAGACTGCTGGTGGCAACAAGCCTGCAACATGCCAGGGTATGCCACCTACATGGGAAGTCAAGTACGCTGCACAGTGTAAGTCCAAACAGAATAATACATGTCTCTACATTGCATTCGGCCACTAACATCTGTCAGACTGGGTCTATGGTCCAAAACAGTAAGCGCTGGGCTTACGACGCTCGTTTCGACAACCTTACGACGACACCAAACTTTCTGTGCTCCCCATGACCTTTGACTATGCATAGGGTGGTCGCGCGCGGCTACAACTGTTTTTTCCCAAGAACTGGGATCATGAGATCCAGTGTGCAACCCTTTTCTTCATTACTGTATCATTTCTTTTCATCTTCTTCATGTTTCTTGTTTTTAATCACGATACCCTTTCCGTTTTAGTATTTATGGATTTTACCAGTGTTTTAGTCTTGCAATGGAGGCATTATCCAGGGCATACGGCGTTTATAGAAACTATGCATTGTTTGGTTTGCATAAACGACTCATTCAGCGCTCTAACTCTGACAATCATGGTTTTCGAACACTGACATCGTGACCTTGAATGTTCTACTTCACACATGTCCGCGTGAATCCCGTATCCTTTCGTCAGTCTCCACACATAGCCAACGTATCAATGCGTTACACAAGGACCCTAGCTGGGCCCACATCAACCATACTACTGAGCTGGTTCTAGCCACTCCGACAAAATGGCACGAGACCGCTTTACTACCCTGCATTCGCCAACACTCTCACTCTCGATTCCCACACATTACGCTGAATATGCCTTATCTCGCCGCGTCGTCTCCACACAGCCGCTGCGTCACAAACACACCTGTGCCGTACGTAATCCCTTTGCACTGATCCACCACGCCGTACTACATCCAGCCTCACGTTGCGGCACAGCGCAGATCAGGCTGCTTACGCCGTGGCACACCCCAGCACACGGCGTCCCAGTCTCCTTTGTGCTATTACTAGTCACTCTCATTTTGTTCTCGCATGCAAATACGTAGTAGGAGTTAGGTAATCCAACATCCAACATCCAACACGCCCCCTCAGCACGTCAAGTGACATTGTGCCACGAGACTGTAGTAGTCCCACCGCCCATAGTACCTAGCCTTATCCAAAGCAAACGCAAAAGATCCAAGCCCAACTACTACGCGCCGACGCCCCCCCCCCCCCAAAAGAAAAAAAAAGTGTTGCGTCACCTTCCATACACAGCCTAATTTCCTTCTCGCTAGTTCTCACTACCCTTACCACGCTCAGCACACACCCCGCATGTCCTTGCCCTTCAAACATACGATGGAGGGAAAAAAGGTAAGGAGGGTGATTGGTACCGAAGACGGGTGGGTGGGCGTACTACATTGGTGGCTGTAGCGGCGGGTATTTAGCTTGGCGCTAAGACGGCTGTCCATGGCCGTGGTACAAGTGGGTAAGGTAGTGCCCCCATGCGGGCATTGGCGGCTAGAAGGGGTCCGGGGTCCGGGGTGGGTGATGGGTTTTTTTTGAAAGGGCGCAGGGAGCGGGTATGGTTGTAATATGGTACGCTACTATAGGAGTTTTTTCTTTTTATTGGACTTTTTGGGGAGAGGGAAGGGGAGAGGGGGGGGGGGGGTTGGTATGCGATAAGAAGGAATTATATCTGCAAGGGGATTTCCGGGGGTTTGGTGTACGTATGTGCTACTATAGAGAGGAGGTCTGGGGAGCTGAGGTGTCTTAGGGGGTGTGCATACGTCAACTGTTGGTCATGGGTGTCGCACGGGAGGATCAAAATGGATTTGCTGTGTATACGCATTTTCTAATAGGTCTCTTCGTATCTATCTATCTCCCTGACAGTGCAAGAACTTGAATTCCATATCCAAGACTCCTCTCTACAGTACCAAGCATCCTCCTTAGAGGTTACCAGAAACCGACTTCACCGGCCGATGCATATTGGCAATACTCTCTCGGCTCCGCTCCACCCCTTTCGTCCACACCGGGTACATTTCCTTGTACCAATTCGAGATGCTCGCCCGATCGCCATTGGCAATCTGCTCCGCGAGCGACAGCGCATCGAGAATGGCTGCGTTGGCGCCGTTGCCCCCAACAATCGGTTCCGCATGAATAGCTTCACCTATGAAGCACACCCTAGTGTCTTCGGCCAGCCTTTGGATGTCTGATAATGGGGGGAGTAGGGTTCGCATAAGCCAATGAAGTGTCCTGTCACCGCGCATCTTCTGCGCATCAAAAACTTCTGAGAAAGGAGGCTGGAGACCACTGAGAGTCCGGGCTTCTTCGAACAGTTCCTCGGGAATATTTTTGGCGTCTTCCTTAGATCGGTTCGGCTGGTGGAGAGGATCCAAATCACTGCGTACTGCGCGTGAGTATATCCAGCTGATGCTGACTTCCTCAGCTTTCTTCTCGTTGACACTAATATTGAGCACCACGTCATTGTGTTTCGCTTCAATGACATTTGCTGCCCCCATCGCAGGCCCGTACAGTTTGTCGAATGTCTCGCGGTCAAGTTTCCTCTTCCCATTGAAAACGATATATGGCAGGACATTAGGCTGTGCGGATGGTAATAAGAACTTTCTAATGCTCGAATGCACGCCATCCGCAGCGATAATGATATTTGCTGCACTTGTCTCCCCATTCTGGAAATGCAACCTAGTACTTTTCGGAGTGGGTTCTACGCTCTCAAGTGAATGCTCCCATCGGATATCGAGTCCTTCGCGCAACAACTGCTCAAGCTTGTTTTTGTTGGCGCGGAAAGAGGACTGAGTGTCATACAAGCCGTCATGACTGAAAAGCTCTATACATGAGCCAATCTTTCCATAACCATCATTCTCTGCGTCAACAGCTACCCGTTTCTTGAATGAATCCTCGTCAATGTCGAGAAGCTGGAGGAGTGGTTTGTAGGTTGTCGCGTGCAAAGTGATGCCATAGTTGAATCTGGGCTTCAAAGCTGCTTTTTCGTATAAGATAGCTGGAATGCCGCGGCGTAGGAGACTGCGGCCTAGTGTCAAGCCTGCAATGCCTGCACCGATGATGGAAATAAAGGTCGTCATTGCATTGTGTTTTTTCCTAAAATGTACCATGATATTAAAATCGGTAGAGGTTGCACAGCCGATGGTCTGGACTCGATGGCAGATCGTGATCGAGCCAATCAGCGTGCCGCGGAGCACAGATGCTCCAACTTTGGTACACCAAGGTAAACAAGACGTCGATAATCATGCATAACTAACAAATTTCGCAGTTATGTTTCTCCTTTCAGATATTAACAATAATCCATTATACTAAGTATATACACTTTTGTCCGTCATTAAGCATTACAAGTAGATGTAGCAGAATGGGTCTGCATCCAACGTGTCTAGGAGCTCCTCAATTGTCTTGGGCTCTATGTTCAGCCAATTCATCTGAATAATGTCTTTGAGCGTAGTCTTTGCACTGTTGGGTTGGAATGCAGCGACATTGCCCGCGATAGTGTTCGCTTGGTCAAGGTGAAGAGCTTGCCAGATCCACCATACACGGTCCACCATGGCATGGTGCAGATAGAAAACAGGGTCATTGGGACTGCTGTAAAAGTCTCCACCGTCTCCACCCATGGTGTAGTGTCCAGAGGCGTGCAGACCCAAGAAACGATCACCGAAGCGACCTTGAAGTTCATCCTGGAAAGTGCCAATGTTCTTGGACGCAGCGCCGATTGTGACGTTGAGCAGATTCTCATTAGTGAGCCAGGTTTTCGCTGCATACGACGTGATGTCTCGCTTTGCGCAGCGAGGGTTGTAGTCGAGTGGCTGTGCGACCTTGGGCTCTCCACCCATTGCTGGGCTCACAGGACCGAGGTTGATTTGAACACTAGTACGGTCAGTTAGGCAAACTGTTAGTAAGAGTATGGGGGTACTGACCCTTTGAATGGTCCGCTCTTAATGCAACCTCCACCATTGCCTGAAGGAAGGAAAATGGTTCCGCCGCCAGCTACACTTCCGTTGTGCTGGACAAAGGACCCATCGCCACCCAAACTCGTATCAGATCCGTCAAAAACAGGAGATTTTGTAACATCATCCTGGTAACTGAACCAGTTCCAGTAAGGCTGGTAGCCAGTGTAGCCACATTCTTGCCTTAGAGTCTTCTCATAGGCAAAGGTGAAGTACCTATGCCAGGTCAAGAAGTTTCCAGTGCCGTGGATGGACCGCGTCTGGTTGATGTGTTGTCCGACAAAGTCATCGAATCGCGTTTTGGCACCTGGAACCAATGCTGGGTCGGATTTCGAAGGCAGGGACTGTAAGCATTTGACAGCGCTAATGTATTCTCTGCGCTCTTTCTTGCTCAAATGATCCCTCGGAGGCTATTAGTTTGATTGACAAAAACATAAGAACATACCATCTTACCAATTCCTCCTAACAGGTGCGTTGAAAATAGAGCAGCTCGATCTCCTGCCAAGGGTACCGTTGGTCTCCGCCTCTTTCAATGCCGCAATCGCTTGATCCTGTAGATCTTGGATAACATCACGGCGTTGGAGCGCAGCGGACTCGACTACGCTGGCCAACGCCAGGACAGCGGTAGGGAAACCAAGGAAACGCATCTTGTAGGCGAGCGTGAAACAAGAGTTTTGGCTGCTGAAAAAGAAAACATCTGCGTAAAACTGCGTACATCACGTCTAATATGGGCTTTACGGATTTGGGCCGTAGGCTGACTGGCATGTGCATGCACTGACATGGATCGGCCAGCTATATCCGCACCCAAGGCCGTCCATGAGCGATTACTGTTGGTTCTATGTCTAGAAATAGCTGGTGATGAGCCCGATTCATGTCCTGGACGCGGCCCATGTGAAGCCCATACCCACCTAAGAGGGTGGGCATGACTCGTGTGATACCGAGGTCTTGGACTGTCGATCGAAGTAGGCACTTGAACACCACTATTCTAGTGTAGAGTACAGAGTGTGAGGTAGATTGTATGATGATGAGGTGATTGCTAAGGCGTGCGTCGCTCATTGCCTTGCCTGTCGACAATTTGCAAATACGTCTATCGCAATTCTAGAATTCATTTGTGCGAATAGGCCGTATGCAGGATATCTTGATCCATGTGGGCTCGTAGGATTGCCAAGCATCTGTCAAGCCGCCTTCGATATACCCGCGCAGATGGCACACATGAGGGGCCAAATAGTGGTTCGCATTCGCGAAACGGAGAACGGGTAAGATCATCCATGGAACTGCGCCATGCCGAACCCGCATTGCAACAAAGCCCTTCTCTTTGCCTCAAGTGGCGTTTTGCAAAAGCTGAGGGCAGGAAAAGTTGGAGCAAATCATACTTGTTCGGTACTGTGGGTTGGTGGAAGATTGTCAGGGGAAGTGCAAACCGTGCCGCGAAGGAAGGGCGGGACAACGGGGGCCGGGACGATTACTTTGTTGTGGTTGGTGAGTCTGCAGGGACCGCAGCTATTAATTAAACACGTCTCAAAGTATTCCAACACCCGCCGGGTAATCCCACAATACACAGCCATTGTATTGCTGCATTGTCCGTCCGCACCAACTACGCCACGCTCATGTACTTACCTATGGAAGTTAAAGTCTGGCTTGTACTACTATCAACAACCCCCCTTCTGATTCTCCAATTTTCCGCAACTGTCTTCTTCAATTTTCTAAAAGAATTAGGATATCGAAGAGCCTGGAACTTCTCCGCACAGAACACGGAAGACCTTGGCGGATCCAGGAGGATTGCAGTGTTGACAATTTACACGACTTGGTGTTCACGAGCACACCCAATAGTAGCAGCTCTGTTACGGCCATGACAGCGGACCGCTTGGATGGCCAAGATGCCTAGAAGGACAAACATGGACGAGTTCCACATCGCGCAACTATGTCCGATAGCACATATACCTAATGTAGCAGCTGCTGTGATGCATGGTGGGAAGAACTGTCTGATCCCAAAGTAATGCAAGAGCGTCATGAGCGCGCCGTGAAACGTTTGGGGAACCGAGTTCCTGTCTGCCAGTGCCAGAGAAGAGGATATCGCATTTTCATTCTTTTAATGTTCGATATTCCTATCTTTTGTTGTTCAGTTCTCGCCCCACTGGTTTGCGTTCGTCTGCGACGATCATGCCCTCGACTTCTGTGGGCCCTCCTGTGGACCCCAAATGGGCGGCCGAGAACAACCTCCCTCGCCTTCTCGCATTGACGGGCATTTTCCATATCGCCGCGTTGACTAGTGTTTGCCTCCGAATATTTGTCCGTGTGGGTTTACTGCGGTCGCTGGGAAAAGACGACATTGCGATTGTGCTCGCTGCTGTGCGTACTCAGGCTTTACTCTTGGGTTGAGCGTTCCTAACAGATACCAGCTTGGGGCTCTAGGTGGATGGATTTGCTTCATTCTTCAGGGCAACCATGGCTTTGGACGACATACTATGACGGTTTCCAAGGAAGATATGCAGGAGTTCACTCATATAGGCTTCTTTGGCAGTATCATTTCTGCCATTGGTGCCCTTGGGTTGTTAAAGATTTCCATCGCTCTCTTCCTGCTCAGACTGAAAAACAACAATATATGGAAATGGTATTCGCGCTGTCTGTGGGCACTGATAGGTAAGAATAGCGCTTGAGAACCTAAGTCATGGCCCTAATATCCTCGAACAGCTTTGGTAACAATCTACACGATCGGCGCATGGCTCAGCTTCTTCCTGTATTGTAAACCCATGGAAGCAATGTGGACCAAGAAAGGTGTTTGTTATAGCCAGAAGATGTTTGTCGCCTTCGCACTGACGAACACGGGTAAGCGCACAACAACCAGTGCGAGGTCTCTACTGACAAGCGATAGCTTTGAACATCTTTACTGATGTCTGCTTTGCAACTCTGCCAATTCCGATCATCTGGAGTTTGCAAATGTCCCGGACTACGCGTATCAACTTGATCGGTGTTCTCAGCCTCGGATACATGTAAGCAGTCATCAGAGGCTCAAAGGCCACCCGCCACTAACAATCCGACAGTGCCGTTGCACTAGGAATAGTAAAGGCCAGTTATCAGGTCAAACGAGACCCAGACAGGACATTGTAAGTTCCACCCAACCCACCCTCTCCAATCCCCACTAACATCCCTCACAGCAACCAGCACCTAAACGTCTTCGGCTTGTAAGTGTCCCCCTCCTCCCCAAACACACACACCAAACGAACCCCTTCCACCAAAAACCCACCAACTAACCCGCTATTCCCCCTCCAGCCTCCAACTCAACGTCGGCATAATCGCCGCCTGCATCCCCACCCTAAAACCCCTCCTCCGCAGTACCCCCTCCTCCCGTACCCCACGCCGCAGCAACTACAACGACATCGAGCATGCCGAAACAATCGGTAGCGGCCGGCAGCACAAACCCCGCGCTAGCTTCCTCAACACCACAAAGACCTCTCCCACAACAACAAACACACTAACCATAGACGAAACGTTCGAAATGGCGAACCGTGGGAGCCTCCGCGAGAAGTTGGCAGGCGGGCCGAATCATCAGAATGTCGTGTATAGTGATAGGAATGGGGTTCATACGAGTAGTCAGGAAAGAATTTTGCATGCCGAGGGCGGAGCGGAGGATGCGAGCAAGATTCTTCGTACGACAGAGGTGGTGATTGATAGTGTGGAGAGAGTCAGGAGGAAGCGTTGAGATAGCAATGTGTAGATTTGTAAATTTGTGGAAGATGTAGGTAAGAAAAGCCTTCTGATTTGCATATTTTGATACCCACTGTTTTGTTTCTATTATGTAGGGTTTGTAACTTGGTAATCCTTTGGAGGGGAAACATATAGGTTTTATATGATGAGAATGTGCCTAGAGAACCAACCGTGCCGCATGCGTTATTTGGCTCTCGTCGAGTAGTCGGCACGCTAAGGTACCTACTTCCATGTCTGACCTAAGCCTCCCGACCCGTGTCGTACGAGGAACACCAAGTCGGACCTTGCACACTTATCGTATTTGCAGTGATTTACTTAATATCTCTACTAAGATAAAGTCCATGTTCGAATATTTTCAACATAACTAGTCTCTACAGCCGAAACACCAACACTTTCTTTTACTCGACCACTTTCCCGTAACCAAATCCCCTTACTCCGTTACTCACCCATACACCCTCGCCCACCTCAACAGTTTCAATACTAACAGGTTCTTCCATACAGTACCCACTTCCAAGTGCCCATCTCCTACTCGTACCCCTCTGGCCTCCAGCACCGACTTTGGCACTCCTCGTTGAGTGGCCCCATCGGCCCGCAAATGGTTTCCTCAGCTCTCCTTCATCGGCCCCGTCATCTTTCAGCGTCTTACTAGTGAACTCGCCGGATGGCACACCAACAGGAGGAGTTACCCAGCGGCCACCACGGAAAAGGTAAAGTGAGGTGAGAGTGCCTTCGGTCAGCTCGTTGACTTCGTTGTAGAGCATGACTTCACGGTAAGCGGGACCTGCGGGATTCTCAGGCAAGGCACGCTCGCGGCTTTGGTCGTACATTTCTCGCTTTGTCGTTTTCAAAAGGGTAAAAGGTGATGATGGGGTGGGTGCAGTGTCTAGCCTGATTGTCCATTCTGGTGGAGGTGGGGGTGTCGATGTTGGTGCTGGAAGTGAATCGTCGGGTCCAAGGGTCAGGGCGCCTCCTGTCAATGGAGACGCTTTGAAGGCTGCTGCCGAGGCGTGTTGCACTTTTGCATTTGGTGAGTCTAGCGATGGAGGGTAGAGAGTAGAAAGTGGCACGGCTGGCACGTCTGTGAACTCGACTGTAAGATTTGCTGCCTTGTCAAACAACAATCGCAGCTGGGGAACGTCAATATCCTTTCGCATGTGACGTATTAATATCATACCTTCATCGCTCGGTTCTTTCCAGTCTTTTCTATCTCGGCCTTGGTTCTCTTCAACAACTCTTCATGCAGAGCTTTGCCATCCTCAAGCCGGTTTTGCACTTCATCAAAATCAAAATGCTGTGCTGCTTCTACCATGCGGTCCCGATGGTATGCAAGCATATAGAATGGCGATGGGGCGACAAAGTTTAGAATCGAGCGCGAGTTCTCCTCGGACTTGAGAAGTAGCGGATCATAACGCAGTGATGTGAAGAGTTGGAATTCGTTTTCAAATGCCATTTTGAGATGAAGATTTGTTACAGGGAACAGTTACTACAACACAGCGGGAATGCTCTATGACTGTTGCGAGGACGCGGAATGTCGGAGATGCGTTGTACACTATTAAAGGTGGGTCTGAAAGTCCACCGTCCACCGTCCAATCACCAGTGGGCGACAACTCGCTAGCCAGCGTCGGAATAAATTCCTACAGCGGTCCAGTACACCTTCAAGTTACACTCCAGTGCACAGCGATACCTAATTCTGTACCGTAGAGACGAATTATTTGATGCTCTCGAGCTCTATCGATCGAACGAAGGGCGTAATCAAGCTCATCATATCGTCATACTTATCGGGTCCACCGGTGCCGATTCTTAGACCAAGCAATAGCCAATCTCTTGGTCGGCTCTCCGGCTCTTCGAAGGGGAACACAATGTGATAGGAAGGATACAAACTGGGATAGAGAGCGGTGGTCCAGGTAATTGAAGCCTGCGCTTCGGCAAGTGTGTTCAACTGAGCACTACTAGCAAGGCGCGGCCGTTGCAAGCGCAAAAGTGGATATACTCGGCACGCTCAGTGATACAGCTGTCGTACCGTTAAACAACCAGCAGCTCGTTGCATGAGCAATGCGATGTCTAGGATTGTATGAGGTGCTCTAATTTGGTGCTTTAGTTCGACCTATGAGGGTAGTGAGGGGTTTTGGGTTGCTCGTGTTCGCAGGGAAAAAGTATTAGCAGAGCTGTGGAAGTGGCAACGCATAGGAAGACCATACGTATTCTAAGCCTATGTCACTACGCTACAGCATTGTTCTCTTCAGTTATATCTACGAATCGTCGCCCCTAGCGCAAGGCCATGGCCAGAGCAGGTCGGTCACCTTCCCTGCTAGCGTCTATGGGGTGTTTATGCAGGTCATTTAGATTCAGGTAAGTATGTTGGCCTGACTGCGTCACAGTCCGAGCTGTGCAACTATCCACACCCCACTTGTGACTCCAGCCTGATCCATTCCCCCCTCAATCAATTAAGAACACACAGCACCAGCGTAGCCTAATCTCTTTCTTCAGGAAATTCTTTGGCATGTCATTACCTCACTTGCATGCTCATGGTGCTCGCTAACTGGATAGCTAGGTGCGAACCTGATCAGGCAACCGAGTTTGGCGTGCGTGACTCTGAATATGCCTTCGCCTTCTGCCCACCTATCATCTTATTATTGAAGGGGCGGCGCCGTATTTAGAGAATATGGTACGATTCGCTTATGAACCCCTTCCTAGCCGAGCAATTAGGTTGATCAAGTTTCTACCTGGTTCGAGCCCAATATGCCAGATGATCATAGTCGAGGTTGAGAAAGCCCCGCCATATGTAGCTCTTTCGTACACTTGGGGATCCAACCAACTATCAAGAGTGATCCTCGTGAATGGAAATGAGGTTTCTATCACTCGGAGCCTGGCTGAGGCTATTGATGCCATTTTTATCTTTGCAAGAGAACGAAGCATGATGTTCTGGGCAGATTCAATATGCATTAACCAGGCAGACTATTATGAGCGCGGCCGACAAGTCCGACTCATGAGTTCAATATATCGTTCGGCGGAGATTGTTGCAGTTTGGCTTGGCCCAGCCGCACATGAAAGCGATCTCGCGTTCATTAAAATGAAGGAATGGAAGGCGAGCTTCGACAGACTAAAAGAACAGTTCAATGGCTCCGAGGAGTTAGCAGTCACAAGCATCTCTGCGAATGACGATTTCTATTTTGGTCCGCATGGCTCGGAACAACAGAAGGCACTGGAGGCATTACGCATGCTATGTCGTCGACCTTGGTGGGGAAGAGCATGGATTGTACAAGAGGGAACTATTGCCAACCCTGCTCGCACGGTATTATTTTGCGGAAGCCGTAGCATTGACTGGACCTATTTACGAGCAGCCCTTCAGATCCACCATCACATCACACACTATCAAAGTTTTGGCATGAGTACTGATTTCAGCGATGCCATGGCCACCCGTCTTGATAGCTTTCGACGAGATAGGGAAAATGGAGTTAATATTCGATTATTGCAAGTCCTTGGACTTATTCGAGCATACGAGTGCAAAGATCCTCGCGACAAGCTGTATGCCGCTCTAGGAATGGCCATGGACGTGAATGAGGATGATATCATTCCAGATTATACAAAGCCACTTTCAGCAGTCTATGTTGATGTCGCCAAATTTTGCATCTCAAAATCAAACACCCATCGTCTAGATTTCCTAGGAGAGGTACTAAGATCAGCACCAGGAACTGTATTCGAATACCAACATGAGAGATTACTACCATCCTGGACACCGGATTGGACTTTCCGCGCATCCTTTCATCCTCTTGAAAAGGTGTTAGACCCGTATAAGTATGGAGCAAGTGGTTATGCCTATAACGCTAGCAAGGGGTCTAATGGACACTGCTACATCGATGAGGCACATCTATATGTCCAGGGATCAGTGCTTGATCATATAATTCGAGTATCAAGTATATGCCAGTGGAATCTAGCTGCAGGAGGCATTCAAGCTGAGCGATCATGGATACCAGAAGACCCGAGCGAGCATTATTTCACTGGAGAGACAGTAATGCAAGCTTTCAATCACACTATAGTAGCCGATATAGGACGACGAAACCTCGAAAACGATTCTGAGCTTTCACGAGGATTTGCCTTCAATTGGGAATTAGCCAATCGGGATAGTAACAACATGTCTGCTGAAGATCGCCAAATGCAAAGCTGGATGCTTGCTGATGCAAAAATAACGACATTTGGGAGAAGAGTGTTTGAAACGAGTCGGGGATTTATCGGATTGGGACCAGCAGCTGCCCAAGTAAATGACCAAGTTTGCCTTCTCCTAGGTGGACAAGTTCTCTACGTGTTGAGAATTTGTGAGGATAATCACCCCGAGTTTGTTGGTGAGTGTTATGTGCACGGTATGATGGACGGTCAAGCTTGCGAGGACGAATTATTCGCAATTAGGGACATAGTACTCGTGTGACCGAGGGGTAGAAATACCATTTACACTAGTAGATTATATTAAAAGACAATCTTCCCTATCCATTGTAGGCACACCTTCTGTCTTCGTGTAAATTTTGGTTTTTGATTTCAAGAGTAATCACAGACATACGAGAACAAACGTGTTGCGATTGAACTGAAGGCAAAACTATTGTTAGTAAATTAAAACTTCTTGAGATTCATGAACTGAGTTATGTAGTCTGATTTTGGAAGTGCGACCAGGTAGGTTGGGTATCAAAGGGCACTTGCAGATGTTTTAGACTTGACGCAGACATTCAAGAGACCCGCGAGGATCTGCGTGAACTTCCAGCGCTACTAGACCTATGAAGAACTGGCGGGGAATTTTCTGTGCAAACCATCAGTGACCATGTTGACTTGCCACGAGAAACAACAAAGTTGTATCTAAATTATAGGCCGTGTCTATTGCCCTGATATAAAGATAAAATACTCAATATATATGTCCGTTTGTGCAAACTACATAGAAAAATGATCTGTGGCGGTGCGGACAACGGCTGGTCGGCAAAGGCTGATGACGTCCGCCTGGCGCTCGAGCCACACACCTCGCTCACGTCGTTGCACCAAAGCTTGCCTTAGCCAAATTTCTGCGACAACAGAACGGCCCAACACACACCAGCCCATCGCCATTGAGCTGCCATTTCTACCCCCGCTGGTACTGCATCTAATCAACGCAATTATCCGAGTACACCAGATATGGCGCCCGTAAATGCACCTGTGCCACAGGGCCCTGGCCCATTCCCCGTCCAGATTCCCGTCGACAGCAACAACTCGCTCTGGGACCGACTGTCAAATTGGGCCTCGGAAAACAAGGGGGTTGTATACACAATTGCTGGAATCACGCTGGTCGTGGGTGCTGGTGGCGTTGTATACTACTTCTCAAATGATTCAAAAGGCGACAGCGGAGCAGACACATCGGCCGCCAAGCGCAAGAGGCAACGCGAACGCAAGCGTGCAAAAGAGAGGGCTGAGAAGGAGTCGACCCCCGAAAAGGGCTCTGGTATGCGCTTCCATTGTTGCTTGTGGCGGAGCGTAAACTGATGCAACAACAGAGAAGAAGGCAACAGTAGCCGAGACCACCGAAGACCAGCTCCCCGATGTCGACGAGAACAGCGTCGCTGCACTTTCAGACGAGGTACGGCACAGAATATCGTACCGAGGCATCTAGACACACGGACTCCGTCATGTTCCTTTTGGCGTTCACCACCACCAGCGGTCAATGGATTTTCCTAGCTGCACAGGGCCATGGCGGGGTCAAGTTGTGCCAGCAACCCTCTCCAAACACTATCTTGTTGCCTCGAGAAAATAGGCTGACTTTTCACCAGGAGCGCAAAGAGTATGCCGCCAAGCTCAAGGCAGCAGGCAATAAGGCCTACGGCTCCAAAGACTACAACCGCGCCATCGACCTCTACGGAAAGGCCATTCTCTGTAAACAAGACCCCGTCTTCTACTCCAACCGCGCCGCCTGCTACAATGCCATGTCCGAGTGGGAAAAGGTCATTGATGACACCACTGCCGCTATCAACCTCGACAACGAATATGTCAAGGCCTTGAACCGGAGAGCCAATGCATACGAACAAGTCGAGCGCAACAGCGAAGCCCTTCTGGACTACACTGCCAGCTGCATCATCGATGGGTTCCGCAACGAGAACAGTGCACAGAGTGTTGAGCGTTTACTGAAGAAGGTTGCTGAAGCAAAGGGCAAGGCTATCCTAGCCGCAAAGGAGAAGAAACTGCCCAGCCCAACTTTCGTCACAAACTATCTGCAGAGCTTCCGGCCAAAGCCAACCCCAGAAGGCCTCGAGGATGACGCTGAACTTGACGAGGAGAGTGGCAAGAGCCAATTGCGCAAGGGTCTCAAGGCTATGGCTACTAAGACTGGCGATGGATACACTGAGGCTGCTGCCGCCTTCGACCGCGCCCTCGAACTCGGTGATCTCGGAGAACACGAGGCGTTTGCGTACAACATGCGCGGAACCTTCAGTTACCTCAAAGGTGACAACGAAGATGCGCTCAAGGACATGGACAAGAGCATTGAGCTCCAGCCCACACTAACCCAGAGTTTTATCAAGCGCGCCAGCATGCACCTCGAACTTGCCAACCCAGAGGCTGCCGAAGCCGACTTTGCCGCTGCGCTCGAGCAAAACGCAAACGACCCAGATATTTTCTACCACCGCGCACAACTGCATTTTATCAAGTCCGAGTTTGGTGAGGCCGCTAAGGACTACCAAAAGTCGATTGACTTGGACAAAGACTTCATCTTCTCGCACATTCAACTCGGTGTTACACAGTACAAGATGGGCAGCATCGCCTCGTCAATGGCTACTTTCCGTCGCTGCATGAAGAACTTTTCTCAGGTGCCCGATGTGTACAACTACTACGGTGAACTACTTCTTGACCAGCAAAAGTACCAAGAAGCTATTGAGAAGTTTGATACTGCCGTCGAGATGGAGAAGACTACCAAACCCCTTGGTATGAACGTCTTGCCCTTGATCAACAAGGCTCTTGCACTTTTCCAATGGAAGAACGACTTCGATGAAGCCGAGAAGCTATGCGAGAAGGCGCTCATTATCGATCCGGAGTGCGACATTGCCGTTGCTACCATGGCGCAGCTGTTGTTGCAGCAAGGGAAGGTCACAGAGGCGCTCAAGTACTTTGAGCGTGCTGCAGAGCTGTCAAGGACAGAAGGCGAGATTGTCAACGCGCTAAGTTATGCCGAAGCGACAAGGACTCAACTCGAGGTAAGCTGCTCCCGTTCATTGCTTTTCAAGCATCTCTGTTTCGACCAATAAGTGCTAACATGGGTGAATAGGTTCAAGAAAAGTATCCCAAGCTCGCCTCTAGATTGGGCGCTATGGGTGCTGCTGCTGGAGGATTTGGCATGCGATAAAAAAGAACGGTCAATTTTGTCGCTCCGTAATCAACTTGATCGCTTCTTCGCCCGCCCAGTCAGTTCAGCAACAGAAGAAGAAGAAAAAAAGACAGTAACCCCAGTCTTCAGTCTTGTTTCACAAATATTCTCACCTCTTTGTTCATACCGTGTATTTAGTATAGTCTGGTTGAGGTAAAGGAAAGGACCTCTGTTGGATGGGCAAAGTATGATATCCTGGACTGTTGGTAAACATGTATGGTGTACGTACGTCTGTGTGTGTCTGTGTGTGGTGTGCATCCCTGTTATGAGTTTATGTGCTTTGTCGGCATGACTTGCAAAGTATGAGTGAAAGAAGCGTTCGAGACAAAAAGCTTGGATACTATTAATACGACAATCTCCTACTCTCTAGAATGCACTTGAATGACTTGTAGTTAATGAGTAAATTATTTCATTTGGAATTTGAGGTATTTTCAAGTCACTGTAAGTGGTAAGAATAGTGCAATGATATGCATTTAGACCATAAAGAGGTCGAATTCTTTGCAAGTGGGCAAAATCCCAAATCTAGGTGTGCATCTATCCATCCTTGCCCACTTTCTATACATACATACTTTCTGTCTCTCTTTCTCTCTTTCTCGATCGCACATAAGCAAACAATTACTCTCCGCTCAATTGTAAGATAAGAGTGCTAGCAACGTCGAGAAAGGGAAATGGACTCGTCACAATCTTCTCGCCTTCCTGACGTCCCGCACCCACAAGCTCCGTCCTTTCTCGAAGAATCTCGGTCCCCCCTTCATTCAGCTTCTTGGCCAAGTCTTCGGGAAGCGGCTCGTTTTCGTCCAGTCGGCGCCACACACCCTGCTCGTCATCCCAGGCGTCCTGGTGATGCGGTGGGGGTTGGTGCGAGCCCGAAAGCGGAATGGATGCCTTGATCTCACGCACAAGATTTGTGACAAGGCGCTCGTAGCCTGCGCATTTGAAGTCGACGACAAAAAAGTCGCGGTCGATGCTGTACAGTTGGATGGACATGTAGATGTATACTGCTTCATCAGGGTTCCCATGGTCCTCACTAACCGACCCTGCGCGCTCTGACGCGGTCATGCCTTCGACACCGTGGCCGACGCTCGATGTGCTGGTATTAGTCGAGCTCCGTCTTCGTGCGCTAGAAGTATCGTTGGCGAGATCGACGCGTGAAGAGTGCGTCGAGGAGGGATGCGCAACGCCCGGCGGGAACATGCCCTCTTTTAAGAAGCGTGCATGGATAACCCAGGGATCTTCGGGCACGTGGTAGCCCCAGTCATTTGTATGGTTATAGTGCTTCTTCTGTCTACCTCTTGCTTCTTGTTCGCTTGTACCATTGTTGCGCACACTGAGCGGCTCGCGACGTGGCGAGCCCTTCCGCGAGCCCTGGCCTTCGTCTGATGAATGTGACGAGATAGAGTCTTGTGAGTGATTCCTGGATTTAGATTTGCGCTCTTCTGGGGCTTGAGAGGTGCTCCGGCTGCGAGACCCGCTACGACCACCGGCTCTGCGTATTTTTGGTACTTCCCAGTCGGCGCCCATGGCCTTTAATGCCTTGAATATAGCAAGCATAGCCTCTGCAGGCTGGTTTCTTGATCGAATACCGAATTGCCACTTGGTTGCGCGTGGCTTCTTGGTGGGCAGGCTAGTCATCGGCTCCGGCTTTGTTCTACCTGCTTCTGGCATTGTACGGAAATTTGGTTTTAGTCTTCGAGCCGATATTTGTCGTTGTTCCTCCGTCTGTTCGGGTGTCGGTGGGAGAGCCTCGCTTTCCGAAATCTTGTTGGTGGGCCTTGGATGGCCCTTCATATAAGCCTTGTGGTATTCTGTAAGACTACTCGGGAGAATTGCTATGGTGCTGACCGGGCTGCGAATGCTTGCAAGCTGACTACTAGCATTGGATCCTTGGCGTGCCCTTTCATGATCCGAAGGCGCTGGGGGAATGAATTGCGGACGGGATACAGCATTCAGTGATTGTGGTCTAAACTTTTCCATATAATTGTCGTGCGCAGGCGGCGATTGGTGATTCCACACCGGAATACCATCCTGGTTGGTTAACAAAGCTATAATAAAAAGTCAGCTATAGACCATACTATACGAGCAGTCATGCTTACGATTCTCCCGCATCATCTCATTCTCTCGGACAATGAGGTAAGCATCTTTAATGGCACTCGGCTCATCGCGTGCCAAGGCGTCTTGCACGTCATGCTTCGCATAACCCATTGTCTTTCCAAGCTTCGTCACTACGTTTTCATGCAGCGCCTGCACACGAGGGGCGTCGGCCAATGGCGCAAGAGCTTTGGGATCGATGGCCTTGTTGGGATCAGCGCCGCTGTCAAAGAACTCTTGTGCGGGCGGTTCGAGGTATGCTGGCAGGTCTGTCGTAAACCAGGGATCTTGTCGAAGCTCGGGAATGGTGATGCGGTGTACGGGGTTGACCATGAGCATTTTTCTGATCAGAGAGGTGGCGCCTGGTGAGAGATAGCTGGGTGTGCTGTACTGGCCGGCGGCAATTTTCTTAAAGAGGGTCGGGATGTATTCGTCGTCAAAGGGTAGTCGGCCGACCAACAAGACATATAGTATGACACCACAGCTCCAGACGTCGACTTCGGGACCAGCGTACAATTTGCCGGAGATGACCTCGGGCGCAGCATAGTTGGGGCTACCACAACTTGTCTTGAGAAAGTTGCCGTCCGTCATGATGTTGCTCAGACCAAAGTCGGCAATTTTTACATTGCTATCGTGGTCGAGAAGGAGGTTCTCGGGCTTCAAATCTCGGTGGACAATCTTGTGTCGGTGGCAGTATTCGACGGCGCATACAATCTGCTGGAAGAACTTTCGGGCCTGTGCCTCTTGCAGTTTACCGTGGTTGACAATGTAGTCGAACAATTCACCGCCCGCGTATTCGAGGACCATGATGATCTCGGTCGGCGTTGTTATGACGGTATAGCTAGGGGAGCAAAAGTGAGCATGCATGGAAAATGAGGCAAGCGCGGCTACAGGCAAACGACGTACAGCTTGATGATATGCGGATGGCGCAGCAGCTGCAGATACTGAATCTCACGCTCGATCCTGCCTGCCATATCTCTGGTGACGAGCCTCTTGCGGTTGATGATCTTGAGGGCGACTTTTTGGCCGCTGACCTGGTGGGTGGCCAGCTTGACCTTGCCGAAGGAGCCCTCGCCCAGGGTGCGGACAATGGTATACTGGCCGAGACGCTGGTTCGCCTTTGTGTCCTTGCTCTTGGTTTCGTGCACCGCAGTTCCGAGCGCAGTAGGCGGCGGCGGGGCGGGGTCCTGGGCCTTTGTTGTGCTGGTTTGGGCGGCGCCCCGCCGCTGTGCGGGCATGGAGATGGAGAGCTCCTCCAGGTCCTCATTATCGATTGCGGCCGACATTGTATGGCGGGTGGTATGGTGGCGCCGGTCGTGCTTGGAAGCGTTGGCCAGAGGCTTTTGCGGGGATACGTAGGGCTGGAGGGCGGTTTGCGTCTGCGGGGACTAACTATACAGGTAACATCCGGTTAGCAGGTGTGCCGACGCAGGGCGGAAGCATGCGAAGAGGGAGCGCGTCCGTTGAGAGAGGCAGAGAGATGAAGAGGACGAGAGCTTGCTGGCGGCGCGTGGGAGTGTGCAGACGCACAGGTACAAGGCTCGAGTTGCAGTATTGCGCGCAGTGCAGTAAGAGAGCGGGCAGAGTCAAGCAACTTACGTCAGGGCCGAGCGGATGTTCTGGTGATGTGCGCTTGCTGCTACCGACCCGACGCTGCGACAAACATGACCATGTAGGGTTGGTGAAGGGTGAAGACGTCTGTATCTAACTACTGATTGTGCGGCTTTTTCCCCAAACGCACGTGTGCAGCACCCGGTCGTCGTCGTCGATGAGGTAGTGGGGATGGTGCGGAGTGCAGATTACCTGGGATGGTGGGCACCGGGCAGGATTAGGATCAGGATCAGGATCAGGGTCAGGATCGGGATCGGGATCTGGGATGCAGCCAGAGAGGAGACGAGGTGGAGAAGAAAAGGAAATACAAAGGGACAGAACAAGAGCAACAAAGTATGGGGAAGTGGGCTGGGGCGCAGAATGACGATGCTCAGAACAGACATGGTCGAAACGCCCATCACTCAACGCTTTACCGAGCCTGTCCGTCGGCCATTCATTCACCTGCCACCCCGATGCGGTACATACATACAAGATATGTACTAAGACGGCATTCCTCACTTTCGCGTCGCGAACAGGCCGCATGGCATTGTGTGCTTGCCTCTAGCCTCTAGCGTACCATGCTGTCAGCTCCAGCATGTTGACTTGCATAACTATTAGACATGGAATGCCGGCTCCACGGCCTCACTTGAAGCAGAACAGGCGTCCCAGGCCCCGCTGCTGCGCTTCACGTCGCGCCGCACCGTCCACATACGCCGCCTCTCCTTCGCTTGTCGAGCTTGCGCTGCTCACCTGCTTACCCTTGGCGCTGCCAAACACCCTCAGCAACACCACCATGCTACCTGCGCTGACAATGCTGCCACACAAGATGCCAATCATGACCAGGTTGCTCTTGCGATACTTGTGTGGCCCCGCCTGGGCATCTGCAGGCCATCCCGAATACAGCGCGTAGGTCGTCAAGATGCTGCCTAGGTTACCCAGTCCAGACACCAGGGCGCTGGCTGCAGCCACTCCCACCTCTCCATGCCGCGGCTGGAAGATCTCGTTGGACCATGCCATGCAGATGGGCACGGTCGGCCCAAGCCCAAACCCAATGAGCAGAACCCCGCCATATCGCGACCACCCTTTTGCAAACGTTGCCACCAGTAGTCCGGTGATCTGGACGAGAACTGCAGCGCTGAAGAATGCAGGCCGGTGATGGTGGAAGCGATCCGAGATTGGGGTAACCAGTAAGATAGCAATCAGGTCCATCTATACGTACACGGGTCAGCTCACTTTTCTTGCCAAGACTGCAATCTACTCACAATCCAGATGGGTGCGGAAAGCAGACTGAGCTGGATGCTCGTCAGGCTTGGGTTGATGCCCCGGATGATGACAGTCGCATATGCCTGCGTTCCGTTGCCGACACCAACCACACCAAAGTACATGGCGACCAATGGGTAGATCCTCCAGTCGATGATGACGTTCCACAGGTCTTTCATGTTCCACAGCTTACGACTGTAGACACGTGTGAGATCCTCGTAGTGAACACGCGCGTCTTCGCCTTCCAGAGCCGGTTTGCTTTGAGGAAGCCACTTCATCCACCCTGTTCGCTGGCGGACTTGACCAGGAGGCAGTGGCCTGTCTGGAAGCCACCACAGTAGAGACACGCCGACAATGAACCCAACGATGCCATAGAGGAGGAACATCCACTGAAACCCAACAAGCCCGCCGAGACCATCCATCTTTTGGAACCCAGCCGAGACCAAGCCTACAACAGCTGCAGACATCTGGGAAGCTGTGAAATAACGTCCAATCCGCTTTCCAGTTCGGGACGGAGGGTAGAACAGAGTCAGGTAGTACGACATGCCTGGCCACATGCCTGCAATGACAATTCCAAGCAACAACCTAAGTAGACTGCACGTAGTCAGCGACGAGACAGTCCGCCAGTACCAAATGGACGCTTACTAAAGGTTCCATGCAGCATTCATAGCAGTCAAGCACATGCCAATGATACCAACACAAGTGACGATGCGGCTCATCCAAGCGTGGGGGCTGACCCTCGACATGATGAGATTCGAAGGCAAATCGAAAATAACATAGCAGACGTAGAATAGCGCCAGACCCGTAGAGACCTGTTTAGGCGTGATGTCGAGCACAGATCCGAGGTCATGACCCTCTGCCAGGTTCATGGTCTGAGCAAGTCCAATATTTGAGCGAATCGCCGAGCACATGAAGTAGAGAACCCAGAACGCTGGGAGTATCCTGCGATCAAGCTTGCTAAATTTGAGATAAGTATGCGTTACATGTAGCTTGTATGGTATTTGTAAGAAGAAGAAAAAAAAAGATACTTACGCATATACCCTCTCGATTGCATCGAGGTCAATTGCCCCGGCACCGACTTCGACATCGCGATGCAATTCCGCCTGCTTAGATGCCTGTACATTTGTAGCATTTTCCCCACGTGTTACCCCGTCCACATCATCCTCGGCGGCCATTTTCGCAAAAAAAAGGACAGCAGCAGTAGGGAGAAAAGAAAGACAGAGTCGAAAGGACAAGAAAAAAAAGCAATTGAATATGTAATGCACCTACCCAAACTTACTTAAGCCGATGCCGTTCGGCTTAACCTCTACCTACGAGCGCATTATGCTATTCGTCGAGGCAAACAATTTGCACGGCTAGTGGGGGTGGCGCTAGGCGTGGTTGGGGGAACGACTCACCGCGCGCGGTACAAAGTTGCTGCATCTGGGCCGTTCCCGAGTTCAGTACCCAGACTTGGCTACGGGTGATGATTACGCCCCAAAGGGTGGAATTCAGAACTATAAAAACTTAATTTTTTTTTTGAAAACTTACTATAAACCTAAGCGTTAAATGTAGACTAGTTAAATCTCTTAATTTAAAACTTCAAGGTCTCTATTTCAGCTCCACTCATCACCGTCCCCATCGTCTCCAAGCTCGCCCTTAAGCTCTCTTACCATGCGTTCCTCGCTCCCTATTGCCGGCCGTGGCAAATTATCTACACTCAGGATCAGATCCTCTGGCTCAAAAGCCCCTCGTACGATGTGCGTGCCGGGTGTGCTGGTAAACAACACCTTGATGGAAGCCATCACACTGGTATCAGCAACGAGGATAATCAAGCTGGCAAACACCCTCAATGCCTCAGCTTCGAACTGATCCCTTTCGAATAAAACTGCGCCATCGACAATGATGAACAGCGTTGTCTGGGGTGGTAATTGTCGCACCAGCGAGTGGAGTAGCTTGATAAGCACTTCAAGACCACCCTCTTGAAGGCTCACAAGATCAATGTGATTGTGTAAGGGTCTAGTGTCGAATTCAAATTGCCTTAACAACTGGTCGATTAGACTCAAAAGCATAGCACGCCCACCAGTACGAGCTCCAGGGTCGCTCTCGTCAACATGGCGTCCACAGAACCACAGTGCGGACATGAATCGGTCTTTAGTCCGTAGAGACTGCACCAGAGTCATGCAGAAAACAGATAGTGGCGAGACTTCAGCAATCTTCTTCGGTCGGTGCAAGTCCCAGTGAACCAAAAGCTTCGACGACGAGGCAGATACAATCCAGTTCTGGAAGAGCTGTGTGTGGATGATTTGCTCAGCTCTTGCTTTATCTTTTCCAGAAAGCTGCTCTTTCTTATCCATGACGAAAGCGATGTCAGCGAAGTCGAGGTCAAAAGTATCGATCATATTCCGGAGTGTGTCTTGGCTGATGTACCAACCCAGGGCCGGTGCTTGGGCTGACTGCGGCGGAGGAGCCCACATACTTTGCTGTATTGGCGATGTAGAGCGCAGTATCCCATTCTCGACCTTAAGATAAATGTTTTCCTGTCGGGCAACTTCCAGCTCGCGATCTTTCTGCTGCAGATGGTCTCTCAGTAGCTGCTCTATCTTGTTGTTTCCGGTGACCAAGATGTCGACCTTGTTGGTAAGCTGCTCAAGAACCCTTCTCGTCTCTTGAGAATACATGTGAAATTGGAAAATATGCGATTTCAGCGCTTGTTGAATGAGATCCCTGGCCTTCGTCTGGATCATGGTGAGGCTCTCGAGTAAGCTCTCCTCATAATCCCCACCACTGAGAAGGGCTTTCCCGCCTCGGAAGAACTCGTTGCTGATGAAGAAGCCTATGGCTCGTTCCACAGCCTCTAGAGTCGCGGCAATTAAATCAATGGATGCGTTCCGAATGTTCACATCGCCTTGGAACGTGCTGAGGAATACCTCTACGTCAGAAAAGATTGGAACGACCCCATCGAAGCCTGCAAGGACCTGGTTTCGCACAGTTGCAGCTGTCTTGACAGCGTCAAGTACTACTTCTACGGCGCCTACAACCGGAGTCGCGATTGGATCCTGAGGAACAAGTTTTGAAGCAATTTTTGTCGCTTCGGCTCCAGGAGTGATGTTATCGGCGACCTTTCTTCGTACCTTTCGAATCCAGCCCACTGGGCCCCCGCTCCTCTGGTATTCCGAGCGCGCCAATTCAAGCGTTTCATAGATAGTATCCCAGTTGGGTTTGTCTCTGATGTGGTACACGGTTTTCGATCGGCCCTTAGGCTCTTTCGTGGACTTGAATCTTATCATAGCATCTGGAAAGACCTCATTCCAGAACTTCATAGCATTCGTATCTGTCCATTCTGGCCTTTGCGGTAAACCGTTGCTGCCTGGCGGCGCGTTCGATGCTGGCGGTGTCGCGAGGCTGTTGTTGGTATTGGCCACCAAAGCCTGGGAAGCCGGCACATAATGCCTCGACATCTGATCGTACTTCACAGATCGAGAAGAAAATACCGGATGGTATTTGGAGAGTCGCCCATCAATGAAATCAATGGTCGGCGCTTGTTTCGTAAGTGCTGGTATTGGCAGTTTTGCCATGATGGCTCTGTTCCAAGGAGAAGAGGCTTTGTAGGACTGTCGATGGTTAAGGCAACCGCTCAGCTGCACAGCCGGGTTCAGGTCACGTCACTTCGTAACAGACTTGCGAAAATCTTGCTTGGTTGCTCAGATGGTTTGTATGGCATATTCTTCTCGTTAGCAACTGCCATCTCCGGTCGCTCCTGTGTGACAAGGCTGAGAATTCTTGTCGCACAACAGCATAGAATTGGGTAGAGGTGCATCTAGATTTACGCAAGCATTTCCGGCCCCCACAGCTGAGCGAGCGGGGCTCATCAGTGTTCATGCTGGTCTTAAGGATTTAAACCTCCTCCTGCATTCTTGATTTGAAAGGTGCGACATGCGCTTTTTCCTCACACCATCCATTGTCAATGCCTTCTCAGCTTGAGATATTACCGCGCAACTAGTCTGTTCAGGGTGCTAGTCCCTTCTAAGATCACTCCTCTTGTCTTTACTCAGCTGTGGTCTTGGTGCCCCGTCATTGCAGCGCACTTGCAGCAGCCGCGATCCGTCCACTTGTTTCGAGAGATTCCTATTTAAGGCTAGGACATGGCCGACGTTACCAACAATACTTTGAATCCGGATGAGAGCACAAAGCCAGCAACTGACTACATTGGCAAGCCTCATGCAGCAGCTGTAGATGATGAGGGCGAAAGGCCTACACCATCAGTGGGCATTGGGCTTTTCGATGAGCTCAACGATCTGAAAAAGAAGATCGCGGAGCTCGAGGCGCGTCAGGCCAAACCCTGCCTTGCAGGATCTGAGACAGCAGGAACCGATCCCAAAGTCATGGCTGATATGGAAAAATACAAGCGAATGGAAGCCTGCTTGTATAAGCATCGGAAAGAGTGGGAGCTTAACATAGGGCCAGGAAAGTGGTCATCCGCATTCGCATCCGCACGTGATCTGGATTTTGGTGCACAACATTGGGATGTGTTTTCCATGCGAATTGACGCAGAAAATTCGTACAAGCGGCCAGATGTCTTTGATTCTGACCACGATTGCGGCCCCAAGGGTACGGCTCATCCAGAGGAGGATGGAAAAGATTGTAAGGACGATTACGACATGAACATCGACTGGGGCAACCGCCGAGACAGAGTACGCAAGTATTTCGAATGGGAGTTGGAGCGCCTATTCTTGGCTGAAGAGCTGCAACTGAAAAAACAAGCCGAAATCAAGAGTGCCAAGGAGCAGAAGCGGCGAGAGCGTCGTATAATGGTACCTGATATGAATAGCGTGCTTGACGAGAATCAGAAGACGGATGGTACAGTGCAGGTTCTCACTGGTTCTGCCGCACCCAGGCTCAACCCTCTGGAGTGGTATCAGTTCAAGCATCTAGCGCGTATCAGAGAGCAGGATGCAAATGTTGTCGACATCCTCATTGGTGAACCTGTCATTGACGATGATGTGGGGGCAAACCAGTTCTGGTTTGGCTACTCTGGACGTCGATCAACCAGGGATATGGCCAAATCCACCGGCCAGAAGTCATTTGATCCCAAGGAACCCGGCAAAACACCACTTCCAGAGAGAATCAGGATACACTCTGATGCTCTTTTAAGGATCTTTGTTGAAATTCTTGGATCGGAAGGGAGATCGCTGGCTGACTCGGAAAGGGAGGCCGCTGTATTCATCAGGCCCTACAAGGCGCTCGCCTATCGAGAACACGCACTGCGAGACTGGTGTACGGCGCTAGAGAAGAAGCTAAGAAGGACGTCCACCAGCCAGCGGAATTCTACATATACCGAGGCCTCAGTCATCAACGCAGAACGGAGTGTTGAGATTGCTCCGGTAAAGGGGCAGCTTACCAATGACATGGTTACTGAGAGTAAATCTGAAGTATCCACCGACCCCTCAGCACTGGTAGTCACAGCCAGAGGACACGCAGAAAGCACTTTGAGAGTTGTTGAGCCTCTAGCTGACCAAACCGAAGAATCAGACGGCGAAGGCGAACGGGAAGAGAACGAAAGCGAAGGAAACGACCTAACAAAGTCATCGACAGCACTAGAGCATTTGAAATGTCTCCTTCAATTCCTAGATTCCAGCGTTGGAGCAAAACGAGACTACCTCAACGGACCTCTATGTCGAAAAGTTTTCTTCTCCGACCTCTGGTACCTGTTTCGTCCTGGCGTCGAGGTAATAAGTAGCGACGGAAAGCAGGCTTACAAAGTCATCAGCGTTACCAGTGAAAAGCACCGCATCGTCCCTTCCTGGCAGAAGTGGTGGAATCCTCCAGATAGTCGAGAGGATAAGGACCGGAAGAAGGCAGCCTTCAGTGTCAACTGCGTATACATAGATTTTGATGGGAAAAATATAGGTCCTGTAGAGAAATTTTTCGACTTCAAACGATTTGACGGCGAAAGGGAGGTCACTTCCTTAGAGATATATCCTCTTCGTTTCCACCCTGTCAGACGGTCCGAGTACAGCGATGCGGAGTGGAAAGAGCTAGAGCATTACCCTGCTCAGGAAAGGTACCGGCAGAAACTCATACTTCGAGGCACTAAGTTTCTTGACGTCGTTGGAGTTAAGCGTAGGTGACCCCGCTCTTACAAACCCCATTGCCCTCCTACACCTATAAGCCACTATGGGAGACCTCTGCGATCTCTCCCTTCTGGCTAAAACAACTTTATTTTAGTTATTTGGACATATACTGACCTTATGACCTCGCGTTAAGATATGTACTATGCTGGACCAACGCTGGAAGTGAAAGACGAAGTAGAGAGTCCAGTTGTTATCGATTTCGAAACAGCATTCACCATGAGAGACGATCATACGGTATTGAGAAATCAGGGGCAAAGCGTGTGGAAGCCGGAGCTCATCACCCTAATTGGTAGTGTCGAAGCCGAAGAAAGCATCGATATTGTCCCTGGCTCTTGCAGGGGTGACTGCTGTCAGAATGACTATGTGCACGACGACCAATATGTTGATCAAAAGCAGAGGTCCGAGTATATCAATAGCCTGCTGCCTAATTCAATCAGCCTAGACGAACAGCCACCGATTACTATCATGCCTCGTCCGCTAAAGGAACTGCAGACGGGCCCCGAGGGCAACGCAACATGTTCCGAAGACGAACTCGTCATCATGTCGTATCGTGTATTCGGCTTCGTTCTGCGGAGTCGAAAATGGGGTGAGCAAGCATCTCCAGTCTATCCAGAACGCATCAACAGTACATACTGACAATTCCATCCAGCTAAACTGGACCTGTCGCATCTGACCGAAGTTCATCCGCCGGAAGCACCGCCTATGACGGCCGCTACAGCGGGGAAGGGCACTTCGCACCAACAAAGGAAGGAACACGAGCCTTCACTAGTCTTTAATCGTCTCGTACTCGAAAAGGGGCATCGCTCCATGGTTGTATCACTCATTGCCCAACACTTTCGGGATAAGAAATCTATTACAGGTCAAAGAGAGGAGTTCGATCTCGTAAAAGGAAAAGGTAAAGTTGCCCATCGTCTCTAGAAGTACGGACTGGTCATAGACTGATTTCTACTGTAGGAAAAGGTCTGATCTTACTTTTGCATGGCGCCCCTGGAGTAGGGAAGACTTCCACTGCTGGTTTGTACTACCCGTCCACTTATATTGGTTGAAACTTTCAATGGCCAACATTGCGTAACAGAAGGGGTCGCAGAATTGTTCCAAAAGCCGTTATTTCAGATCACATGCGGTACGTGACAATATGCTCCAGCTCTGGACTCATTCATCGAACAGTAACTAACAATCATTGGCAACCTCAGGCGACCTTGGAACAACCGCAACAGAAGTCGAAACCGCCTTGGAGATGAACTTTTCGCTTGCTAATAAGTGGGATTGTATTCTTCTCCTCGATGAGGCCGATGTCTTCTTAGCAGAGAGGACAAAAGAAGACTTCAAGCGAAACGGACTCGTTGCTGGTCAGTCACCAACCTTTGTGCGCGTCTCAACTTCTTCATTTGCTTACTCTTATGAAAGTCTTCCTACGCCTCATGGAATATTACTCAGGTATCCTCTTTCTGACAACCAACCGCGTCGGCGACTTTGACGAAGCCTTCACCTCGCGTATCCATGTCAGTCTCTACTACCCTGAACTCAATATAGACAAGACCGTTCAGGTATTTAAAATCAACATGGAAATGATTCAGGCCCGATTCGATACCAAAAACCGCGTCATTAAGATTGATAGAGAGAATATCGCCGCCTTCGCAGCCAAATACTTCGCCACGTACCCAGATGCACGCTGGAACGGTCGCCAGATCCGCAACGCATGCCAGACAGCAGTGGCTCTGGCGGAATTCGAGGCCCAAAATAGAGGTCTGCAAGATACGGAGAATCCGGATACGGTTGTAAATCTGAGAGTTGAGCATTTCGAGGTTGTGAGAAATGCGTACCTTGAATTTACGAAGTATATGCACGATTTGCATGGCGCCAATTCTGCACGGAGGGCGAAGGAGGGGAAGTTACGAGCTATCTGGATTGATGAAAACGACCGCGTGGTGAGGACCCAGAACATGGGCGGTACAGGGTTGGATAAGAAGAACGCATTCTTGCTTGCTTCACAGAGCCAGCCAAGCTATCCACATGGACATTCACCTCAGCAGAGCTTCGAGAAGTCGTTTTTTGGGCAGCAACCAGGAGCTTACCCACAGCCGGGTTACCAGCAGCCACAACAACAGCAGCAATACTACCAGAACCCTAACCACAACCAAGGGTTCAACCCGCAGCAGCCGCAATACAAAATTCCTCCACAAGGACAGATGCAAGGACAGCCGTCCACTTTTAGCGAGAATTGGAACAACCAAGGCGCGGGGAATTCTGGTACTTTCTCTCCAGCCCCTCAGAACGGAGGACACTTAGCCGACTCTGTTCCACCGAGACAGCAAGTGACGCCTTCGCCGCAACCTCAACAAACACAACCAAATCCGCGATGGTTAGACGAAAACATCAAAAACATTTATGTAGCATCTGGTCAGCGGGTTGATGGACAAGCAACGGCTGGGACGGGTGGGGCCATCGGACAGGGATGGAATTGCCCCTGTGGAAATTCTAATCCTGTGCATTCAGGGTTTTGTTCAAACTGCGGGGGGAAAGCGCAACGACTATAAGGTTGGATTTTTGTTTCAAAAGGCTATAGAGGTTAAATTATAAATTCCACCCTCTAGGGCGTAATCGATACCCGTTCAAAATTGATAGTTTCAAGTAGTAGCAGTAGTTGTAGTCGCTATATCCTGTCGTTTGCGATGGATGACTGACTGTTGGCATGAGAACCATGGCTGAGATTCCTGATTCTTCATATGGCCTTGCTTTACCAAGTGCTATTGTTGGAACAAGTGAAGGAGTGGGATGTTGGAGCATAACGGGAGTGGGTGCCTAGGCCGCCTTCGTACACATGTGGGGACGGACAGGAACGGCCGCTCGCTCCTCATTGGCTGTTTTAGACCCACCCCGCTCATCCCTCCGAGTGCGAGTGCGAGTGTGTGCCTCTCCGCTTGTGCTTCGGACCTCGCTGTCCGTATGTGGCGCTGAGAGACATCTTCACTACTGTCTTCATTAGCTGGGTCGGCATTGAATAGACAGAGCATGTGTTACCTATATCAAGAACCTCTATGATCTCGGATAATGAACGCTATCGAAACTACATTTATGAATACCATACGCCACCGTGGTTGAGTATAAAGATCACGATTTCAGATGAACAGCTTAGCACATCATTTATCGCCAAGTATTCAGATATGGAAATGCATACTATGAGAATATGACAACAATTTCAGAAAGAAAGTCGCCACTAAGGAATTCCGCCAAGCTTGCTTCCGATAACTACCCATCTTTCAATAATACATACATAGAATACCCCTACGCTACAGTGACAGCTGCCATTCTTTCCCCACGATCGAGCTTGACTTTCCAACTTACGTATCAGCAAACCGAGACTGCATAGATGAAAAGCAGGAATTATGGACATCACTCACCAATAGTGGTAAAGAGCACAGGACGCTCAATGCAGCAGCTGCAAGGAAGAAGGCCCATATAGTGGTCATGGCACTGGCAATCTCTGGAGTCATCAGAGTCTTTTCCGTTCCAGATAACGCTTGGGAAGCCTTGCTGCTTGATTCCGCGATAAGGTTTCCAATCTCCTTTTCCGAGAAATCTGGAAGAGCTTTGCCGAATTTGTCGACGGCTACGTTGTGGAAAAGGCTACCACTGATAGCAAGAAATAGGATCATGCCAAGGTCTTGGGCTGAAATTTGGGGTAATATATCTTAGCTACGCCGGCTTTTCCTGCTCATTAGAAAGAATAGACACGTACGTCAGCGTACCTGAATACATGCCTGAACCCCCGATTCCAGCAACAACACGGCCGATGATCAGCGCTGTCATATTTGGAGTAACACCGCAAAGCGCGATGCCGGCTTCAAACAGGACAATGTTGAAGATGTATACCCACTTGATGTTGAAGACACCATAGATCTTACCCCAGAGCAGGATGAACATGGTTCCAAGGGCGAAGCCAGTGCCGATCCATGAGAGTAGCTCGAGGTGCCCGAAATCGTTGATGACGGCTGGTTTGATGTTGGCGACGATTGTGTTGTCAAGGGCGAAGAGGAGGGTTGTGGATAACATGGCAGCGTAAGCAGTAGCCCACTAATGAGCCATCTAATAGGTTAAACAATGCAAATCCACACCATCCGGGTACTCAAGCCATGTCAGACATACCCAGTTTATCCATGGTCAACTAGGTCACTTTGCAACAATCCGACACTTCAAATGCAACATCTCGCTTGTAGGATGTGTATTGTGTCTAATATTTAGCTGTTAAGATAAGATCAGCTATCCTTACACCTTGACCTGCTGCATATGCGCCATGCGGCCCGGCATATCAGCCTGCTAGCAGCGGTAGTACCCATGGAATCAGTTCCACGATACAGAAGATGGGATGATGATGCACTGGTTGCGGGTGTATCATGCGAGCGACTCGAGCTGTCATAGTTAGCCTCCTGCTGCCGTTTCGTCGCTGGCGCAAGGTTGATTGATTAGGCGCCCTGAGCACAGGTATTGTTTGAACCGCTGTCCTCTGTCACATTCTAGACGGGAATATGCTGCCCAAAATTCTGATGACAAGCATCCTAATCTTATGGACAACGGTGAGTGGGTCCGTCATTGAGATGTTGCGTCATGTCGTAGACTAAGAGCTCTTTTTTTTGAGTCTTGACACCAATGTCTTTAGCGACCAGATAGACTCTACCTATTCTACACTACGAATCTATGGAAATGTCTTTTATGGAAATGTAGCCGAGTCTTCAATGCTCTGTTAAATTCAACATTTCATCAACTCAGCTGTCTGCATCCTCAACCCGTTGCAAAGCTTGATCTTTTCTCATAATATTCACATATATTGCATTTGTTTTTCTACAAGAATGTTCGATCACATATATGGTATGGGGTTTTCAAAACTTTTAAGTATCCAAGAAAATATAGAGCTCCCTTAACAGACATGTAGCTAGTTATTGAAGACGACGAAATATGGGTCGCTCAACTATTTGTATTTCGTATTGCACGCCACGCCATACTTGTACGCCAATTCTATCTCTGCCCCAGCTCTAGCACGTAAATATAGAGCCCAGACGCCTTAATTTATGTTCTTGTTTTTGCTAAACACATCAGCGCATGAACTAACACGATATTCTTACTCCATCTCCTGTAGTATTGACAAGCATATATATCGAGCTATGTATACACTTTATGAGTAGATCAAGTCTGCTGCAAATACTTTCGGTTTTACGTACACTTGTGCTACGAAAGACTCCTCACGAAGTGGCATGACTCTCACCTGACGTACGATACACGATGAGGAAACTCACTGTATTGGGAAAACCCATGTTTGCCAGATTATTAACCACCGGCTGGGACCAGGGTTCCAACTTCTGTGCTAGCCTTTCCTTGTAATACATTGGAAACTTGCTGAAGATCAAAACAGACTACTACCTAAAAGTGCACCAAATATTTCCTAGAGCTCACTTATGAGCGCATTTCTCATGCACAAACACGACCCTGTCTAAAAAACACATCTGTTCACTTCACAGTAGGTATGAATATTGGCTTTACCCCCAACGGAAAAAACTGAAACTGTTTACATACATGTAAAATGCCATGCAGTTACCATTCTCATTCGTTTTGCTAATTTTCTTAGGGCTGATTCCAGCCGCTTGGCGGTTCATCCCGCAATATATGCAACGTGCTGACATTGCATACGCAACGACCGAAATAGAAACCCACAAATTGCTAGCATCGTATTGGAAGGTGGTGCTCAGTCTTTGATTGGCTAGTCATGTTGGTAGAGCAAGCGCATACTCAGCTTGACTCGTGATGCTAATATGCGATTGCTTTCATGCGGGGAACGTATATTTTTTGAGTGACATATAAACAGACGTTGGATGCGAACATGATACTTCTTGGTATCGAAGCAAGCAAACATGTCTTCCACGGTGCTGCAGGTTTGCTGTATCATTGCTACATATCTACAAGTTCAGGGACTGGCGCGTAAGAAGATCTCCACGATATGTGTTATGTTGAGGTTGCAACCATGACTTATCCCACATAGAGTCCATTCCAAGTCCTACATCGAGCTCAAATGCACCCTCGAATACTGTCGTCGCTCCTGCTCCCACGCACCCACCGATACCGCCTGCAAACACTCCCGCTCTGCCACCCGACTTCTCCGATATTCCAGCGAGTGTAATTAGTTGCTGGGATGCCCAGGCCAGCTATACCTCAGCCTCTTGGTTTCTCTATACCCAGCTTTTGAGCAGCGAGAACTACACCTGGAATGATTGGTCAACCACGTCTTATTCGTACTCTACATATCTCAATGAGCGATTCGACTGCAAAACTACCGCTTTACCGTCTCTAACGACGTTGTGCGATGGATTCCCTCGTGCGTCTACAAGCTCAACAAAATGCCAGACTGTTACCCAGACATACACCTTCACGATTACTGGTGAGGCTACATACTATACGCCACCATGGTCCACAGAACTCGATAAATTGCCCTCTCCAACCTGTACCGTCGCTAGTGACTACGGTGCATTGTGTACTAGGCTAAAGGACGCATATAAATGGCGTACATCGTTCCTGTCGCAGAATCCCTCCATCACAGGATCGATTGCAGGACCTGGATGCACAGTTCTCAACGATGGAACCGTACCGTCACAGCCCCCCTGCTATCTTGAAGGAGGAACATGGGAAGCGTTCTACTGGCCTACTACTGCAATTCCCTCAGGGCCGGCATTTTGCGACACCAATAGCACAAACGCTACTACTACGTCTGGCCAAGCTAGAACTGCCGTAGTTTCTGGCATAACCATGACTAGTCCAAGCGTGTACTATCTGCTACGCAACGCAATCCTCCAGACACTCACAGGCCGGGCCTCGCTGATCGGGAACACAAACACTGCCACTAAGACGGACATTTTCGCGCCATCAACAACCGCCTCGCTTCTGACAGTTGCACAGCGCGAGGCCGATATCGTGACCATATCACGTGTATGCGCGGGCTCCGGTCAACGCCGATACTGTACCTTCCACGGGTCTCCCGGTTTCTCCATCGCAGACCTTGCTACCGTGCGCGCATCCGAGTACTGCGGATATTGGGGCTGCGGCGCTAGTGAGACCATCTACCAGGACGAATATACGCCTACGCTCGGCATTCCTGTAAGTGAAGTCGCAGCGCAGAATGGGGTTTTCGGGGATTGTGCATGGACTACACCGGGTTTAAGAGTGCGAACTGCGGGGACGGCCGCGTATAATGGTGGTACGATGAAGGTGGAGAACTGGCACCCTATTACAGCAACATCGCGGGGTCCTAGTAACAGTATGGAGACGGGTGCATGATTCGTTGACTATGTATGTCTTGGATGGAGCGAGTGCAAGCGATGTGAAATAGAGTGCAGAAAGAGCACTAGTAACTTAGCATATGATCTGCCGCTACTAGTCCCCAAGCGATCGGACTTCCGAGATGCACTTCGTCATGGTTACTCATCCCATCTTTTCGTGATTCTCAAACTCCCAACCCGAGCTTTACTGTGTTGACGTGCAAAGCTTCCCCTCCAAGCTTCATCTTGTTGCATACCACAATGTGCCCAGTACTATACCAAATGCTCGCCAACACATTTGTGCGCTCGTCGCGCCGTGTTGTTCCTGCATCGCGAACACTGCGGCTTCGAGGCGCCCGACCCGCTTCGACATTAGCGGAGAACCCGCACATTGTAATGCTTGTTCAATTTTTTTTACATGATCTAGATACTAAAGCAGAATATAGTATGTTCACAAGGATCCATTTGATCCAAGCAAACAATTGCTATCACTTCTACCCACGGAACCCCCAACACCTCAACTCGCAATTGGCACTTGCACTGCTCTGCCGCCCACACCCCGCAATTTTACCGAAAACCCCCAGTTTCTGCCTATACTATACTCGGTGTTCGCGGCGCATGCGGCCCAGGATCCGTACGTTCAGTCGCAAGCAGCTGTTTACGCGTCGCCCGGTGGCTCCAATCTTTCGCGGCCCAACGATGGTGCAGGCGGCGCAAATCACCAGGGTGGCATGGGAGGAGGGGGACATGGAGGGTGGATACATGTTAGCGATTTGAGGAATCCGCCAGACTATGGGCGCATTGCCTGGCCTGAGGACATATTCGGGAGTGTAGAGGTGGATGCACATGGGAGGTTGAATGGAGGTGATGGAGCGTGGCAGAATAGCGGGACATATCGCATTGTGACAAGGGAGGGAATGTGAGTATCAATTAGCATGAGGAACGGCCGAGTGATTGTGGACTGACAATAGTGTAGATTGGGATTGACCGAGTTCATGCGAGGAAAGATGGTGGAAAAGCTGCTGGATCTCGAGAGACAGATTAAGCAAAATTCATGACGACCGCGCGACAGAAGTATATACCCAGGAGGAAACGAGAAATGAAAAAAGCCGATAATGATTCGTGTAATGTAAAATGCACTCTAGCCCATGGCCAGTCTATGGGTATCAAAACGAGACTCCGTTCACAGACGAGTCTTCCAACCACCGTCGTTGGTGCCATGCCAACACCCGCAATCTCAGCTCAACTCTCCCGCCTCCAGCTTTTCCAAGAATGCCTTCCCAAATCTCTGGGCCTGCTCATAGGCAATGGTGAATCCATCGTCGCCGCCGTAGTATGGATCGGCAATCTCCTCGCCCATCTCTCTGCCTCTGTACTTTCTCCTCTTCCCACCAAATTCGCCAAATAACATGACGTGCCCGATGCCGTCCTCGCCACCCCTCTTCTTGACTTCCCTCTGGCGCAAGCTCTCCAGATCCGCCAGGTTCTCATCGTCCATGGCGAAGATGTAGTCAAACTTGTCAAAGTCGGTGGCAGGCGAGAACTTGCGGGCCGAGTGGCGGTACGAGGTGATGTTGTTCTTGCGGAGGGTAGCCATTGTGCGCGAGTCTGGGTCGGAGCCGATATGGTATGCTCCGGTGCCGCATGAATCGATGTGGGATATCAGTGGGTGTGGCGACTTTCCGGCAGGTCGGGTGAGGGACTGGAAGACGCCTTCTGCCATTGTTGAGCGGCCTGCACATGGTGAGTTTAGTGGTGTGCGGTATTGGAGGGACAGTGGTGTACATACAGATGTTTCCAAGGCAGACGAAGAGGACGGAGACGGGCTGCAGGGAGGTTGATTCGCCCATTGTTTCGATGGGTGTGGGGAGGTGCTGTGTCTATAGATGGTGTGATATGGTATGGTACACAAAAAAAAAGTTGGCCGTGTCTGGGTATGTCTGTGCCTGTGGAGAAGCGAGCGAAGATCTGGGGATGGTGGGACGGTTTGGGTGCCAAGACGATGCACAGCACAGGCACAGGCACAGACAGGCACAGACAGGCAGACACAGACACAGACAGGCACAGACATAGACACAGACACAGACACAGGGACCAGCCACGCGTGCTTCCGTCCCAAGGTTCACAAGGCAACTTACCATCTTCTACTACATACTCACACAAGTTGTGGACATGACTCGCCCCGCTACGTGCGCCCAAACAGAGACAAGTATTTCGGGCTTGGGAGGCTTGCTACTCATGCGCAGCCACGGCTGGAATAAGCACTTGGTATGTTAGGCGTACACCATCCTCCACTTGCGGCTGTGGGTGGTGTGTCGACTGCCCTAACAAGGGCAACTCATGCAATACAAGACGACAGGAAGACATGACATCGCCGCAATGCCAATGCTGTCAAGATGAAGGGCCGGTATTGTTCATCTGTAGCAGCCCCTCGTTTATTAGTTAGTTAACGGCAGTGTTTGGCGTAAGCAGGTCACATGCATGGCCTCGTCACTTGGTGCGGCTGTGAAGGCTGAAGGGTGCGGCGGCCATGCCCCACGCTGATTGCGTAGCGAATGGTGCGCAGTCGCAGTCGCAGTCGCAGTCGCAACTTGCCTTGCCTCGCCCACCTGCTCTGCCCTGCTTGGCGGCTGTGTACATACTTCAAGCTACACCCACCCGCCTGCATACTCGGCCAGCTGAGAGACGTCGATATTCCAAAACAAAAACACATTCCATCATCGTCCCGTTCTTTGCCTGGGCCAACCTCGTATCCGGCCTTGTGCGCTCGAGTGCCCGCCGTTACATCATTACCCACCTGTGCCCGCCGGTTGCTGTGGTAAACAACTGCGGTGCACCCTGCAGCTTTTGTGACCCACCAAGCCCACCTGAAACACCATACATATTCCTGCCTTCTATCCCGCAACGCTTATACGACGAGCACAACAACAGCCGCGCCTTTGGATTTGCTGTCGCGCCATCCCTCACATTAACGTTTTGGACTGTGGTTTCGGTTGCCGCATTGCCGCTAGATTGAACAAAGTTGCGGCCGCACCACGGAAATCACGTCGGCATGTCATACAACAGACTAGGTGAGTGCCCACGGAGCACTGCTTCCCTTCTTACGCACCCTCGCAAGGACCTGGTGACCACTCTCTGGGCACTATCCTTTGTTCCCCTAGCCTCTTACCTCACCGACCAGCTACCATATCGAAACACTAACAGCGCTGTCCAGACCACCCGGGCGGCAACGACGACCCGTTCGAGATGGATCCACGACGAGGAAACGGGCGCACGCCCTCTCCCGGACAGCCACTCCGAGGCTACCAACTCGAAGATCGATATACATCTCCCTCACCATCGGGCGTCTTGGAGATTCCCATGGGACCCAACCAAGCAATTGCGTCTAGTGACCGCTTGCCCCTACAACCAAGTGTACGTCGGATACACAGCATGAGACATTCTGAGAGCTGTTAGGGCACTTTGCCATGGTCGCGACATACCCAAAAAAACACCACAGGCTAACAAAACGCAGTACTCGGTAGAAAACATTCCATACACTGGAGGCAACTACCACGACGACTACGACCCACGACCGCAACGACACGAAAATAACTATTCATTCGACCCCCAACAACACCACGATGCATACTACAACCAGCCTTACGACCCAACTCCTCATGATGAGAGCCCCGGTGCGGGATATGGCACCCAGCCTACGCACTACTGGCAGGACGACGACATTAACAGACCTATGATGCAAAGCGGCAACTCATATGGCCCAGACCCTCACGACCCAGAAGACATGGACCCAGAGAACCCGTTTCATGATGAGCCAGCACCGCCACCCAGCCAAGCACCGATTAAAAGATGGAAGACGGTCAAGGAAGTTCAGTTGTTCAAGGGTAACTTGGTTCTCGACTGCCCGATTCCGCCACGACTGCTCAACCAAGTCCCACATGCACAGCCCCCCGAGCGTGACGAGTTCACACACATGCGCTACTCGGCCGCCACATGCGATCCTGAACACTTTGATGCGGAGCGCTTCACCCTTCGCCAGAAGCTGTTTGCTAAGCCGCGGCACACTGAGCTGTTCATTGTCATTACCATGTACAACGAGGAAGACGAGCTGTTCGCGCGCACAATGAGTGGCGTAATCAAGAACATTGAGTACATGAACTCGCGAACTAACAGTAAAACGTGGGGTAAGGATGCGTGGAAGAAGATCGTCGTATGCGTCGTCAGCGATGGTCGTGCCAAGATCAATCCGCGAACCCGTGCTGTACTAGCTGGTCTCGGTGTATACCAAGACGGCATTGCCAAGCAGCAAGTTAACGGCAAGGACGTGACTGCCCATATCTACGAGTACACTACCCAGATGACACTCGACATCAAGAAGGGTGTCGTTAACGTCAAGAAGGGCAACACCCCTGTGCAGATGTTGTTCTGTCTCAAAGAAAAGAACCAGAAGAAGATCAACTCGCATCGTTGGTTCTTTCAGGCTTTTGGTGCCGTCCTGGATCCAAACGTCTGCGTGCTCATCGATGCGGGTACCAAGCCTGGAAAAGATTCCGTCTATCAACTCTGGAAGGCCTTTGATCTCGAGCCAATGTGTGCTGGTGCCTGTGGTGAAATCAAGGCCATGTTGGTGCATGGAAAGAAGCTTCTGAATCCGCTGGTAGCAACTCAGAACTTTGAGTACAAGATGAGTAACATTCTGGACAAGCCTCTGGAATCCGCCTTTGGTTTCATTAGTGTGCTTCCTGGTGCTTTCTCAGCCTACAGATATGTCGCTCTCCAGAACGACAAGACTGGACAGGGTCCACTAGAGAAGTATTTCGCCGGCGAGAAGATGCACGGCGCCAACGCTGGCATTTTCACTGCCAACATGTACTTGGCTGAAGATCGTATTCTCTGTTTCGAGTTGGTCTCCAAACGCAATTGCCACTGGATCTTGCAATACGTCAAGTCGGCCACTGGCGAAACCGATGTTCCTACCACCATGGCCGAGTTCATCAGTCAGCGTCGTCGTTGGCTTAATGGTTCCTTCTTCGCTGCTGTATACGCCTTGGCTCACTCCTTCGACATCTTCCGCAGTGATCACTCTTTCTTGCGAAAAATGATGTTTCTCGTCGAGTTTGTCTACCAGACGATTAGCATGATCTTCGCCTGGTTCGCCCTCGGTAACTTCTTCCTGGTCTTCCGTATCCTCACGGCTTCTCTGCAGAATGAACTCGGCACTGCTGGCAAAGTTCTCTTCATTGTATTCGAATGGCTCTACATCGCTGTCTTAATCACCTGTTTCATCCTGTCATTGGGTAATCGGCCGCAGGGTTCCAACAAGTGGTACATGTCCATGGTCTACTTTTGGTGTATCATCATGACATACCTCATGTTTGCATCCATCTTCATCAGCGTCCGTTCCGTCCAGGGCCAGATCGCTGCCAACAAGGGCTTCAACTTTGCGGATCTGTTCAGGGACAGGATCTTCGCGACGTTGATCATCTCGCTACTGTCGACGTATGTCATGTGGTTCCTCGTCTCCATTATCTTCTTGGATCCGTGGCACATGTTTACTTCCTTCCTCCAATATCTCCTCATGACCCCGACATACATCAATATTCTCAACGTCTACGCTTTTTGTAACACGCACGACATCACCTGGGGTACCAAGGGAGATGACAAACCAGAAAAGCTGCCTTCGGTCATAACAAAAGCCGATGGTAAAGCCGACATTCAGGCACCCACTGATGATGCCGATCTCAACACGCAATATGAGGAAGAGCTAAAAGTGTTTAGCAGTAAGTGGGTCGAAGAGAAAAAGATTCCTTCACCGAGTGAGAAGCAGGAAGATTATTACAAGGGTTTCCGATCCGGCGTTGTCTTGTTCTGGATGTTTTGCAACTTGGGTCTGACAGCCTTGGTTCTGCAGTCGGGTGGCCTGGAGCTCACGGTCAGCACTCCGGACGATGCGCAGAAGAAGAAGAACGAGGCTGCTACTATATATCTGGCTGTTGTTCTGTACAGTGTCGCAGGCTTGTCGGCTTTCAGGTTCATTGGTGCAATGTGGTTCTTAGTTGTCCGAGCGGTAAGTGAAACATGCAAGACACTACACGAAGAGCGTATGCTAACGTTTACATTAGTTCCGTGGTGTCTAGGTTTGGCCATGTTTGGTTATTTGTTCGATGGGAAGCCAAATCAGGGCGGGCCCCCTAAGCATCTTGTGGGAGTTTTTCAGGTTTGTGTGACTTCAGGGAGCGTGTCGTCGCATTACGAATAGGCATTTGTTGTCTTGCCGGGGAGTTTTATGACATGATACCAGCATCTTTTTCTTTCAGGTTAAAGAGACACGTCACCCCTTGTCTTCTGGTGGCATGTGTCCTGACGAGTTGATTTCACTTATGTATCCAACAACGTAAAACATTTTCAAGCTTTTTTCTAGTGACTGCAGTATTGTCTGCGTCCCTCAAATTCACCTACAGCAGACTCATAGATCCCTCTCACCTGTGATACTCTCTGTTGCAAGGCATGCCGCCCTCCTCACCCTCACCTTCAGTTTGACCGGCAGGTTTGAGCACGGACCTCTGGCGTGGTAATAAAGTAGGAGACACCAGTGCGACTCCCTCATCTACACGGCAAACTTTTTAATTTGTGCCAGTCATCTGCTTCAAGTCTTGCTCTTCTACTGCAAATCCTCTTCTCTATACCACACGCAAACAACACCACAGCCTTGCTGCAGCAAGCGTCACTCACTATGAGCTGGGATACAGGTCCTACCTCAGGTATGTGTCATGGCACGCAAATGCCGTCAGCTCACACTAATCTTCTGTGCAGGCGATGCCCCTCGCTGGGATCTTGCTCCAACTGGCGGCGATGACTGGTGTGGTGGCAGCAACAACAACAGCGCTGGTGCCGATGCTGGTGCTAATGCTGGTGGCGATGACAGCTGCCGGATGTGAGTGAGGCTCAGAACCTTCACTTTATCTATACTGACACACACAACAGTTGCAAGCAGTCAGGCCACTACGCCCGTGACTGCCCATCCAAGCCTGAGGGTGGCAGTGGTCTTGCTGGCGAATGCTTCAACTGCGGCCAAGTTGGTCACAACAAGACTGACTGTACCAACGAGCGTGTCCAGCGTCCCTTCGACGGCGTTTGCAAGCTATGTGAGCAGCCGGGTCACCGAGCTATCGATTGCAAGTCTCGCCGCTCAGTCAACTGGTCTGGTGTCCCCGAGATGGATGCCGAAGCTGCATGGGTTGCTCTCATCGATGCCGCTAAAGAAAAAGACTTCGACGTGTTCCGTGTCTGTCTGAAGGCGTACGCTCGTGCCACCATGGACCAGTTCGATCTTCCAGCTGTGGAGCAAGCTCTACGTGAAGATGGTCTCGGTATCTATCTTATTGCCAAAAAGGAGGAGATCCCCATCAACATGACCATTGTCGATCTCATTGGCAACCCTGATCGCGAGTACGTCTTGACTTTCCAGCTCTCTCCAAAGCCTCGTCGCCCCAAGTTGGCCCACGGTTGGCCCGAGAGCCCTGCTCAGAACATGGAGCGTCTTGCATCTTGTGGCGATGTCCAGGATCGTGGTATACCACTGTGTGGCAATTGCGGTGAGCTTGGTCACATTCGCAAGGTCAGTATATCGAACCAGGCCTCTTGATTTGAAGAATTTCGGACTAACATCTAAGCAGCACTGCAAACAAGAGCAAGTTGAACGCGAGACGCATCAGCCCGAGATCCAGTGCGTGAACTGTAAGGAAATCGGTCATCGAGCCCGCGACTGCACCAAAGAACGCTTCAACCCCTTTGCCTGCAGGAACTGCAAGCAGGAAGGCCATAATGCTAAGGAATGTCCCGAGCCTCGTTCAGCCGAGGGCGTCGAGTGCCGCAAGTGCAATGGGATGGGTCACTTTTCCAAGGATGTCAGTGCACACATGGATACTAGTTACCCAATACATACTGACAGCTCATAGTGTCCTAACGTTGCTGCGCGTACCTGCCGCAACTGTGGATCGACCGAGCACATGGCCAAGGAGTGTGACCAGCCTCGCAATCCCGATACTGTTGTCTGTCGCAATTGCGAGAAGATGGGTCATTTCTCTCGTGATTGTACCGAACCCAAAGACTGGTCCAAGCATAAGTGCAGCAACTGCGGTGAGCTGGGACATGGCCCCAAGGTAAGCATTCCTCCTGTTGGGGAAGGGATCCATGCTAACTTGAATAGCGTTGCAAGGCTCCGATTGCTGATACCAATGACGATACCGGTGGTGATTCTGGTGGTGGCTGGGGTGGAGATACGGGTGACTCTGCTGCTGCTGCTGCTACTGGTGAAGCTTCTTGGAATGACGGTGGTAATGGAGGTTGGTAGACTTATGCCACGGCATCGTCTATTTCGGAATAACATTCCTGTTGGAGTCAGCAGAGCAGGCTATGGACAAAGATGGCTAATGTGGGCATGAACGATATGCCTTTTATTTTGCATGGACACTTGTAGGTGATGATAGGAGGAGATAGCCACAGTCATGAATGCATAATGGCGAGGCATTTATGTTAGATTCAGGTTGAAATGGAACTCTTCTATGACTACTGAGCTCATTATATGTACATGATTCTATGCGAAATTAGCGACAGTATACTTGAGTGAACAGATCGTATTTGATAAATTATCGGGAAAAGTACATTTAGATGTCTGAATATTTGCAGCGGGTTGTGGGTATTCTGGGCATCGTGAACTAGCCCAGGAATGCATACTATAGTCCTGTTGCGTGCGAACTAGAGTGATAGAAAGTGATTACGAGTGAGTGTCGTTAACATGTGTCAGCGCAGGCACAATGCTTGGGGCTTAATACTACAGTTAGCGGATTCAAGACATCGCAGATAAACGGAAGGGAATTGGGAGTTTCTCTTGTAATAGGGAACTACTAAGTTGGACTTGCGGATGTAGACATTCAGCGAAGTATCTATTGACTGCACTTTTGTCATACTGGTCATAACTCAAAACTACTCTCACTACTGACTAGTTCTTCTTACTTCTCGCACGCCATATCGGGTTCAAATAATAAACCGGAATACCGAGCAAGAAGATGGCACTGTAAATACCCGCCAACACACCAAACGCCCACTTATACCCGTGCTTTGCAACCATGGGCGTGAGCCCGTATGTAAGACCAAAGGAAACAATATTCTTGGTCCCCACAACAACTACTAGCGCAGGCCCAGGATGTTGTGCCCCAGCTTCAGACGCAAATGTCGTAGACACGATGAGCACGGCGGTAAACGTGTACTGGAACAGTGTCCACGCCATGTATGGACCCCACCAAGTTGCACCGCCTCCAGCAGTGTAGCCGTAGAGAACCAGCATTGCAGCACCGATGATACCCGGTGGGATGAGAACAATGAGATGGTGTTCCGGCTTGTGAATGCCTTTGTTTCGTCGCGCGGCGTAGAGAACGAACTTATCGCCGATGAATGTGCAATACACCATTCCCAGCACGGCGCCGATAACACCACCGACGTTGATAAGCCCAATGTTCTTCATGTCCCATCCGTAGTGCTCGTGCAACACGGTGTTGTAGGTCAGTGACATGCCGACGGCGCAGCCAAGCGCAACCGATGAACTCAGGATGGCGAAGAGGATGCCTGGGGAGTATAGACTCTGGAGCATGTGCAGATATGTCATAACCATAATCTTAACCGGCTGTTTTTGAACCGGCGACCAAGGACGCAGCTTCTGAAGGTACGTCTTCCTTGGTACATCAGCCTCGTTCGCATCCGCACTGGGCACGCTCAACCCCTTGTCGCCCACCCGCGCAAAGTAATCCTGCGCCTCCTCATCCGGAATAACCTTTGTAACCCCAAACTCATCCGTGAAAATCAGTAATCCATCCAGACTAGCAGGCGACCGCGTAAATTGCGTTTCGAAGCCTAGCAAAAACGCAACCACGAGTCCAAATCCGATGGTGATGACGAAAACCCAGTAGTACCACCGCCATCCCATCTCTTCATTTAGATATGTGCTCGCCAGGTTGATGGATGAGCTCAGCGCATTCTGCACCATCCAGTACAACCCGAAAATTCGGCCGCGCTCGTGCAGAAAAGTTATTTCGGTGAGCATGAGCGGGAGGAGTGACTCGGATGAGCCCGTTGCGAGACCCTGCACGATGCGCGATGCGAGATGGCCGTTATAGCTATTTTGCACAGCGGCGGCAATCGTAGCCGCGAGCAGAATTACCATGGAAACGAGAAAGACTGGACGCCGACCATATGCTAGTGCCAAGGGGAGAATAATGTAGTTGCCTATTTTCCATCTCATCCACATTAGTCAATTCGAAATTAGGAGAGTTTTTTTTTGGGGGGAGGGGGGGATTTGAAAGAGAATTTAATTAACGTACCCAGTCCAATGCACAACGTAGGCAGCGTAATCAAAAACACAATCTCATCAGCCGTATATCCCTGCGGCGCATACATTTCAAAAAACACATTCAAGATGGCACCGAGCCCGCCTGCAATCGATAGACCCATGATAGAGAACCAACAGCAACAAAATATGATGCCATATTTTTCCCACGGAGAGAAGTTGAGGGGGTCATTGGGGTTGCATGAGGGGACGGGGATTTTACGGATTTGACCGTCTTCGCGGATGAGGAAGGCGTTGCCTTTGACGTGTGAGTGGGTATTGTCTTGGGGAGGTTGAGAGATGGTAGTAGTAGTATCTTCTATGTAGTTGATTTCGGCATCGAGTTTGTGATCTAGTGAGGCGCATGGGTGTGGTTCGGCCATCTTGGATGGGTTGTCGCTCAGATAATAGAGCTGGCAACTCTGCGAAGAAGCAAGGTGGTGCAGGCCTTATGCTTGATATAGCCAGCGCCCATCTTGCAGCTGAATAGAGGCTGGCATCCCAGGGGAGTATGGAGTCACTACATGCTGGTTTCTCCACATTCCGCTGCAAGTGGCAGAGGGCTAGACTTCATCTACGACGTGGAACGGCCGAGTATGCGGCTGTGGATAGGACCAAGTTCCATTATTCTGAAGATCGGACTACAAGCACTCAGTCGTGTACAACTCTACTCCACATTTCACAGTGCTGAGGATGCGGGGTAGAGTTGAACTGACCAATGGTATTCAGGTTGTTCGACCTTGTAGCAATGGGAAATATGTGAGGGATATGATTAGTATTAAAAGCTTGAGCAAAGCCTACTACATGTGTGCTACTAGTCGACTCCCGATACGCTAGCCGCCCACATCGGAAGTTGATAAATGGTTCGGAAGTTTTCCGCTGCTGAGCGATAGATAGAGTAGTCGGTACGGAACATGCGGGCACAGTAACAAGAAACAAAGTTTCTTCGGGGAATGTGGGCAAACAGACTATCTCATCATCTCAACTCATAGCAGTAACTACCTATGGGAGTAAAACTCCACACTACATTCATTACGTCAGCTCCTACGCACTCGACCTAACAGCCCTCTGCCTCTGCCTCTGCCACTCCACCGCCCCCCTATACTGAAAATTATAATCCATAAACTCATCAGGTCGCATCTTGATCTCACTACTCCCCTTCTCCGTTGCCGGCTTCGCCGAATCACGACTGAACTTTTGGATCAAACTCGCTCGCTCATATCGCGCTTCAAACACCTGGTTCAGGCGTGCCGTTACCTCTTCTGAATTGGCCGGTGGTCCATGTAGAGTATTCAGATAAGCGCCAAGTGCCTCTGCATCCTCAATCGCCTGGCTCGCGCCTTGACCCTGCGTAGGTAGCATAGCGTGTGCAGCGTCTCCGATGAGGATGACGCGCCCACGGACCCAGGTGTCGAGCGGATCGATGTCGCGAAGTTGCCAGAGGCCGATGCGGTCAGGGAGCTTGAGCATGTCTTTAGTCCAATCTGGGAAGTCTTTGAAAGTCTCGAGCATTTTTTGCGGGTCGCCTTCTGTCACCCATGATTGTGCTTTGTCTGGGTCTTCGTTCATTTTGTCGTCGGGGACGAGAGCGACGACGCTGAAGATTTCGCCGTTGCGGGCGGGGCCCATGATGAGGCGACAGTTGTGAGCCATGAACATTGATGTGTAAGGTTCGGATGGGTTGATGTGTGCTGCAAAATCTGGTGCTTTTTGCTGGATTTCTTGTGAAGTCATCATGAGTCGATAGCATGATGCGCCTGTGGGCTTTGGCTTGATCTCTTCTCCTGCTACTAGCGGTCGCAAAACGCTGTGTATACCGTCGGCGCCGATGATGATGTCTGCTTGAACGATTTCTCCGTCTTCTAGTTTGATGAGTCCCGCCTCGCAATCGCAGTCGACCACACGGGAAGAGGTCCGTAATACAGGAACTGGACCATTTCTCACAGGGTCTTTGACAACTTTTGTGAGCTGTGCATGCAAGTCCTGTCGATGCCACATGATGCGATCGGCTCCGTATTTCTTTTGTACGAGCAATGGAATTTCGTTGACCATTTTGCCCTCCGAATTAAAGATACGGAATCCACTATCCACCATGCCATTTGAAGCTTCCAGCAAGTCGCTCACACCCCACGTTTCCTTTATGATGCGTGTCGCATTTGGCTGAAGAGAAATTGTTGCGCCAATCTCCGACGACAGACGTGATTGTTCAAGAATGGTAATTTCACGGTTCGGGCCTCGTAAGGCAATGGCAGACGCTAGTCCTGCGATGCCGCTGCCAACGATGATGATTCGAAGAGGTTTTTGTGAAGCCATAATGAAACCAAGTGATAGCGGAGACAAAAAAATGTGAACAAGGAATGTTCAAGGCAGGATTGACATGGTGAAGTTGAAGTTGTTGCTCCGAGAGATCGTACGCCCACCCCCACATTACGAGTGTCAACATGCACACACATCCCATCGAGAAGCCGAGGGTTTGTTGCCTCCAGGATTAATAAGGTTATAGTATAGTTGCATGATCAGCACACAGTTAGGAAGAAGTGGGGTGGACTTCGGAACGGTTGACATCCAAAATTATCATCTATCGGAACATGTGGGGGTGGGGTTGTGGGCGTGGTGTATGAGCCTCATCATGCACAGCCCAACACGAGATGGTTGCAACTGAAAGATAAAAGCGATAGCCTTGACTAAGACCAAAGAGCAATTCATCAAGATCAGAACCTACCGCTTTGGGAAAAACCAAAGCTTCATTCGCACGTTATATCTCATCTCAACTCAACTCAACTCATCATGATCACGACCACAACTAAGACACCAACCCTCACCTTGAGCGGCGTTCAAAATGTTGCCATGAAGATGGATGGCACAGATGCCAAGTTTGGAGACTGGCGAGATGACCTCGCACGAGACGGCTATGCTGTCATCAAAGGAGCTATTCCCCAAGAAAGGGCATTGAAATACGCAGACCGCATGTTCTCATGGCTAGAAGGCTTGTAAGTTCGTCTGAAATCCGCATTCTTTACTCATCCACATACTAACAAGACTACATTAGTAACCTCGGATTCGACCGTAATGACCTGGCCACAGCACACAAGGACAAGCTACCGCTCATCAACGAAAAGGGCATGTGCATCCACTACGCCGTCACACATGAGGACTTTGCTTGGGACGTCCGCGGCGAACCAGGAGTTGTTAGTGCTTTTGAGAAGGTATACAACGAGAAAGACCTCATTGTCTCCTTTGATGCAATCAACTTTACTTTTCCCGGCCGCTCAGATATTGCCCCCAACAAGCCGTGGCCACACCAAGACCAGAACCCAGAGAAAGCTGGATTCCGCTGTCTACAGGGTCTTGTCAACTTGCTTCCTAACGGTCCAGACGATGGCGGTCTTATCGTCTGTCCAGGCGGCCACTTGCTCTCTGAGGAGTTCCATGCCGCCATGAAAGACGAACCACGTATCCCGGCGTGGACACCTGAATGGTTCGGCTTTACTGAAAACGGCATGAAGTGGCTCGCAGAAAAAGGTCTCACATGGACCAAAGTCTGCGCGGATCCAGGCGATCTACTTGTCTGGGATAGCCGCACACCGCATTACAATTTGGCCTCGAAGACTCAGCAGCCGAGGTTTGCGATATACACGTGCTATATGCCTGTGGCGGATGCTTCGCAAGAGGACTTGATTCGCAAGAAGGATGCGTATGAAAGGTGGGTTGGCACAACTCATTGGCCGAATGCGATGCATACTGGTTCCAATGTTGCAACGAGGGATGGGGTGGAAGATCCGCACAACCGCTTCGAGCCGGTCAGCAAGCCGGTCATGAATGAGCGGACATTCAAGTTGACTGGCATTCCCTATATCAAAAACTAGTGTAGATAATGCGTGACAGATCTGTTTTGAGATGTAGTTTGTTTTCTTGAAGTGGATGTAATGTATCGCCTATACGATGTCATTAGCATCACGAATGATGAATATGATTAGTCGAGTTAACTAGTTAGTTTGAAGACATGCGAAATAATATACCCCATCTTTTTCTGTGTTTGAATCTGAGGCAGTGGAGTGTGGCAGCGGAGGTAAAAAAGTTGAAATTGGAGAAGCGTCAGGCGAAGTAATTTCCTAGCAAAGCACATGGGGTATCAATGTCGTGCTAAACGCTGCAAATTACACCAACGCTCATGCTGCAGAAATGTCACCTTTGGACATCTCTTTGTCCTTGTCACGTTTTTGAGACCCTTTCCTTCGTCTTCGCTCAACCTTGTATACATCGTTGAAATTAATATTGACAGCCAACATTTTGAGCTCGCCATCGGGGGAGTGGACCAGGTCACCAAGGAGAAGGTTGATTCTGGCTTTGAAGTCCTCGGCCAGATGACTTAGGCGCTTTTGAAGTGCTGGTAGTACGTCATCTTCGACAGACCCAGTCATACCCATTTTCAGTAATGGTGGCGGGAAAGGCGAGTCGGCATCCTGGTTGGTAGAAGCTGCGCGCGATCGCGCAAAAGGATCTGGAGTCGAGCTACCGTGGTTGTCCTTTTCAGAGAGACCCCACCTGCCAGCTGCGGTTCGCGTCTCAATCTTGGCAGCATGTTCTTGTCTTCGAGTGAACTCTGCAACTGAGCACGAGTATAGACCATCTACCGCGTCTTTGTATGCTAGCATGGTCTTTAGCAGCTCATGCAGTTGCGCCGTGAAGTCTGTGGTAGTGCTTCCGAGAAGACCTTTTCTCGTAATGTTGTCGAGGTACCTTGCGTGGGCTTCGATCATGTCATCGAGTGTGCTTTCTGGTTTGTTGAGCGCTCTTTGCAAATCGATCCACGACGACTCAATGACCTCAAAAAGAATGTAGTGCTGGAGCTGATTGACAAAGTGGACCATCTCGGCCATGGCGCAGCGCGCTTTCTTCCAGTCGGAGCCCATCTTGTCTGATACCGTACCCAACACGCCGCGAGCACCAGTCATGCAGCGACGCCATGTAGAACCAAGAGCAAACTCGACACGCTTTACTCTCCATAGAAAGTTGAAGACTTTAAGATACTGCTTGGAGCCAAATGGGGTCACAATGACATCTACAGGAGCATCGATCTTGTATTCGAGGGTGAATACGTCCCATCCAATCTCGCCATGCGACAGCTCTAACATGCGAGAATCGAGTCGGCGAAGAACGTCTGATGTGTCGAATTGGGCGTTGGAATTTCTGACAGCGTGTTCGAGCTGTGCGGTGAGCGTATGTCGGTACTGAGTGTTGGCGGGTCTATCGAGATTTGACGAGAGCGATTCCATGAGTACGGCAATAAAATCACCAGCGCCAAGCAACATGTACTTTTTCAGTGCTTGCAAATGATCAAATAGCTTGAACTTGTTCGCCATGAGGTCAATCAGACGAGCCATGGTAGTCTTATAGGCATCGCCGATAGATCTCTCCAGGTTCGCGGTATCACCATATTGCAGCTCCTTGGAAGCCTTTTTAGAGTAAGTGTCAACCCATGCTGCATCTCCGCAACCATAGCGAATAAAGTTGAGTGTCTTCCCAATGAGGAACACCTTTTTTGCGAAGTCCTCAGTAACAATGGTTGGAACCATCTTGTCGTTGAGTCTGTACTTGTCTTCCCATACACTTGTCGCGCCGCCCTTGCCCTCGTTGCCATTTGCTTCGAGAATCTCGTCTTCGCTCTGCTCAGAGACGAAGAATTCTGCGAATGGATCAGCCAGCTCGCCATCGTAGACCCACTGCCTCAGCATGTCGTAGAATGGGCGGGTGACGTCGGAAAGAAGGCGCTCAGCAAAGTTCATGACGTAGGGGTCGCCGTGATTGAGGGAGAAGGAATGGATGAGTGCAATCAGTTCGCCGCCTTTCTTCTTCTTTGATTCTTCCACCATCAGACTCATGAGTCGCAGGCCCATTGTCGGCTCTCTAATCCATATGACGCACCGCTTGAGAGTGACTCCGGCTTTGCTGGCGCCCTGGTGCGCTGAGCCCTCACCGAGCTGTGCCAAGGCCCTCTTAATCTGGCCCTCGAGCGTAGCAACCAGGCCGAGGTACGCCCTCAGTTCCTTGGCCAAAGCCGCGCGGAAACTCTGCTCTATCAGACCGCCTTGGCTCTCATCGACAAACTCGGCAAGGCCTTTGTACAGGATGGCGGGCTCAGCAAGGGTATGCAGGAGGCTGATAATGGGCACAGGGAGGGTCGGTGGAAGTTTGAGGGCTGTCGAGGAAGGAAATGCCAGATTGGCAGACGAGTAGCCCTGTAACGTGAAAGGGAGCTCGCGTAACAGGGTCGGTTCTGAGGGGCCCAATTCTGGCATTTCGGCGGCGTTAGCTGCTTTGGCCTGCTGCTCTTTGGTCGTGTCTTGGGAGCGCCTCTCGCGTCGCTTCTCTGGCTTTTCGGCAATAGTCGGTGGGCGTGAAGGTGCTTTGGGTGAACCGGCATTGACAGGTAGCTGGGCAAGGCCGGGTTTCGCAAAGGCGTCCTGGAATGCTGGGGCAGAGGTACGCTTAGAAGGTGTAGTGGGCTCACGAGGAAAGCTGCGCAGGTCTTGGGCCACAGGCGCATCGGGAACTGGCTCGCCATTGTCCGAGAGTTTGTAGAGGAAGTAGAGCATTCGCCATTTCTGGTCCAGTACCGTCTGTGTCTCGAGGCGCGAGAGCAGATTATGCAGACGTGCGCTCTTGTGCTGATCGTTTCGTGGGCCTGAGACTGTTATGTGTTAGTAATGTGTATCTTTTCCATGTATAACCACATAACACGCAACATCATCACTCACCCTTGCGGTCCATCAGGCTGGCGATGTGGTGGACATCTGGGACCAGGGCGGGATCTCCTGCCGACGTGAGTTCGTCAATGGCAAACTCAAACGCGTCTTCGAAGCGCTGGTTGGCGGCCTCTTCATCATCGTTGGGATCCTCAGGTACTATGCGCACCAGCAATTCGTTCAACGCGTGTTCGACGCGCTCACGGTGGAGTTTTGCCATGGTGGCGCGTTGTCTGGTTGTGGTGTCGACACTCACCAAACACCATCGCGGCGGGGCAGCGCCCGTGCACCGCTCCTCAACATCGTCATTGCCCTCCTCTACCCCATATCCCTAAACTCACACATCACCCACATAGCACCGCGCTGAAGCCATCATTTCCATACTGCCCATGAGTTTCACATCTCGCTCTGATAACTTCACCCACTGCAACCACTGTGGACTACTTTTACTACACATTGACACTTATTGGAGCATTCATGACATTTCCAGTGTCTTTCACTATGTAGCTATGATTAGTTCAGATAGATAGCTTATAGAAAAGTGCAGTTGGAAGCCTAATATAAACCTCTTCTTACGCCAAAATTCACAGTATCAGTGGGGTTTGCCTCTCTCTCACCTCTGCTACCTTGTCCCAGCAACCACCCTGTGCCTTTGTTTCTCCAGGTGAAGGACAATGCCATATACAGACCATCGATACTGTCTATATCAATCTTACCCAGGCCTGTCTTTTCCTTCTCTTCTCCTCCAACATCCACCAAAGATCGCTCAATGGACCAAGACACGATGACTACGCCCTATACTACACCTCCCGGTTCTTCAGAGAGGCGCACCAGCATCGGAGAGACCTCTAACCCGATCGTGATTTCGTCACCTATTCCCCAACTAAAGCCATTCAAGCCGCACCAGTGATTGTCTAATTGTTCTCCAATGCTCAGTGACTAACACTGCTTCCAGGATGCTCATGCAGGCTCCCGTCGCAATTGAGTGTAGTCCAGATCTCTCTATCAAGTTCACTATACACGAAGAGCTCCTTCGTTGCCATAGTAAACTGCTCGAGGAGTGCTTCACCAAGGCCAAGATTCTTAGAAAGCAGTTTGAACAGACCGATCACCTTCGTGACCAGATTGCAGCACATGTCTTCCCAGAGGTCACTGCAGAGGAGTTTGCAGCTGGTGATCACGAAGAAAAGGTAAGCTTCCTGAGACAACTTGGAAAGAACGGACTCTATAGTTATCATCACCATTACAGACAAAGTCCAGTCGATCTGGTATCAGTATGATGACACCATATTAACATACCTGTAGGCACTGCCTCTTATTATCCGCGCGTACGAGAGGTTCCCTATGCCTGGCTATGGACCAGCTATCAAGAAACTGATCAACAATGCAACGCAAGCAGAAGTGCAGTCGAAGCGTGTCAAGACATGCATGTTGCACGACGCCATTCGAGAAGACAACACGAAAGTACGTCTAACCTACATCGACGCCTTTGGTCTGCACGCAATTACAGAGAAACTATTCGCTGCCATCCATCGGATCAACAAGAGGGAGATTACTAGAGCCAAGGATAAGGTTTTGCGAGCTGCAGCTTAGAAACGGATTCTCATACTAGAAGCGGAGCCAGATACTGTTCAATCAGTAATGGACTGGATCTATCAAGGAAAAGTGGAATTCGAAGATCCACAACAGCTCTACAACACGTTGCAACTCGCTACACAATTGGATGTCAGGGCACTGAGTGAGTTTTGTCACTCCGAGCTGTACAATACCGCCAAAGACCATATTGAAGATGCTGTGGCCAACGGTACATCGCTCAAAACCATGCTGGGATACGGGCCTGGTCCAGGTGATCGCATCATGAAAGTAGTATTCAAGCATGCATTCAAGGATCACGACACGCCAAAGAGGCTTCGAGAAATGGTCATCAACACTCTGGCCAGCAACCTCAATGCAGAGCTATGGACTGAAATCAAGGACGTGGTCAGTCACGGCATGGCTTTGCAGATCATCGAGGCAATGCTGGAATATCAAGAGCAAGTTGAGGAAGGGGCTACGTAACCATGCTGACATTAAGTATGAGGATAAAAGAACCCGTACTATGTCTCCAGTGTCTGCCATCAAGGAATGATCAAGTGGCTGGGGTTGGAGGTAAAGGTCGATCTACTTGGAAATATTTGCTGAGCCAAGAACGACTGGCGCTTTTATCAGCACCTCGATTCAAGGTCTGCACACATATTGCTGATACATTCCGTGGTTTTTTCTCATGACAGATTGGTTACTTTCATTGCTTTTTGTTTTCTTTTCCACACTCGGGTTTCACTCGAATTTGATCATCTTCACATAGTTTGTCGGCTTTCTCCTCAGAAATCGATGAGTTGTAATATGGTTTAACAATTCACTGCCTTGTACTTGAAGATTGCCAAAATTGTGTTGGATGCAGTCTGTGTTGGCGACTCTGGTTGACCTCCGTGCTAGAGTTTCTCAACTGAGCTTCAACTTCATATAGAGGTCAATTATCGATAACTTTCTTGCTTGAACAGTTTCTTCAACAGAAATGATTACTTAGAAGTATGCAGCAACACTAAATTGGGGTCAGAGAAAGCAACACCGATTCGATGGTATCGTTGTGGGAACTTACCTAGAGAATTTCGGGACGATTCAAGTCACGCATAAGAAACTATTTCTCCTCTTCTCCAGCTTCGGCTGCAACAGCGACTCGTTCTGGAGAAGCGAGTACAATACTGGTTTGCTGTGCAGCACGGGCTCCAATAATAGTTCGTTGTAGAGCACTCAACGCGAGCGCAGCAAATGCAAGCGACAAAGAAAAATAGAGCTTCATGTTCGCAATGGAAGACAAGGGGTTCCGAAAATGCAGTGTTTTGATTCTTGTGTTGCTCAGAGAGCCTAAGAGATGTGGGAATCCAGAAGGAAGTGCCTACTACGTAGTGTTTATATTCCACACATCAATATACATTGTGGACACTGCTCTGAAGAATTCACACAACACACAATGCAAAACTGGACCAGTTATTCTAACAGCTCAACCCATATTGTGTATACGAGATAGACCTCGTTGAATTAGAGTGCGGCCGAAACATAGACTACCCCATAAGTATCTAGTTAAATGGATTCGCATGCATTTACTACAACAGGTTAGCCTTAGATTCATACAAATCCGAAACAAGTCCCTAGAAAGACCTACTAAGACAACAATCGTGCTAGCGCCGGCAATGTGTTCTTATGAGTACAAGAAAAGGTCACGGCTTGTGTTAAGCAAGATGCTAAAAGGAAATTTTCTAGATTAAACTGCTGATGAATTCGGTGGTCGACTTACATGCAGTAAGTATGTACCAAGCAATACTTGGAATACGATCGCGACGGATCGAGATTCTGCCGAATGAAATGGCAATGTTGATTTAAAGTACTAGAAGACGACAAACAGAGAAAGCCTCATATTATTTCATCAATAATATATTGGTTATACAGATGATACGAATCTTAAACATGCTATCATCGTGACCTACATGCTACGTTCATTGTGTTTCGTAGTCCAGACCAACTTTTTCCTATATCGAAGTCCACAATGACGAAGTAGGCTTGCCAGAAGAAACACAAACATCCAACCCGACATCATTTCATCTGCATCTACACCTCTTCACCCAAGCAATCAAACCTCCATCTTGTTTTTCTCCACTCATTATGCAACGTCACCCTTCCCTGGCGCATCCAAACTGGCATCCACTAAATTTACTAGGCGCCAACCGCAGCACCCTTTGTGCCCACCTCTACATGTCCTGCAACTATACAGTCCACCCAGTCCGCATCCTTCCCTACGGGAAACCCCACTGTACAACTCATCGCCCACACATTTAGTCAATCCTCGCGTCCCCACTGCCGCTATTTCCCTAAGCCATTGAAAACGACACTAAAGTAGTCGTGTGCAACGCTCCAAGTTCAAGTTCAAATCTTAACCGAGGGCGTTTTTTGGTGTAACAGGTGGGTGCGGATCGATTCGATCTGGGCCGTGGGTGGTACGGTGCAGACTCGAGGAAAAGGTATTGGTACGTAGGAAAGGGGGAGGATGTACATGTTGTGTCCGGAAGATAAGGGGTGTTCGCGTGGAGGCGGAGAGGTACATCGAACAAAGTGACAGCTGACATGTGATGACAGGAAGGATATAACGCTGATATACAAGTTATCTTTTACTCAGCCTCGTCAGTACCCATCATCGTTTGTATTCTGTAATCGAAATCTTCTTCTGAACCTCCTTAAATCGAGTTCATCAATTACTAGTTTTCGAGCCGAAAATTGAGAAAAACTCCCTCGGACTAGCTACAAACATCCATACACAACCTCATCTCGCTATCCCACATTCCACTAGCCTACTCTCCCTCCATACCCCTTCCACCTGGTACACATCCCAATCAAATAAAGAACCCGCAACTTGATAGCGTCCGCGTTACCCGCTCCCGTAATGTCGTCCAGAAACACCCCGTACAACGTAGTAAAAACGGTGGGTTGGATGGCAAAAAGAGCTCCATGTAACGTAACGCCTATGACACAAAGCCGATGTCCAAGCAATACAGTAGCCTTTCTGCTCTGTTACAAGCGCGATTTTATTTTTTCGAGAGAAGAGATCTGATAACAGGGAAGAAAGAAGAATAGGAAACTGGGAAAATGTAGCCGAGATGCAAGAAGAAGCCACAGTTGTAATGGCGATCTAACGTAGGTAAAGACAACGCATATCCCGCTGGCTGCTTTTTCAGTAAAGAAACGCCTTACTTACTACCTATTGCCAGTTTTTGAGAGAACTCATCAACAAAGATGGATAAATCATCAAGGTTCCACCTCACAACCTTCGTCCACTTTCCACGCAAGGTGTTTGCGCAGCAGACATCTGGCGTATCCCCGTACGCTGGACAAGATACGTATGAGCTATGTGATATGCATAGTACTAGCAGTCTGTGTCCTGCGTCTGCGAGCTCGACTTACTCGACGACATCGACATGTGAGCGCCATTCGACAGAGACTGAGACGGGTTCGACGGCGGTGATGCGCCGAGCAAAGTTGGGACAGGCTCAGCTGGAAACTTGTCTGACGACTCCGCAGGCACAGGCGTATGATAAGATTTCGCCGTTGGTCTTGTTTGTCGATTTGTGGGGGTGTTCTTCGCATAAGATGTATTGTTGAAATGATGAGATTGGGCTGTGAGAGATTGTATGCAGGAGACGAGAATATGCGTGGTAGTATGTGTATCGTTCACGGGGGGACTTCTCACAACATCACCTGCAAAAAAATGAGGAACACAAAAAAAGGCGCTGGGAAAATGCTTTTAATACACGGCGTAGCAACGTCAACGCTAACACGTCTGCGTCCCACGCCACCGCGACTTCAACAGAGCCAAGGCCGTGAATGATTGTTGTTTAATACAAAACCGTCCACCAATCCGACATTATCGTCTTCAAGTCAAATGTTCCAAGACTGCCGATACCAAATCAGCACCACCAGAATCAAAAGTTCAAATCCAAAACAGCCCCAAAACCAGAGAGAGAAGAGATATAATGGCAGAGGGAGAAAGGGGGAGAGACCGTTACGCCGTCGCTTGATATTCATACAAAACCATAAAATCGTTGTTTTCCACACAAAAATCACTTCGTACACCGTTGCCTTGTGATGTTGACAAATTTATTCGTCTGCCTCTGCTGCACGCGGCGCGGTTAATGGCTGCCCTGCCATGATCGCTTCCCGATCCCGTCGCATGCCCTCGAGTACGCCGACCAGGCCGCCTTCGCGCATGCGTTCGAGCACTACCTTCATGCCCTCACGCGCGTTTGGCTGACTTCGCTGCGCGCGCGAGAGACCAATCTTTTCAATGTTGCGTTGTAGAGCCGCGGTGCCCCAGCTTCGCAAAAGACCCATCTTTTGAGGTTGTTCCTCTTCCACAAAACCCTCTCTAGCAGCCTCGCGCTTCTTCTTCCACGCCTCGCCAATATGACTGTGCAGCGTAACCGAGCTTGTCACATCTGTTGTCTCGACATTGTCTTCCACCTTGACGCCATTGCCCTTGTTGTTGAAGTTGATGAAGCCGTGGCGTAGAGCGGGGCTTTCCGAGCCCTGCCGAACTCTCGCATGGTCAGACGCGAGCAAAGAAGGGCGAGTGAACTTCTGCCTTTCAATGACGGATAGAACTCCTGTCCACTCCAGGTTGCGGGACTCAGTGTCCATCCATCCCTCCTTGATATCCACAACCGATTTCTCAAGAATGTAAGTCTGCGATTCGCCGCCGGCCGATGCACCAAGCAGAGACCGAGGGACGAGCTTGAGCACAGCAGAGGGAAGTTTGGAGCGCTTAAGGTGTAGCCGTATGGTAGTCAGGCGCTGGGTCTCGGGGTCATAGTGGCGGGCGATAGTGTCGGTGGAGAGCACGTGAGTGGAGTAAGGGTTTGGATAGCGCAGGAAGTAAGCAAGGGAAACTGCGGAGAAAGGATATGAGTAAGTTTCGTTGGAAGAGTAGAATTTGACCATTTTGGCGTCTTATTGGTGCTTCTAGAGCTTCCTGTGCAGGTGTATGTGGAGAGGCAGAGGGCGGGTGGAGCAGTTCGTAAGTAGAAGGTTAGATGAACCTGTAGCGGACGGTGTTCTATCTCAGGTAACGAAGTCGCATGGTCAGCAGTATCCAATTGCGACTGGACAATTGGGAAGGCCGTTGCAGGGGAGAGGTATCGAGCGGGGGTGGTGTGAAGATGGTGGTGTGACGACAAGCGGCAGAAGCATCTGGAGCTCTGCCTGCGATCAGTTTTGCCTCTCGGTCGCTCGGTCGTTCGTCGGCACTACGACTTGTCCACCTCCGATCATGTGGCTGAACTGTGGCGCAGTGCGGGGCAGCTGAGGCGGTGCAGCAACACCGAATTGAAGCGGGGTGGTGCCATTTTGATTAAATGGCCATTGAGTCAACGCGTGATGAATCATCGCCGGTCCTCTTGATCTCGACTCCTCCATACCTACTTATATCCGCTGAAATTTCTTATCGATACATACATCTTGTCTCATCGCCATAATGACTGAGCCCGAGCCGCCGGCGGTGGCCGCCCTCTCCATCTCCGACACGGCCACGCAACCTGTTTCCAAAGCCACCGAACAGGAAATCAACCCGTGGGATGTGCAAGCTGCGGTAGACGAGGATGGAAACGTGAAGGAATTTGACTATGTCAAGATCTCCGAACAGTGGGCAACAAAGCTCATAGACCAACCGCTCCTTGAGCGATTTGAGCGCGTGACCGGCCACAAGCCACATCGCTGGCTACGGCGCGGTCTGTTCTTCTCTCACCGAGACCTGGACTTGATCCTTGACACTTACGAGCGTGGCGAAGACTTTCTCCTATACACTGGTCGTGGACCTAGCAGCGATGCTATGCACATTGGCCATACTATCCCCTTCGAGTTCACCAAGTGGCTACAGGATGTCTTCGACGTACCATTGGTCATTATGTTGACAGACGATGAAAAGTTCCTTTTCAAGGAAAAGCTGAAGCAAGAGGAAGTTTACGAATTTGCCCGACAAAACGCAAAAGATATCATCTCGATTGGCTTTGACGTTAAGAAGACTTTCATGTACATCGACTCGGAGTTCTTCACATCGGGATACAACAGACATTTCAACCTGAACGCGACCGAGTTTGAAAAGCTCATCACCAACAACCAGGTCCGTGGCGCATTCGGCTTCCATGGCTCTACAAATATCGGCAGTAACGCATTTGCTGCCAAGCAATGTGTCGCTGCATTTGCCTCGTCGTACCCCTTCATTTGGGGTGAAGATTACAAGACCTACCGCCGATCGAAGAAGCTCGCTGCGACGCCCTGTCTCATTCCCTGCGCCATTGATCAAGACCCGTACTTCCGTCTCGTCCGTGAGAACTGCAATCGCATGGACAACCCTTCACCAAAGCCTGCGCTTATTCACTCCAAGTTTCTTACAGCACTCCAAGGTTCCGGCGGTAAAATGAGCGCCTCGAACGCCAATTCAGCCATCTTCATGAGTGATACTGCAAAGCAAGTGAAGAACAAGATCAACACCAAAGCATTCTCGGGCGGTCAGGAAACACTTGAGCTTCATCGAGAGAAGGGAGGAAACCCTGACATTGACGTACCCTACCAATATATCGCTTATTTTGAGGATGATGACGAGAAGCTCAAGAAACTTGCTGAAGACTACCGCAAGGGCGAACTGCTGACTGGTGACATGAAGAAAGAATGCATTGAAACCATGACAGCATATACCAAGAGGTTCCAAGAAGCAAGGACGAAGGTCACAGATGAGATACTAGATGAGTTCCTCCGCCCAAGGAAGCTAGAATGGAAGGGCAACCCGAACCCCAATAAGCCAAAGCTGGAGCAACCAAAGGAAGAGACTGAAGGGGGTCCAATGCTAGATGCCGATGGCAAGCCAATGACCAAGAACGCCATGAAGAAAGCTGCCAAGATGGCTGAGGTTGAGCGAAAGAAGAAAGAGAAGGAAGCTGCTGCAGCAAAGCAGTAGCATGTCTGGTAGATCCAACAAGTGTTAGAAGAATAGACATGTGGTACGGGAACTATAAATCAGATCCGTACGTCGAACTCCGCCAAGTGAATCGCCTCGCATCAATGTTTAGTGCACTCCTATATGGCTACTCCTACTCAACAAACACAGCACTGTGCATTAGTATGAGAGACGCTCTACTAAGGTCTATGAGATGATGACACTTTGACCTTTGTGTAAACTCTACGAGTCGTGACGTAAAGGACGGCGCACGTGGACAGTACACCGGACTACTCAGCGGGCCGATCCGAAAATGTGGGCCCGGATGATCCCAACGATGGTAACCCACAAGTAAGTTCGCCGTTCTCTAAGTCGACCCACCAGCGGTACTGCAGTCGCGCACTCCAGCAACCCTTTTAACTCGCTGCGGTTAGAGCTCGAGTTCCCTAAGTTGGTTCAGGTACGCTATGCACCCTGAATCATTCTCTGGGTCCATGCGGAGCTGCCACAAACTATCGAAACTGTGGTGCCCTAGAATCTTATTCGCTGTCTCCATGCTTGACCAGCAGCTGAGTCTACAATGTTGGCATGTATAAAGCCATCCATGCACCCAATATCCAGGCGCATATTAGTTTCATGCGCCATCTAACGCAGCCCGCACCCAACACTTCGTACCATTCGATTGTCCATGCCGAACACCATTTGCATTTTGTTTAAACTTTATATGATCCTGCTTGTGTTATCTGATGGCTAAACCTTTCTGCATCTTGTTTACGAACACCGGGCTCTTTATGTGCGGGGTGACACCTAGGTCTGCCTCAATCCCATCTTCTTACCGCTCTCAGGCTTCACTCTCATCACGCATATTCAAGACCCTTTTTCGATCCCTTTTACAAATCAATAACATCATGTCGTCTCTTGATACAAAATCGGCACATGAGACCACGTACTCTGAACAGCAGCCCGTGGATCTACACATCAGGGGCTCGTCAAGTTTGGCTAATACTGCAAACACTTCACCTTTTCCACCGACAGTTTCGATATCAGAGTCATTACATCCCATTACGGACCACCCTAATCGTGCAATAGAGGCTTTCAATGATGCTGAATGCTCAATGACACTCAGGCAGGGTGTAAGGCTCTACCCAAAAGCCATTACATGGTCAGTGTTATTGTCAATGACCCTCATCATGGAAGGATACTCTACAATCCTGGTACCCAACTTGTTCGCCATGGGCCCATTCAAAGAGCAATTTGGTAGCTTGCAACCCAACGGGGACTATGAGATCAGCGCTACTTGGCAGAGCGCATTTGTCAATGGGGGTCTCGTAGGTCAGATTCTAGGGCTCTTCGCTACAGGCACTCTAGCCGAGTACTTTGGATACCGACGCGCTCTCATGGCTGGACTGATCACGATGGCTCTTTTCATATTGATACCATTCTTCGCTACAAAGGGAGTAGTGTTGCTGATTGGCCAATGTATGTTGGGGATGCCGTGGGGGATGTTTCAGTGCATCTCTACAGTCTACGCGGCAGACGTTTGTCCTGTAGCTCTCAGGGCTTATTTGACAACGTACGTACATGCGATTTATCCCAAAATATCGCCGAGTATCTGACCATGATATAGATATGTGAATGCATGCTGGGTACTCGGACAACTCGTCGCTTCCATCGTTTTGCGCAGCATGATCACTGATACCTCATCATGGGCATACCGCACACCATTTGCACTTCAATGGATTTTCCCCGTACCGATACTCGTCGCCGTATACCTTGCACCGGAGTCTCCATGGTGGCTCATCAGGCAAGACAATTTCGCTGATGCAAAGAAATCTCTTCGCCGCTTACGAACCAAACCCAAGCACGTCTCCGATGCCGATTTCGATGCTAGCCTAGACGCTACAATGCACACAATGGTACAGACGAACGAAAAGGAACTGCTGATGCAGAGCGGGACAAGCTACAAAGACTGCTTCAAAGGGGTTGACAGACGACGAACAGAGATTACGTGTATGGTTTGGATGATTCAAACACTATGCGGTGGCTCATTCATGGGCTTCTCAACATATTTTTGTGAGTTGGGCCTGCTCAAGTGCTATGTACTTTTTGACTTATATGGCACAGATGAACAAGCCGGTCTCGGCTCTTCATATGCTTTCAGTCTATCGCTGGGCCAGTTTGCGCTTGGCCTTCTCGGTGTCGTCATATCCTGGGCTTTGATGGTTCTCTATGGGCGTCGCAGCCTCTACCTTTGCGGTCAAGTATTGACTTTCGCCTTTGTCTTGTCCATCGGCATCTTGGCCTGTGTACCTGGGCGCCGTACCGTCACTGTTGCTAGCCCCACTACCAACATCAGCTCATACCCAGTCGCGGATGTACCGCCTACCGCACTCAATTGGGCTATCGCTGCGCTGTTGCTAGCTTTCACTCTTACGTACGATGCAACAATCGGCCCTATATGCTACGCTCTTGTATCGGAGATGCCCTCCACGCGATTACGCAGCAAAACCATTGTTCTCGCACGTAACTGCTACAACGTCTCCGGCATCGTCGCCAACGTCATCACACCGCGCATGCTCAATCCCACAGCGTGGGGTTGGGGTGCGCGAACTGGCTACTTTTGGGCTGGCACAAGCATCATAGGTATCATGTGGAGCTGGTTCCGGCTCCCAGAACCGAAAAATAGGACATTTGGGGAACTGGATGAACTCTTCGAAAGGAAAGTGGCAGCAAGGAAGTTCAAGAATACAAATCTGAGACCTCCTGAACGCGCGGTGGGTAATATCACGGTGACAGTTGGGAAGCGTACAGGATAGTTTGGACTATTTGCGCGGGCAACGTGCCTACAGTGAAAATGATGATATCGTAATGGCTATATGACAGACTAGATACACATGGGAGATCAACCGACCTCTGTGACTAAAGGTTTCTGTAAGTCATTCTCATACTTTGGCTTCGTATAAGCAACTTGATCGTCCTCGAAGTTGACACTAGGATAGATCGCACTATACAACATAATTTCAATGTCAAAAAAAGCAGATTTATACTTTTTCTAGTATCCTAGTTCAATAAACTTGCCTCCGTGTACAATCTACCTCCTTTGACAACATAACCTTAGTGTTTTCGACTTCACTACTATGCCTAGTCAATGCGTGCAACACCCTACCAAGATATGCGCCTACTAAAAAAATAAAGCTTTAGACTACTACTAAACCGGCATCATTATGCAACTTCTTAGTAGAGTACTATAATGATTACATATTTCACATATGTCTACTAGTATCTACTAAGTAAATGATCCGATAGCAAGCCTGCATTAGGAAATGGACGCACTCCGTTCGTGCAACCCAGGCCGCGCTTACCTTTCTGCGCTGACATCTAAATAGGCAATCTACCTCAAACGTCCCATTACAAACTGCCCTCCCCCCTCCGCTGTTATTTTTCTCTCCTTTAATAACCTTTCTCTCCACCGTTACTATTCTAACCGCCTGCCCCTTTCACCTATACTAGCAACTTTCGTTTAGGTCTCGGTAGATACCCCTACTGTAATGTATTTCTTAAGGCCTGCAGCCGCTCCTCGATACTGCCTCCACCCGTATAGCAACTGGGTCGATTTCTATCCTGTTTGGCCTTGTAGGGCAGCCCCGCTTGTATATTCATGCCTCTAGCTGCTGATGTATAATTCTAGTGACCGGTAGGAGCTAGAGCTACGGCAAAGATATTAACGAAGCCTACGTTCGTTACAATAGGCCTAATATATGGAAATGAAGACTTGCCTCTAGATCTTGAAATCTTTAATGTCAATGTTTAATGCGTTTGTTAGTGGCGATTTAAATAGAAGTGGATAGGCAATGTCGAGTTACCCACATGTTGAGACCTAACTCCGTGGATGCGCTGACAACAAAGAAGTATGCCACGATAACTACTAGATTACTAGCTAGTGGGATGAAGGATCGCTAAGGCAAAACTGCAAAAAAGTAATTCTTTGAAATTAACTGCTGAATAGGTTATACTTGAAGGATACATTGAGCAAGGCATTCGCACATTTTGTTCTACATTTGGCAGAGAATTTATGATGTTTGTTTTTTGGACTATAGATTCATCTTGAATCGAGTCTCCCTAATGCATGATTATAGGCAAGGTTTTCTTTGCTGATTTGTATTTTAGATTCTTCTGTTTAAGTTTGGTGGAATGCTTAGAAACAGTGGCCTCAGCTTAATTAACAAATGAGTGTATGTGGGTAAGATAGTTGTTACTTAGTATGGCTTTGATAACGACTAACAGAATTTCTAATCATTGGTTCAATTTGGTTTACATGATTCGAAAAAAACGCACAAACGAGTAAAAGCGACAGCAACAAGTCAGCTGCGTCGACGTTTAGTCGTCTGTCGTGTCTGCACAGCAAAGCGGAATCTGCTGAACCCATTCAGACGATCGAATTTGGTGGGCTGTCAAACGGCGTATGGGACTAGGTTCGAGGATAGAGTAAACAACATTGCGGCATTGGCGCTGAATTGAAGTCAGCGAGCAATATGTTGAAACTTCCTAGGAACTTACACGTCTCAGACATTCAATCGGCTCGTAGCCAGCTTCTGTCTTGCGACTTTCGACGTATTGCTGATATTCTGCATCTTCATCCGGTCGTGCAGCGCGCCACTGATTCTCCCCAGTTCGCATGGCCATGTAGATCATACCGCAAGCCCACACGTCTAGAGGGCGGGGGTCGAATTCCTTGAGTGTAAACTCCTCTGGAGCGATATACGGCAAAGAGCCGCAGATTCCAGAACTCATGCGTGCTTCTGTCTCCCAGGCTGCACGGAAACATTCGGCATTCCCAAAGTCGATGATCTTGACTAACCCACTCGTAGTAAGGAGGATGTTCTCAGGCTTGAGGTCGCGATGCGCCACGCCCATTTCGTGCATATACACTAGTCCTTGTATCAACTGCTTAAAGAAACAATCAGCTTCTGTTTCTTCGAGGGCACCAGCATGCAGGACAACTGAGTGCAATTCCTCGCCTGGAAAGTACTCCATAATCTGGCATTCCACGCCCTTGTCGTCCTGCAGAAGATCCAAAGTAGCGAGGATGTTTTGGTGATGTAGCGACGATGAAATGTAGAATTCTGAAACTACGCGCCTGTGGTACTTTTCCTCTGATTCTCCTTCAAGCTGCTTGTGCTCTTTTACTGCAAAGACTTGCGTGCTACTTGGATTCTTCTCGTCGATCTTGTATGAAACGCGGACCGTACCAAAGGCACCCCATCCTAGCACATCGCCGCATTTACCGTATTTACGGGCGAGGACGTGAGCCGGACCGGATATGTTTTGCGCAACAGCAGGATCTGCTGTCTCCTTTCGCAGCCTTTTGAACCAGTTTGATGCCACGTGCCGTATCTGCTGCTCTTTGAGATGGCGGGTCATCTTGAAAGACTTTCCACGGTTCCTGTAACTATGAATGGTATGCTCATGATGGCCATATACATCTTCCCGAAATCTTGCGCGCACGTCGGCTGCCTTGATAGTTGACGTTTGCCGTGGCAGTGGGAGACGACTTGGCTTGGCATTATCAGCCGCTTGGGCGCCGATGCAGTTCTTCCTGGTTGCTTCAGAGGAAGGGCTCGTTGCCGATGGTGAATGGCTCGAGGCAGCATTGGCATTTGGCCCTGGTTCAGTACCCATAGCGGGGTGATGGTGCTGCGAAAAGGTGGCACCACAATAAACAGTCAGAGCCAACTAGAGAAGTCGGCTATGCAAACCAATATAGAGTCACAGCTCTTGTGCTATGTAGCCTGCAAAGACGACTCAGCGAAAATTATTGTGCATTCACGCAAAGATGGCATACTAATATTCGCGTCTGCGAGCTTTTGTCCCACAGTCTAGGCTGTGGACAAACTTGAGATAATTGTAAAGCGTGGAATACATGGAGCTCAGTGGTGGGTGGTGGAACTGGCTTCTCCTCCCAGTTCGGCCGCAATTGGCAGTAGAATTGATGTGGCGCGATTGGTGAGGCAGAAGGTGCGGTGAAGTTGGAAGCTCGACGTTGCGTCAAAAGAAAGCGATATGTGTGTCTAAATTCGTTGATGATGAGGGTCAAATCTGATTCAAGTGTGGTCCTGGTCTGGGGCGAAGTTGTGCTTGAAAACAAGGCAATAGTGGGGGCAACCCTCTTCCATTTCACGTGCCTTTCAGGTAGAGACCGGCGTGACCGGGTGAAGTGGAGCCGTGCTGTCTTGGCCGCATCGCGAAACGAAAACCTCGTCCTTGGCGTTATCCTGGGCAATGGACAAATCTTAAAACCTGGGGGACAAATCACAGTAGCCTAATCGTAAATTAAGCAGCGCAGCAACTAACGCAGTGTAGTTTTAGAGTATATGTTATGAGATAGCTAGAGGGTTACTTGCAACTCATGCCAGAAGGTTCCTGGCCACGGATATCTTGTAGAGAAAGAGCGAATCCGAAGCAAAGTCGGAGTACCCGTCGTTCCTATCACGACGCAGGGATCATTCGGTACGTAGGAGGGGAGGTAAGTTCCAAATGTAGATTAAATTCACTCTGATCACAGTGGGATGGATGAAGAAAAATAGAAACACATGTCGGATAAGTACATTTTGGGGTTAACTTAATTATTCAGGATCTGAGGACTACTTGGTTGGTTATGCTACGCAAAATTTTCAATCGCGATTTGATTTCTCCTGGAACGTTTCTCTTTCCTCCTTTTAATCTGATTTTTTCGAACCGCTCGCAGTCTTTCTTATCCAGAACATGATCCAGACACCACATTCGATGAGGGTAGACTGCGAGTTGGTCAAGTCGGTTCTCCGTTCGTCATTCTTCCTGAAATATTAGTGGCCAAATGTGATTAAATGGAAGAACTCTACACCAAATCTTCCACACGTGGGTTGAGTGATTCGGGAGAAGGGCGAGACTCAAGGAGTACTTGGCAATAGAAGTGAACCTTCTATCTAATGTTACAACTTTACCTTTCGTTTATCAATTGTCGTACTCAAGCTTCGTTGCCCAGCATTTTTCTCACCATTCCAATGGTAATAAAGTCATGCCCAGTGTGCAAGGGGCGATGCTAGCCTGTAATCAAGAACGAAATGCGGCTTGAAAAGACAAAAAGAAGTCCAACTCTATTTATGTCTAACCCAAACTAGTTAGTACTGGCGGTCCTTGGGAGTGTCTCTAACGCTTTTGAAGCCTATGCATAGTTACTGGAAGTAAACTAACTGATCATATCTGCTTGGAGAATGGAAGTCCATGTCTCATCCCGATGTGGACAATGAACCCATCGTTCATTGACGCTGCTTTATATTTACCTCCTGATCCCCTACATATATTATTGTTTTAACCGTTGTGGCGCGGTATGCCCTTCTCTTCCTGCGGTAGAATCGTAAGAAGGAGAGCTGGATTGTTGCACGCACTGACTATATATAGTAATCCTCATTGCTTAGTTTGACGAATGTTTTTTCTTCGCATTTTCTCTTCTACCTCTCACTATCCGAATATTCCCTCTAAAAGCTATTCCAACTTCTCAGCATGCACACTACACACTTTCCCCTCACGCCAAACACCCCGAATATTCAACGTCGCATCAATATCCTCAAGTGGATTCCCTTCAACAAGCAACATATCCGCATTCAGTCCCTCTGCCAACCTCCCTCGGTCTTCAAACTTGAAGCGCTTCGCAACCAAGCTCGTAGCCGAGCGCAGTGCTTCCATGGGAGTCATACCTACCTTGTGCACGAACAAATGAAGCTCATGGTGCATAGTCAGACCAAACGCCGTACCGACTGCAGGACCAGCGGCATCGCTTCCACTATTCACCGTTAGGTATATCCTTAAGCTTTAGTAAAAGGTGGGTTACTACTCACCATAAAATATCAATCCCCGCATCCTTCAACGCCCTAACCCCCTGATACGCAAATTCCACCTTCCCCTTATCCGCAAACCCCATACACCGACACATATTCCCGACTCGATCCTCCCCAATCAACCCCTTAACTCGCAGATCATGCGCAAATCTGTGTTGCAGATCCACGCCTTCGGCTGTCAAGCTACCCATTGTCGCTAGCGTCGGGTTAACCCACGCGTTGTTCTTTTTGTACGCATCGATGAGTTCCTGGGTGGGAGGTTGATCGCAGAAGGTGTGGGTGAGCCCGTTTACACCTGCGGTGAGGACGTCGAGGGTATCTTTTAGACAGGTTGCGTGGGCGACGGTTAGGTAGCCGCGGGCGTGGGCTTCGGTGATGATAGTGCGTTGGAGGGAGAGGGAGGGGTATGCGAAGGTTTGGCTCATGATTGTGCCGCTTTCGTGCATGAGTTTGATGTAGTCTGGTTGCATTTCCTTGGTGGTCCAGTCGAGGTAGTTGATTACGCTGGTGTGGTCGGTGAGTTTTGGCCAACGCGAGATTGCGGCGGCGGTTTCTTCGCTTTTGTCGTGCGCGGTGATTACGGGGATGGGCCAGCCGTTTTCGATTGTTGCGGCTTGTCCGGCGGTTTTGTAGGATGCTGTGTCGGGCTCGAGCGTTTGCTTGCGGAGTTTCAGGACGTTTTCGAGTTCGTTGTGCATTTCGCACACGGTGGTGACTCCGAATCGTAGGGATTGCGGTAGAGCTACGGGATCGGCTCTGTCGGCATGGATATGGCAGTCGATTAGGCCGGGAAGAAGAGTGTGTCCTGGTTTTAAATATGTCTTTATTGATTCTTGTGGGATGTTGCTAATGGGTCCCACTGATTTGATCTTGCCATCCTGAATGTGTGCGTATCCTTGTTCGATTACCTCTTCACCAGTAAATATACGGACATCTCGAATGATGAAAGTAGCCATGTTATCAACTGATATGGGTGTGGACTACTGCCAAAGTTGGGTTTCTTCTCAAGGATGCTGAAATTAAATCAATGTGGGAAGAATAATAATATGTACAGTTGCGACAAGGAGTACGAGATATGAAAAGACCTCAGCTGAATCGGAACTCGGGCTCTTTTTAAACAAAAATTCTCATCCCCTGCACTCGATACTAGATGTGTATACGATTGCCACTGAAGCTATGCTTGAGGAGCATGGAAATCCAGGATTACAATACTAGCGTCCGGGGGCGTTTGCACACTAGACGTATAGGAATCGGATAGATGAGGGGCCCATATAATAAAACAACTCAAGTGGTTCAATGTGGTTATCATGTGGAGAATGAGGCTCGGATCTGGGGCTGCTTGTTCAACATGTGGTTCCGCGGTTCCCAGTGGCTGCTGCAAGCCCCTCATCGGCCCGCGTCGCGGAGAGCCGAACATGGCTTACATCTGGAGACTCAAAGGACGCGAAAAATGCAGATTTTCCTAAACGAGATAAAGGTGTGCTACAATTTCATGTTGTAAGCTTACGGTCACATACCGATTGATTGTGCTGCGTGTGATATGCAGGTGTATCCTATACCAGCTGGATAGATGTATAATTACGTGCCGACCCACAAACAAGTCCAAACTAGGTCACAGTCTTTGTGGGCAAAAATCTCCACAAAATTAGGATAAGCTCACCTATAGAAAATGTCGCCGTTTGGTTTCGCATATCACGACTCTGACCGTAACCATAACTACGAAAGATAAGTGGTTGTATCGCTTTATTTAGATTTCCCAGGCGAATTAGCTTCTAGCTCTGTTCTTGCTAATAGGCTCAGTGTCTGTCGACTAGAAAAGTCCATTATCTTCGAGAATGGACTAAGATATCGACTGTTAGACACGAAGTAGAATGCGTCGTTTGCAGATACCGCGTTCTGCAAGGGTGATATACATGCTGATATTCATGGGACCTGCACAAAGATCACATGCACTTAGGAGTAAGAATCTAAAGCCCTCTTTTCAGAAGGTTTAGTACCGATATTATATCTAGCAAAGAAGGTATTGGCGACTAGGAACCAGCTTACTATTCAGCCATGTCGTCGCTTAGGCTAAGCTGCAGTGAGTCTGACGTGAGGAGGGCCTGTCAGTATTTTGGTCCAGAATCCACACATGTTGATATGTTATTCCATCAGGCAGGTCTGATCTGTATTCCTGGAATAGTATTCTGCGTGCTTTGAGTGCTTGATCCACGTGACCAGGAGTCAGGAAGACGCGTAAAGTAGATGACGGAAGGAAGCCGGAGACGCCAAGCGCCCCACTAACACGGTCAAGCGTGCCATCACGTCGTCACGAGAGCGACATCGCTCTCTCGTCGACGAAACTATCCATTTTTACATTTCTAGCCTTGCGTGATTTGGATGCTGCGCGCTGTCTTTTTAGCTGCCAACGATGGTTGTCCTAGTTGATTTGGAAGACGATGAAGCGCCCTCATTACAGTCCCCTCACGCGTCTGGCTTGTTGAACGTTAAGCCATTGCACCACTCTCTGAGCGAGTCAACGGCAGAGAGTGGGCAGCGAGTGAGCGTTGCAGACGAGAGGCCGAACCCAAACAAGAGTGGATTCAGCGCTGCCCTGAGCTGCTATCCGTGAGCCTTAGCCATAGCATGGACTCGACTCCACGCCATGATGCATGCTAACCATGTTAACCACACAGAATAGTAAGCCAACTCGCCGCCCAGCTCGACCTCAACACGCTTCATGATCTGTCGCGCACTTGTAGGCAGTTTCGTGTAAATCTGCTTGAATACCGTAGCCAACTTGTCAAGCATACGCTACATTGCGTCAACGAAGATGTTGAGCCCGGCGAAACCCCAGGGTCGTCGCTCCAGGGAGGGAGGTATGGCATGGCAATGGAATCAAGGCTAACTACCGGTCGTGTCGGGATATGTGCTCGCGATATGGTAGGAGAGTGTCAGCGCTGTGGGACTATTGTTTGCCGGGTATGACGTCTGAATGTGTAAAGGGCGAAGTCGGGACTAATGATTGTCTCAGAATTGCACAATGAAGCCACCACCAACACCTGCACTTCGGGCTCGACATCGTCGGCTCTGCCGTACGTGCACCAAGGCGCCGTTGCCCGTGCTCATGGCTGTCCAGAAAAGACGCTCGTCATCCGACTCCTCGCCACCTGGGTCGCCAGACCAGCGTCCTGTGCTTTTTGAAAGTAGTCAGCCGCGGGCGTTCACCGCGCCCGCGTTTGAACGCACCCCTTGCAATTGCGATGATGTGGTGTGGTTTTGCGCACCGTGTGGCAAGGACCTACGAAACGCAGATACCATGTACGTTCGTGGATGGAGCTGGCGCACGCGATATAGCCACTATCTGGGTGGAGTCGGCACGGGAGCTGGCGAGGGTAATGAAGGCGTCGAATGCGGACGAGGCTGCGCTTGTTTAGGCGCACGAGTCGTTGAACACGAGACCTGTGAGCAAGACCTCTTGGACACTATCGAGAGGTCGCATACCCCTTCCCCAGAGTCACCTGACCGTTGGCGGGGAACGTCTTACCTCACTCAAGAGATTGAAGGAATTGGCGGAGTGCTGAAAATGAAGCACAAAAAGCAGGTCCGTGTTGGGGAGTGCGTAAAGCTCTATGAAGATGAAAAGGAAAAGTCAATACAGTACCTCGAGCGCGAAGTCAAGGGAGAGCTCAGAAGCTGGTGCTCATGGTGTGAGCGTGTCGTTCTTGGGAAGAAGGACAAGGCTGAAATCAATGGAGTCCGACCGCCTTCCAGCGGTTCAAGTTCAACGGCTTCGGCAAGCTCGAAGCAGTCATATAGATATTAATGACGTCTTCCTTGTGTGTTGATATGTTTATTGCATGCTTGTACATAGTTTTGAATTTTTGCTCGTCGCTCATCTCTCCGTGATGTGCCATGCAACTGTCTTGTTTGACAATCCTGGACTCACCGGGTTCTCTCGTATCCTACCCAACCTTCTCCAGCATACACAATCTTCATGCTAGATGTCAAAATGGTCATCATTATAGTCGTCGTCCTCGTTGTCGTCCCAGCAAGATTGTTCCTCAGATATCTTAGCTTTCGTCATCTTCTCTTGTTCAGCTACGACTTCATCAACCCAACCGTCTGGGTTTTCAACCGTCTTTCCCATCTCGTTCACTCCTGATTGCAGTTCCTCTCCCTTATTCCATAAACCAGTTGGGCTGCCCACGTCTTCATCCCTCGCTTTAACCAACATCTGGATCTGCCACTGAAGTGACTTATTCTCTTCCTCAAGCCTCTCAATCTTCGCATGCTGCTCTCGCGCCTCCTGATCCCCTTGAAATTGTGCTTGCAGAACTATGTTGAGGGTTTCCTGCATTTCCGTGTACTGCTGCCGTAAGTCGCGGTTGGTATTTCGATTCGTCTGGTTTGCCCTCTCAAGCTGCCGTATCTGGGTGTGTAGATGCTGTCTTTCGTTCTCTAGCCGTAGACGCGCATTTTGGAGGTTGTGGATGGTGCTTTCGCGCTCAAAAGGGCGAGCAGCGATGACGCCATCGAAGAGAGTGTGGACAGCGAGGTATTCGGCACAGAGACTGATGTATCTTGCGGCGATCTGTTCGTAGGTCCAGCCATCGCTGTATTCTTCGGGCGCGAAAGAGGTCAGGTTTGTTGCTGATTCTGGCATTAGGATGATCCAGAGAGATCTGAGCAAGGGTGAAGAGAAATTTGCATGGGAGATGTGAGACTATTATAAGAAGTGTGTTTGCTATCGCAACTCACTGCTCACAGTTAATGGCTAGGCTTCCTACCCTTTCACCGCGATTTTGGACATGTGGAAACGCAGTAAAAACTAGGCATTACCCATATACTGATGGGCTGAATGGGGCTTCACTGGACTGAAGTATCGCAGGGAATTTTCCTCTCCCTGCTGATCAAAATCACTCATCTCGTTCTCATAAGAAGTTTGCCACATGTGATTATGGTTTGGTGGTGTCGTGCCTTCCTCTTTCTCCGTAGAGCTGCATGTACGTGCTGGAAACAAACAAGCCACTCGCCTCACATATCATTGACTCACTCGTATTCTTCTTTCACTACCTTGCCAACCCTTTCACTTTTTCCTACTGATTCATACTTCACGCACCTGCGAAACACAATGGACGACGAGGGCCCCAAGTGGCGCCTAGGTATGTGGAAGCTCGTTTGCTGAAAGCTTCATCTCTTGCTAATGTCACTCAGATCATGCAGATACCGGCTTATCAACCTGCCAGCAAGCAGCCTGTAAGCGGAACAAAACAAAAATCGGGAAAGGTGAACTGCGCATCGGTACACATACACTGTTCGATAATGGCATCGAACGCCGTTGGTACATGGCCTGGCGTCATTGGTGAGTAAACCTTCTCCTGAATCTCCACACAAATAAATGCTAAGAAAGATCTAGGGAATGTGCGACGAAGCATCAAATCGCGGGCTTGAAGGAGACTACCGAGAACGACCCAACTAAAGCACCTGGCTATGATCGACTCAGCCAAAAAAGCCAGGAGCAGGTGAGACTAGCATTTGAAGAGGGTATGCCCTTCGATAAGGGGTTCAAGGATATTCGTGAGGACTTGGCAAAAACCTCATGCAAGTACGCGAAAGAGTATAGGGACGCAGAGTGCTACAAGGCTGACGTCGCCACTCGTGCCGCTGCTTGTCGTGGATGTGACTGCGTATCGGACAACATTAAGATCACGAAGGGCCATCTGAGACTTGGAATCTTGGTCAACTTTGACGGTGACCATACTTCGACGTACTACAAACACTGGGTAAGTTGTTTCCTCTCTCCCGGATAGAGTCTCGTGCTAAACATCCCGCAGAGGTGCATGTCTGAATATGACTTGGCATGTGCACAGATGTGTTACGAAAAGGGAGAGTTTTATGGCATCGATAAAATCCCCGAAGAGCTCAAGGAAGTGGTGCTTAAGACCCTCGAGACGGGCGAGGTTGTGGAGCCGCCAGAGCCTAAGATTGTGCCACCGAAGGCGAGGGCAAAGCCGAAGTTGAAGACGTCTCGTAGCAAGAAGACCAAAGTCAAGCCAGAACCTAGTATCAGTTCGGAAGAGTCCGAAGGCCCGCTCGAGGATCTGAGTGATGAGTTGCAAGAGACAATCCCACCATCACCCGCGACGAAACCAAAAGCCAAGAAATCGAAAGCAAAGAGACGTCCCGCTAAAGAGATTGACAGCAGTAGCGAAGCCGAACCAGAGTATATTCCAAGGAAATCAAGGAGCAGATCTAGTCCATTCAAAGAGGCCAACGTCCTGGCTGAGGCTGCTACGTCAGCTCCTGAAGATCTGATGGATGATTGAACATACTTCAAGGGGAGGGTATTCAAAAGGGGAGTAATGATTACGATGGCCATATGATCTACATTTGGGGAAGCAAGATACAAGTGTAAGAGTCGGGCTGTCACTAATTACTTGTATCGTTCGTGGAGACGATAATGTAGGCCATCATAGCTATATATGGCCAGAAAATGAGTCTCAATGGCAAGGACAAGATTGCGGATTTTTAGTGATTTAATCCTACCAATTATGAATTTCTTCATAGAACTATATTTCTGGCTGCTAAAGGTATTCCAATGGCAAGGTTTCGGCCTAACGAGTTGAATGCAAAAGCACGTAATGCGGGGCGAGAGATTTAACGGCAGTGATCAGTGCACGACCCACCCAAGCTCCCGGTGGCGCATCCCAGTCGCAAGCTGTCCTCCCCGCAAATCATATCCACTCACCATTCATCAACTGAATCAACCCAGTACGACCTGAAGTGCTGCTCTACACCTTGTCAAAACACCAGGAATCTACGCGACAACAGTCACCATGCCGGGCAAGATCATCGCCGTCACCTCGTCCTCGCACTTCTCCCAGCTTCTCTCGCAATCTACATACACCATCGTAGACTTCTACGCGGACTGGTGCGGGCCATGTAAAGCCATTGCGCCTGTCTTCCAGAATCTGGCAGAGAAGGAGACGAAGCCGGGAAGGATGCAGTTTGTCAAGGTGGATGTAGATAGCCAGCAGGAGATTGCGAAGAAATATGGTGTCAACGCGTACGTATATTCCAATTGACGGGACTCGAAACCGCAGTCAACAACCTCAATCAAGATATGGAATGCTAACATGCGCTATTCGCAGCATGCCAACCTTTCTGGTAATCAAGTCCAACTCAGTAGTCGAGACTATCCGCGGCGCAAATCCCTCTGCCCTTACAGCCGCCGTGCGCAAAGCTGCTAGCGATACATCTGGTTCAGGCGCCGCCTCCACTGCCTTCCAGTCCAAAGGGCGCACGCTTGGGTCAGCTGAGGAACCCAGTCGCCCGGTTGGAGACAGTCCATTCGCAGGTTTACAACGCATGTTGATGGGCAACGGTGGCCTGACCGATTTGGTAATCAGATTTGCAGCCCTGTATTTCATCAGTCTATTCGCGTTTGACGCGTTCAAGGCTGCCGAAGAGAGCCCATTCAATGTGAAGACGAAGCGGTAAATAGGCAGTCAGAGTGTCGAAGTAGGCGTATAACTGCTTAGCCAAGATGGGACGAAAGGGCTGTTTGGCGTTGGGACAAGAACAAGGCGTTTGGGAGGTATACCACTTCAAATCAGATCGTCACGCATATCGGCATTACTCTTTGAAGTCTATGTAGTAAGCTGTGGAGATAGTTTAACACAATACATTGATATATAGAATGCTTTTACACTCTCCCTTTCTGTATAACTATCTTCGCAGTCTACTGCACGGGTTGGTTTCTTCACTAACTTGATACGCTGCAAGCCTGCCCGCCGCAAGCCCTCACAAACCAGGCGTGCTAACAGGTACATCAACAGGGCTATGAGGGCGGCCTAACGTTTGTTGAGTATGCCTCTCAACCCCGCAAAATCAGCCTTGCTTGCAATGCCCTCCTAACACATGCTGTAGATCGGACAGATTATTGTTGCTGTTGGTATGAATATCTAAGAGGTAGTTATGAGGAAAATTAAATAACAAACTGTAGATCAGCTTAAGTTTTCATTTTGAGGTTTCTTCATGAACCAGCCTCCCTGCGGATGCAGCGGGCCAACTTAGATAGCGTAGAAGAACTTGATCATGCGCAGGTTTCACGATCTACTGCAGTCATCAGCAGCCTCGTCATCATTAGACGAAAAAGGTAGGGCCAGATACTAGAAGATATTGGCTCATTCCAATTATAGGGATACTGCCCATCTCTAGAGCCGGCCTAGATTTACTCGTCGTCCCTACAATCGGCTAGGTTCACATTACTGGCAGAATGGTTCACATAGGATCTTGGGCAACTCTGCCCGTACTTCTTCTATCGTTCACAACCGCTTCTCCAAGTACGCAGAGAGCGCTACCAGACGAAACAAGCGGAGTACAGAATTTTAATCAAGTGCGTGCAGCGCTTCAACTTCATCTTCTCAACTTATGCTGGAAGTCTAGATTACTCCATCGTCTGATCTCCAATGGATACCATGCTACAATGGTTTTGACTGCGCCAATCTGATAGTACCGCTCGACTATGAAGATAGCAGTGTTGGCACCACAACCATCGCGTTCATTCGCAAGCTTGCCCCGGGAAACGTTACTCAGGACCTTCTCTTCAACCCTGGTGGCCCTGGTGGTTCAGGCGTAGGCATTCTGCTTGCCGGAATCGGCGACCTCATCTTGAATCTCAGTAGCGGACAATACAACATTATCAGCTTCGACCCAAGGGGCGTAAACAACAGTGGCATCGAACTGACGTGCTTTCCCGGTCAACCTAATATCCGAGACGCATACTGGAGCACTTTCGAAGAGTTATCCCAGGCTTCGAATCTCGATGAAACCTACGCCCGAGGACTCGCAATAGGACAATGGTGCACAAAAGCCAACGCAAACACGACTGCAAAATACGCAGGTACCGTTGCCGCAGTACAAGACATGCTCCACTTCACCACCCTCCAAGCTCGCCTCCGCAACCTCAAGAACCCAGAAGAATCCCTCGTAAACTTCTACGGCCTCAGCTACGGCACTGTCATCGGACAAAGCCTCGCATCCAAGTATCCCTCGCGCGTCGGCCGCATGGTCCTAGACGGCAACGTCAATGCCGAAGACCACTTCCACGGCGCAAAGCTTACCGCCGTCCAAGACGTCGATGAAGAGTATACTTGGTTCTTCAACCTGTGCCACGCCGCCGGACCGGGAACCTGCGCTTCTTACGCTGAAGACGTGAAAAAGCGCTTCGATACTCTCTTGTCCAAACTTGAGCTCGACCCAGTCATCCTATCCTCCCCTATAACTTCCACTCCAGCGCCGAAGGTCATAACCAAAGACGCCGTCCTCGCAGCGGTATTTCACAATCTCTACGCCGGCGAAACGGGCTTCCCGTTCCTCGCGCGCGGTCTTGCTGCGTTGGAAAGGGGGGATGCGGCGATGTGGTTAGCGGAGACTGCACGGTTCCAACGCCCCAGTGGTGCGGCGCAGGAGACGTATATGCTGATTACTGGGGCTGATTACGCTGGGCGGAGTAAGATAGCGAATCGTACGGTTCATCGGGTGGTGTATGATGAAGTGGTGCGAACGAGTGAGTACGCAGGACGTGTGTATGCGCTTGAGAATGTGGTGTTGGGGGTGGGGATTGAGATTATGCCGCCGGAGAGTCAGTTGTTTGCTGGTACGTTACCCCTTTGTCTATTTTTCTCACGTCTTCTTCGTGTGTTTCTGCAAGAGCAGGATTGATTGGTGTATTACAGGATTTGAGTATACAAAGACTAAGACGCCGATTTTATTCTTGAACCCATCGGTTGATCCCATTACGCCTGTTGCGAATGCGAGGTATATGGCGGGATTTTTTGAGGGAGCTGTGGTGCTGGAGCAGAATTCTACGGGGCATACTGTGTTGCCTTTTCTGGGGGAGTGTGTGGGTGGGGCGGTAAAGAGGTATTTTGGGGGTGGAGAGGTGCCGGAGGGGGGGAAGGTGTGTCAGGTTGATGTGAGGGTTGATTGGGAGGGAGGGAGAGGTGGCATGGGTGCATGATGCCGGCTTCCTGTGAGATTTGGAGCACAGCTTGGTGGTTGCAAAAATAGTAGGTAGGTAGATTGGGAACGCTAATCTGAGTATGGGTTAAATATTATGACAGAAACGTACACTTTGCATGTCTTACCTGGATGATCGAGCAGCCATCTCCCTTCGCATATTGCAACTATTAACGACCTCCCTCGTACATACACTAACTTCTCCAATCCTCTCATTCCCATCCTACACATCCACAAACCTCCCCACAACATCGGCAAACCTCGCCGCATCCTCAACCCCCACCCACCCATCACCCTCCTCCCTCCCCTCCACAAACGCGAACAAACACCCCATAACATCCCTCGCCAAAATCGATACCCCCATCTGCTGCTCCCCCCACTCACACGCCACATCTCTTACCTCTCCACTCGCAAAATCATGCACCTGAATCTTCACAGCCGCATCGTTGTCAGAAAACTGGAAGAACGGACTCGTAGGCGACACGAGTTTGATTTCGCCCTTTTCGCAGTTGATGGTCCAGGTAAGTGCAGGGTCGCCGGGAAAGGCTGGGCCATTGCGGAAGAGGAAGGTGAGTGTTGCGTTTGGGACGGTTTGGGCAGAGGGTGTGAGAGTGGCGTGGAGGGAGAGGAGGTCAGGCACGTTGGAGGTAACGTGATGTGTTACATTTTTCGTTTCTGCGTCGGGAACGCCGAGGGTTGGGCGTTGTATTTGGGATTTGGAATGGATGCTTGTGGCGGAGAGGGGACCGAGGGTTGAGAGGACGGAGTCAAGGACTGGGGTTGCGTTAGATGGGATTGTTTAAGGGAGGGTTTTAGGGGGGGATAAGCATACTGTGACCGACACCGATGGTGATGCTGTTTCCACCGATTTCTTTATCGGTGAAGTAGAGTACACCCGGGGGCATCATGTCTCTGTAAGGAACGCCGCCGAATGCCTGGACGCTTGAACTTAGGATTTTCCCTAGCTCGCCTTTGCCTCCGTCAAGGAGTTCTCTGAGCTTGACAACGGATGGATCCCATCGCCTTTGTAGACCTACTGCCACTCTAGATCCGCTTCGCCGTGCTGCTTCAACTATTTCTTCAATTTGGGTTTTGTTCGATGCGATTGGCCACTCGACGTAGACATCTTTGCCTGCTTTAATACTTGGCATGATAACCTCGTGGTGCTTGTCGACTCTTGTGTTACATATCACGAGATCGATATCTGGGTCTACTGCTAGGTCTTCTGGGCTACCGTAAGCCTTGGTAGTAGCAGGGAATTCATATTTCTGTATTGCGACTTTTGCAGCATCAACTCTGCTGTTCAGCAATGCAGTAACGGTGATTTTTGAGCGGCCGGCAGGTGTCATAAGAACGGGAAGGTGGGCTTTAGCAGCCCATGACGTATTGCCAGAGGAAGAAAGCCCAATGAGGGCTGCGCGTACGGGCAGTGACTTGGATGCCATTTTGTTGCTGTGGGACACTTTTGGAATGAATGATGTATCAGCCAGTGACTTGCAACACTGCTTTATAGTGTGTGTGCTATATAGACTGCGAGGTCATGGCATGTGTAACTTCATGGCATTTGTAACTAACTAACTAATGCGGACGTATTGGTAAGATGGCGTTTGGGTCGCCTAAGATTGGACAAAAACATTGGTTAGCACAACTTGGCAACGTTGTGGATGGCGTACATTTCGTAGTATGCCAAGCAATACCAAACTAGTACTGCGGGTCATCTGTAGATGGTCATACATCACAATGTAAAACATGATTTTGACCCCCAAGCTAAGAAATAGTCAGTTTTGGGATTGGTAGGAAAAGGGTTTTCCCGGGAGTAGCAGGCATGCACGAAGAGATAGAGAGAGCCAGTCAGAACAGCAAAAGAAACCTTTGCAGCGCGTGCTTGAGCTATCAGCTTAGGGGGGGACGAAGTTGTAGAGACTAAAAATGTATATACTAACTTAGGGCTTACTGATACAGTAACAAGGTTACTAAGACGGGCTAATGCGGCAATGCGGTGCTTCGCTTACAAACTCAGCGGATATTGATCTCCGCACCTATAGAATCAATACAGGTCCCGTGATCTGAGCTGAGTGTTCGAGTGTCATTTTCATGTGATTACTGTAGTTATCCATGCTTTCCGTTTATGCTTGCAGGACGTCTTTCGGACAGCATAACATGTGGGAACAAGGTATGAGTTGTAGTGACATACTTCTGAAAATCCCAACGCATTACCACGACTCAACTCGACTCGATTCACACAAGCGTTATCTCGTGGCTCAACCACGCTCAGACCAAGCCTTCGGGGTAAGGCGACCGAAGCGGATGGCGAAAGCGTCTCAGATCCGAGATTAGACGAAGAAAGACGGCGACAGCCATGTGCATTCCGAAAACCACGTCGCAAGCATACACGGTTTGACAAGTTATTTACTGGAGTACCGTGACGCGAGTATTTGTTGGAGGCACAGGGCGCAGCGTACGCTTCGGAAAGCTCTCGGCTTCCGAGTTCCGACTCGTTTAGGCTTGAGGCTACAGTAGCACCGAGAGGCTTGTCAAGGATCATCGCTGTTGACCTTTGAGCCCTGCATGCACATCCGGTAAGGCTGAGGTTTTGACAGGAGGCGCATCATTGATTTGGTAAAAGTCGTGACAGTAATAGGGCGCGACAGTAGCAGTTTGTCTGTGATGCGTCTGGTTTCTTGTGGAGGAGAGAGACGCTTTGTTCAAGACTTGTGTAGCTGTTGTGGATCAGAAGATTCAAGGGTCCTAACTGACAGTAAGTATCTGGGCCTGAAGAGATCAATGTGCCGTTGCAGCTCAGGATAAATGCGCATGTCTTGGCAGGTCCAGCCATGGCGGCGGCAACGGTTAGGAATAAGGCAGGTCTGTACCATGCCCTGGTCGTGGTGTTTGGAGTGGCAGCGAGACTGGTGAAGACGGACACGACGATTGCCAACAGTCTCCTTGTACAGATGGGGCATAGAGTGGTGAAGTTCACTGGACTCTTACCTTCAGACTGTCAACATGCTCCCGAATACCATCTGAACAATGTCCAGACCGAGCATGAGACAGGAATGCAAGGAGTAGGGGCTAGTCCGAATAGGGCTTAGGGGATGCGGGGCACGTCCGTGGCGTGTGGGACCGAGGTATGTCTGCCGCGTGCTTGTGAGACGTCGCCCACGCCAGGCCTGTTCAACAGCTTATAGTCGGCCGATGATTCCATTTTATCTTCCTGCTGGATTCCCCCCTTCTTTTTTCATTCCAATTTAATCCTACCCAATTCAATTCTCGACACAATGGTCGAACTACCCCCCTTCGAACACACGCCCTTGGACAACATTGCCCCCACATGCGCAAAGGTGCGGGCCAGCTTCCTCTCCCACAAGACCAGGCCCCTCGAGTTCCGCATTCAGCAGCTGCGCAAGCTCTACTGGGGCTTCAAGGACAATGCCGAACTCATCAAAGAAGCCTGCAAGCGCGATCTTGGCAAGCCTGAGTTTGAGACGTACCTGACTGAGATCTCGTGGTGCATGAACGACTGCATCTGGATGGCCGACAGGGTCCGCCAGTTTGCAAAGGACGAGCCCGCGCCCGACATTCCCTGGACCAACAAGCCACTCCGCCCACGCATCAAGAAGGATCCCCTGGGCACTGCTTTGATCATTGGGTATGCTTCTCAATGTCATTGGCATGTCAAGGAGCGATGCTGACCAGAACAGAGCGTACAACTTCCCTATCCAACTCACCCTTGGCCCCCTCATTGGTGCCATTGCAGCTGGATGTACCGCCGTCGTCAAGCCCTCGGAGTCGTCACCCAACGCCGCTGTTGTCATTCAAAAGATCCTGCGCGAATCACTTGATCCCGAGTGCTACACGTGCATTCAGGGCGCCGTCCCCGAAACTACTGCCCTCCTCGATCAAAAGTGGGACAAGATCTTCTACACGGGTGGCGAGGCTGTCGCCAAGATCATCGCAAAGAAGGCGGCTGAGACGCTTACACCGCTGACGCTTGAGTTGGGCGGCAGAAACCCTGCTATTGTCACAAAGCATGCGGATCCCAGGCTAGCAGCGAGACGACTGTTGTGGGCCAAGACGTTGAACGCTGGTCAGGTCTGTCTCAGCCACAACTGCACTTTTGTTGATCGCGAGATCCTGCCCGCCTTTATCGAGGAGATGAGGAAGCAACTACAAGAATTTTACCCACAAGGCGCCCGCAAGTCCCCCGATTACGGCCGCATCGTCAATCTGCGTCAATTCCAACGCATCAAGAAGATGGTTGACGACAGCAACGGCAAGATTGTCCTCGGCGGTACCATGGACGAGTCGGACCTCTTCATTGAGCCCACCGTTGTCCAAATCAACGACATGAACGACAGCATGGTCACTTCGGAATCTTTCGGCCCGCTCCTGCCCATACTCCCTGTTGAAAACCTCGACGAAGCCATCAGGATTGCAAACGAACTTCACGACACACCTCTTGGTACCTATGCCTTCGGTACAAAGGCCGAGATGGAAAAGATCATCAGCCAAACACGGAGTGGCGGTGCTTCTCTCAATGACGGCTTCTTCCACGGCTCTATCCCTACCCTGCCATTCGGTGGTGTCGGAACAAGTGGCACAGGCGCATACAGGGGCAAAGCTAGTTTCGATACCTTTACTCACCGCAGGAGTGTGACTACAACACCTGCGTGGATCGAGGGCCTTATGGCTGTCAGATACCCACCCTACACGCCCCAAAAGCAGAAGCAAATGAAGGACATGAACGACATAAAGCCAAACTTTGATCGTGAGGGAAACCCGCTTGGATGGGGCACCTGGTTTTTGAGCTTGCTGGGTGTGAAAAGTATGGCTGCCGTTGTTGGTGAGTAACTCGTGCCTTCGAGATGGTGGTTTTGGGTATATCCTAACATCAATCAGCGGCCGTTGCTCTCAAGCTATATATGCAGCGAAGGTCCAAGCTGTAAATACTAACCATCTAGCATGGTAGAATGGGGTGGAGGAATATATAAATTTTGCAAGGGGAAGTCTTGGAACAAAACTGGGAGTATTTCCGGGAGATTTTCGATCGTCGTTTCTTATCTAATCATTCAGGATACACAATTGTTCGTTTGATACCAGTAATATGGTCGCCCATCAAGTTGCCCATCTTGGTATTTTCCTTTTTGACATGCAAATGATATCAAAATGTTCAATTGTATACTGTTAGTCATTTTTATCTTCTTTGTGTGATGCCTTACTCTGATGCTTTTCAACATTGAAAGATACCAAAATCTCACTTATACTCCATCCTCCTAGAACAAGACATCCCTCCACATTCCAAACCATATCTCAACAATTCCTACACAAATGCGCAGCAGCAAACACATAGTCTTCTCAATTGTCTTTCTCCTGAACCCCCCCCCCCCCTTCACCCCCTACCTACCGCGCCTATAGCCACCACATCCACCGCATAACCCCCGACCCAGCGGAAACAACGTCAAATGTTTCACAGGGCAAAATAATCACTACCACAACGGTGCGAGGAAAGGTAAGAACCCAGCTGCACAGCGAGCGCACGACGAGATAGTTCATGACTCCTTGCATCCCAGCGAGCAGTATTCTAGGCCCAAGAAAAGAATGGAAGAGAGGAAGAGAGAGGATGCAGTGAGGGTGAGAAGTCTTGGGGGGGGATTGTACTTAGTCTTATCGAAGTGTATGCGAAAGGTTTTATTGGTGGGGGAAAGAGGGATGAAGTCGTCATACGGAGGGGGAGAGATTGTGAGACAGGGAAGGAAATGTAATCAGTGTACTAAGAGGCATGATTGAGAAGACGAGGAACATGATAATAGCGTATGCGTATATATGTATTTCCATTTCTGTGTGTCACAACATTACACATGCGTATGTAGATGCGTTCTAACCCACATAAGTTCGATATAAAAAAAGCCAAGATAATGTAAATGGTTTGGAATCTCATTGAAGCCCAGAAAAAAAAGAGTTGGCCAAGAGCGGGGAAAAAAAGATACGATACATGATATGCCGTACAAAAAAATGCCAGTCATGCGTTGAAAAAACAAAAAGAAGTTACACCGTGGTGTACGTAGAACGAAGAAAGATGCAGAAGAAAAACCGCAAACAGCATGCAAAGCAAGCAGAGAAAAGAAAAACATCAAGGGGTATCCTCCGTCAAAAGTAAAAAGCGATCGAAAAAGAAAAAATCATAAAGGTCGTAATCCAGTCCTGCCACATGAAGAAGAGAAAAAACGTCAAGCGAGAGCGACGTATGAGAAAGAGCAGCGCTAAGACGCCAAGCGAGTGTTAAGAAGACATTGTGAGAAAAGAAAAACAACCAAACTCCAGTGGAGTCGACAGAGCAGGACCGTCAGCGAGTGTTAAGAAGACATGACGAGAAGGTAAAAGAAGAAGAGCGTAAAAGCAAACCCGACCAAAAACGATGCGCAAGGGCAACCAAGCAAAAAAAGGC